CGAATTGATGTGGAAAATCACATTACCTGCGCATCAATACGTCCCAATGTACACGCTTATCCGTGCATAAGTCTCCGCGCTTATCCCCAGATAACGATCTACTTGGAAGTCGGTCTCCTGAAAGCACCAAATTAATAACTTTATTTTAAATATCTGCATATTTCTCTGGATAAGAGGGGGTGCCCAGCAGAGAAGGTGGCAAATGCTGTGCAATGTGATGCAGCTCCTTCTTCACTCCGCGGGGCAATGTGATGCATAGCCCCCCTCTTTTCTCTCCGCCTGATCAAGACCGCTTGTGTTGCGATCGAAACGTCGTGGGGTTTTCAGATTATTATTTTATTTACATTCTTGATTTGATGCTTTCGTGACTGCATTTTTTGGTTTCTATTTACGTGACTTTACCGAAAGAACCAAGCATATGAATTGCTGTGCAATATTTGTGTTTATTTACAGATAACAGGAATACTATCCAAGGACAAACGGCAGACATTGCGACAGTAACCACCATTGGTACCCCCTTACGCGTAGCAGGAGGGGGTTTGCACCGTCTTCTCTTTGAACGTTTGGGATAGAAGTTTGACATGACGCTGATTTAGTGCCCCACATTTTTTAATAAAATACGCCCTTTTTTTCTCTTTCCATTGAAAAGCTGCCCTCCTTTAATAATGGAGGAGCCACTTAAGCTGCCCGAAGGCTGTGCACAGACAATCGCCCCAACATAAAAGTCGATGTTTACCAGTGGTATGTTCTCACATATTCACCTTCTCTCGTTGAGGCACCAGGAAACTTCACTGACGACTAAGCGCACGCCTTGGGTTTCTCGAATGCCTCCTAATGCGAGAAACGTGTGCTCTATTATTCAACTGTTCTTACTTAACGGCACGTCACATCGTATATAATTTACTGCAGTACTTTAGGATTATAAAAAATAAAATCTCCAATAATTTGAAGCGCCCGGTCGCGATGATGTTATTGCGTCGTCAGATTTTGTTTGAAAGTGCTGGAGAGTAAAGGTAACGCGGTGATGTTTGCAGAAAGAAGAAAAAATAGTCCCATACAACAGCAGAGTTTTGGGAGCAAGTGATGTCTTTCGACGTAACTCGAAAATTGCAGGACTCCGACTACCGCGTAGGTTTCACCCGTTGTGTTGCTGCCAAGGCTTTGCGATGCGTTTCGTTGTGCCCACGTCGCTGTGTGTCACTGGGCACGATGCCCCGACGTTTCGCTCCACGTGCTGTGTGAGTTGGGGGTGGGGTGGTGCTTCTTCAGCCAACTGAATTGAGCTCCGATTTTTTTTCCCGTCATCAGCTCCCAAATTCGTTTCCTCGGGGGGTGGGGGCGGGGTGGGGAAGCTCCCGGTGCGTGGAGCGAAACGTCGGACAATTATGCAACACGCGAGATAGAGCTCTAAAACGCTTTAAATGTGTTGGGGAAAAAAAGGACGGGCAAAATGGCTGAAGCGCTGGCCCTTGTTTTTCATTGGTGCGGTCCCCCACGCGCTTGGCCGTTGGGGTTTAAAAATGTGCGTGCACGCCTTTGCCCGGTGAAAACCAGGGTGGTGGGGGCGTTGAGGAGGGGTAATTAGAGACCGGCTGTATACAAAGCCAGCGTCTCAGCTGCAGCGCCATGAAACCTGAGCCTGTCAGACACCACCACCACCACTCCCAGCACCCCAAGCTAAGCAGGCAGGGGTAGTCCCCCGGTCATAAACTCGACGGGAAACCCAAAAAGGAAAACAAAATACACAATTGCTGCATTCCTGTAAGAAGTGTGTTGTTGTTTCGAGGCGTAGCAAGGATGCTTTAATTCCCTGAGGACGGTGGCGATTTTAAATGTGTGCACGAAAAAAAATGCCCCTGCACTAACGTGATGCCCGAGGGATGCTGTGCTGTGATAGATCTGTTGAACATCGGGGGACGAAACTTGAAAGCGATCTTGTGTCTGCGTAGTACAGTGCTGTACAATGTGCAATCCAGATGTCGACCGTTCGATTCGATCGCCGGGCGCGGCGCTTGAAACAGCAGTGCAAAGTTAGCTGATCGGTAACGTCGCTTGTGGCGGGATAAAGGTGTGGGTGCCACCACCTCTTCCAAGGCGTCTGGCCAGTGTAGACGAGTAGGCCCAAAAAACACCCTAAGGGTGGGTTATCAAGTGGAGGTCAATCCATCGGTAGTAATGTGCAAGCAATTGACTTTTTTTTGGGTCGGGGGGGGTACAATGTGGGCCCAAAACATTGTGACGATCCATGGGCAGTGGTCGATGTGGCTACACGTTGGCATAAACGGAATGTGAATGACTAATCGAATGGATTTATGGTTTTGTTATTTACATATATGCCTGGCATACATGAGCATAAACGGAGAGCAAATCAATAAAGCTTAAGAGTGGATAAGCAAACATTTGGGGGGAGGTTGACCTAGATTAAAATCTTGCTCGTAGGTTAACCAATTAAATATTATTAGCCCATTTGCCTCGGCGGTCTTTGTATGGAACTCTGGGAAAATGAAATAGCGTGGATGACGAGATGACTAGTGGCAGCCAAGGAGAGGACGTGGATCGTTTACATCGCAGCATCGCGAGAGATGGCACTTGCTTTGGGTTGGCCTTCATCCAGCGGGGGAATTGACCAAGGCCGATGATGAGATGGTGCGTCCGAGAGAAGAGATGAAACTAAAAAGAGCGTTTGTGAGAGTTCATTGAAGTGTGAGATAGAGAGAAACCCCTAACGTCGGTGACGGGAACGAAACACCCCCTGTAAGGAATGGCGCACTCCACAATTGGTGTGTCTTGTGAGCAACGGTGGGTGTGGCATTCACTATGGCGAGCAGTGTGTTTTTTTTTTGTGTGGGGTAAGTTTGGCATGGTTTTCCCCCCAACTCCCACCGTGTGTGCTGCTTGAGCCGGCGAGTCCCATTGACCCAAACGGCTCGTGTACACGGACTAACAGAGTCTGCGAACAGAAGGGTCATGTTTCATCCCTTGGCAGCGTTAATGGAGCAGCCAAAATGCGACTTTCAATTGAAAACAATGTAATTGTAGTCAAGGTCGACGCACTGATGACTCTGTTGGCAAATTGTGAACGTGCTTGCCTCTGCTACTTGCTCATGCGCCACTTTTAAAGGATATTTATTCCTGCCTCAGCAGCTCTCCCGCTATATATTTTTACCTGATGACGATCACTTGTGTTGTGATCGAAACGTCGTCGTTTTTGGTTTTATTTTCTTTGAACCTATCTATGTGACTTTACCGAAAGACCCAAAGAATATGAATTCCTGCAGTCACGAAAGCTTTTAAGTCAAGATTAGGCCCTGGTGACTTCACTTAACAGCCCCAGTCGTAGTTTTTGGGCTACTACTGATACCTACTACATTCCAATTGTTGTGAAAAGAAATAAATTTCTAAGCATGGGCCCCCGAAATTATGAAGCAACCAGCAAACAAACGACGCAATCAATGTTTTAATTGATAATAGTTGAAACGTTGCTGGATTTGAGCGAGGTTGACCTAAACTATTTAATATTTTACCAGATAAGGCCTATTGAGCTTATTGCTCTTTTTCAGAAGCGACCTGGGCACAAATAATTGCTCAACGAAGTGGCTTATCACGTGGAAATTTATAGCAGCCAAATACTCTTAAACGCACGTTGATTCTAAACGTGGAGGGAAAAACTGGAGGACCCGGAAGAAAATCCATGCGGCCACTGGGAGAGAGACACACAAACTCCAAAAATACAACAGGCGTCAGGGTCAGGATCGAAACCACGACCTCCTCCATAAAAGGCGAGGTAGTTAACATCTCTCCCAGATAATTACGAGCATGAGGTAATACATATCAATGGGCACGTACTTAACTTGATCAAACTACTGTAATAGCTACGTCTAGTGTTCTGACATGTATGCATTGGGAGTGGGGTTTGTTGTAACTGGCGTATGAGAGACTTACACGTGTCCTTCAGTTTCACATTTACATATTTATACACACTCGGAATAATGCACTCTTCCGCGACTGTGGTTGTGCTAGATAATTATATTAGGAGCATACCCACGCGGTTGCATTTCTAAATGTATGCTCAGGTGCGATGCTGTAAAATTCCCCATGATAAGCAGCTTCGTAGAATTATCATGTGTCCAGGTCGCTTCTGAAAATTAACTAATAGCCCAGTGGGCTTTAACTGGTAAAATAAAAAAGATTAAGTTTTGGTTAATTTATTTTTTGTGTAGATTTGAAGTTTTCGTGACTGCAGGGATCCATACTCTTTGGTTCTTTCGGTAAAGTCACGTAGGTATAAAATAAAATAAATGAAATCACGACGTTTATTGTTAGTCATTTGCTTACCTTTCCTATACCTATCGTTTTTTGTGTTTGTTGGAACTTTCTGACTCGCCCCTACTGGACATCTGTGAAAAACAGCATATATAGCACGTCGGATTTCTCCAGGTGACACGTATGATGTGCTCAGGTTTAGAAGTGGAATCACTTGCTTATTCCACTGCTGGCACAAGGGCCTCCACTAGAGGGAGTTTCTGGAATATATTTGTCCTATAATTCCACGCTGGCCCGACATTTCAGTTTCAGTTTTCAGTTTATTTTGTATAGCCCCGTGAGCCATTCGGCCCTTGAATCGGGTGCAACCGCAACAAAACAAAAAAATGAACAAGAAAACATCTTAAAGTGATTATGCGCATACAGAAAAATCCAGGAAAAAACTGCAAAGTCTTCCAGACAAAGCACCGTACACCAACGCTGCGTGCACCATCTTGCAATATTTGGGAGTGCCCACACTTTACCCCCCCACCACCACACGCGACCTGCTGATTAACTGCGGTGCGCCCATTTACACTGCTGGGTGGATACAAACGGCGGGGGGGGGGGGGGATTTAAAAACCTTGCACCGTTGTTTCAAATGTCGTGCCGGGAGATCGTTACACCACGGCGGAAAATCTGTACTCGCAACAATGACGATGTTTCTTTTCTCTCGTCTGGTTTTGTTTCCCCAACAGCAGAAGTAGCTCCGTCATCATCGCAAGATGTTTGCCCTGCTCATCTCCATCTTTATCCTGCACATTGCCAACATCGTCCTCCTCTTTGTGGCCACCATTGACAATGTGAGTATCTCGTTTCACCTTAGGGTTCAGCCAAGTCGGAGAATCTCCGTGCCCCAAATGGCCACTGGAGCAGTTGCTTGTGTATATCGGCAGCTCTGAATTGGTGGTGGAAATTCCTCATCCACATGGCAGCGGGAGCAGGTCTGTGCTATGACCGAATTACTAAATACACCTGATCTTGAAGTACTAAATACACCCGATCTTGTCGGATTTCGGAAGCTCAGTCGGATTGAGCCTGGTTAGTACTTGCATAGACTACCACCAGGACTACACGCGTTTAGAGTATTTGGCTGTTATAAATGTCCACGTGATAAGCCACTTCGTTGAGCTATCATTTGTGGCCAGATCGCTTCTGAAGAAAAAGCTAATAGCTCAGTGGGCTTTACCTGGTAAGATAAACATAGTTTAGTTTTATTTGTATATTTTAAGTAATTTGTTTACCTTTCCTATACTTTGCAGTGCTATCATGTTTTTTTGCATTGTTTGTTGTTGTAAGGTTCTGACCCGCCCCTACTGCACATCTGTGAAAAGGACTTTTAGAGGCTCATCGAATTCCTCGAGCATAAAATAAATATTCTGACTCTGATCGGAGGGATTCTTGGTGGCGGGGAGATTGCAGTGCGTGACTGTTTGTGAGCTTTCTGGGTACTCTCGTTTCTTCCTGCATGCCAAAGCCTCATTGATGGAATTTCCCAAACGTCCCCAATATAGGCAGGGCCTGTCTGAAAGAGAGCCTCTAGGCTCTTGAGGATTATTTGGGTAAATTGTCATTACCTGTATTGTCATGGTCTTGCCATAGTTGAAACAACTGTTAGCGTTGCACAAAACGTAATTTTTTATAAACTCGGTTAAATAATGGGTTAATTTGGCCTTGGGCTTTAGCTGAAAAAGAATTGCATCCCCAGAATGTGACAATGCAAAACACTCGCCCGCTGCCCGTTCGCAGTCCAGCGACGTTTGACAACAGCTGCTCAACACAAATCTGCTTGCGCTGCAACGAGTACGTACACCGCATGGTCGAAATTCCAAATTCTCTGCACCTAAATTACCCAAAAAAATGTGACGCCTGCTGGCTATCCTGCTTAACCCTCCACCCCAGCAGGGATGTGGAGCTCTGTGTGTTTGGCTTGGTTTCTAAAAATGTTACGTAGTAGGCTGTGATGTGGGGGTAAAAAAAAACGATCGTGTATATGATGGCTGATAGGAAAAAAATGCTAAGAAATGCCACGGAAATTTAAGTGCTGAATAATTCATTTAATTCCCTCGGACAGTTTGGGTTCCTTTGCTATCGCACCACAATGACATTTTGGCCTCGGCCAAAGTCTCATTGACAGCAGCAGACGTGCGCAGTCATTGGCGATTCGATGCATTAAGTAATTGCACATCCTTACAACTCGGTAGGTTTTCCCAGTAGTGCTGCTGTAGCCCTCCGCTGAGTTTTCAGGTTGAAGTGCGTGTTGTTGTCGGGCTTGGAGGGAAACGCCGGGCATTGTGCGCCAAAACACACGTGGTACAACACAACGGAGTGCAAATAATTATCTTCTCAATTGTGCCACCGGTTAATCCTTCATGATTGTGGAGCGTTTTCAGTGAACGAACGTTCGCTTGCCACTTGCTGCAGAGGTTTGCAGTTTTGGCCATGCGCGGGCCCCCCTGTAGAGCAACAAACCGCTGTCTGCCAACAGTGGACGTGAAAGATTCTGTGAAGTTATAAAAAAAGGAGTAGGTCACGTTTGCTGGCGGCTGGGTTTACATTTGACGAATTTTAAATATTACCAGCAAAAATGACTCAATTGTGGAGAATACGTGGCAACATCGTTCCTTTACCAAAAAACTCAGCAGGACCCTCCATTAAACAATCGTAAGACCCATTGAGGCTCTGCTGGGTAAACAAATGTTGAAGTGAAAAGTAAAAACAGGGCGACATGACAGAAGGCGGTTGCATAGCATCACCAGCATTGCGATTCAATTTGGCAAACATTCCACGTGGAGGGAAGAATTTAGTTCTGTGGCTCTGCGGTCGTCAGGCTGCGTTGGTGCCTGGCTTCGTTGCCCTCTCCCTTGCAGAGGTCAAATCGTCGGGCGTTCTGTCCCTGAAGGCGAGTGGTAAGCGAGTGGTGATGGAGAGTAACTGTGCAGGCGGCCATCAAAGCACGCAAATTCCACATGCAGAGCTGTGTCAGAATCAGAGCAGCCAAAGTGGAGTTAATAATAATTCTCCCTATTTACCCAGGAATGGCCTGTTGATTCTCAGGATTCTATTTTCAGGAGGGTCCTGCATTGCGATGTTTGGCAATTGCCTCAATGAGCTATCTGATCTGGCTTCAGTTTGTTATTCGGCATTTTTATCAGATTTTTCCGAGTGAAACGTCGGGCATTATGCTTGACAAGACGCAGCCACAACCTGTAAACACATCGAAGAGATGTACAGCAAAAACCTGCGAAATCCTGCCCAGCAATACCGATTAATTGGTGTTTTCCATGCGGGAGGAAGTGAGAGTACCCTGAAAAAACGAATTTATAAGAGAGGGGGGTAACACTCAAAGCCAGTCAGCTCGAATGAAGGATCTGTTGCTGTCTTCTTGCCATCCATTTACCATCTCACAGCTCAGACCTGCAACACCTGGGATAGTCACAGGCAGACTTGTTACCCCAGCGCTCTAAACTGCTTAAGTTCCAGAAGCTGACATTCGGGGTGATTTTGTCATTGCCTCTCCCGTGAAGGATTTATAAACCGGTTCCACTTTGTATTCACAGGGGGGTGGTTGGAGGGGGGGCAAAAGCCGACAACGCAAAAACAAAAATACAATTTTAGCCGAAGTGTTACTTTTGACAAGTGCCACAAAAAGTGGTTAATTTGGGTAAACGCCTTGTCATATGTGCATGCCATAGCACACAGGATATATCGGTGCCTAGTATGACTGCTCTTCAAAGAATCTATAGAATGTGACTTGCACGTGAATGTGAATGACCATCCACTGACCTAGTCCATTAGTACAGTGCAAAAACAGATCCGTAATACTATATTGTTGGTGTGTGTATGTGTGTGTGCGTACGCGTGTATGGGAGTGGCCACCCACTCCTCGTGCTCCATGCCGGCCTTCGTAGGCTCTGGCTAACAGCACTTGCTCCAGCAGATCGTTAGAGGCTAAACTGGGGATCTTTGGAGTGATGGTGCAGTGTTTGCCGCAGCACTCTACAAACCAACCTTCGATTTAAAGCTTTCGTGACTGCAGGGATTCATCTTCTTGGTTCTTTCGGTAAAGTCACGTAGAAGGGAAGTAATAAAATAATAAAAATAAAACATAATACAATTATTGTCACGACGTTTCGGCCACAACGCAAGCAGCCGTCCTCAGGTGAAAACCAGGTCCATTCAGACTCTGTCGCCTCGACGGACCCTGTTTTCACCTGAGGACGGTTGCTTGCGTTGTGGCCGAAACGTCGTGAGAATAATTTTATTATGTTTTATTTTTATTATTTTATTACTTCCCTTCTACGTGACTTTACCGAAAGAACCAAGAAGATAAACCAACCTTCGTTGTATCCCCAGTCACGGCTTAGATCGGTGGCGAGTGGCATCTGAATCGGTTTTGGACTTCCCGTCTGTTGACTCGACCCTAAATCAGAACTGGTCCTACAATGTGATAAAAATCCCACTGAACGTGGTGTTTCCCCCCCCCACTCCCCCGTCTTAATAGGCGTTCGTGAACAACAGCATCTGCCTAAAAACCTCTCTATAACCGCATTGGCACGTTGAGGACTCTTTTGTATTTTACAACTACAAGTTTTTTGTTGTTGTGTTTAGCGTCACTTTCATGTTGCATTTTTCTCGATCATTTTTCTTTATTGTGGTGCCATTTTTTTGGTTGTTTCTCATAAAATGTCAATAAAATCTGCATGTGAGGGATTAAAATATTTTTTTGTATATTTTATAAGTATCTGTTCTCTCATCCATGTGTTTCTATTCTCGCCCTCTGGAGTTATTCCAAACGTGTATGTGTCCAATCACACTTGTGCTAAGCTGGCCTATATTTAGTGGAAGTGATGAAATGATTCAGATAGTTTAAACCAGAAAAAGCCATCTTCTACTCAACATGACCGACATTATCCCTCGTTAAGTAATAACGATGATCATGATATTAGGTTCACGTAACTTTCTAATTGTATTTCACAATGTTTTACTGTACTTCCAATACAAATAAAGATTACTTTAAAACATTCTTCAGCTCAACGTAAGCCTGCCATGATAAAATATTTTAATCGTTGCAACTTGACAACCTTTACTGCTTATAATGCACATTTCGCAAAAAAATAAGACCAATAATAGTTTCATGGTTCATAGCTAATTACAAGGTTATTGTGCTTTTGTATTTTCCTAAATATTTTGTGTAAAGAAATTAAATATTTTCCACAGTGTTTATGAGCCATGATAATCACGATATGATATTTAGCGAAAAGGGCCATGTTTACTGTGGGCCTTGTATCGTATGATTCATCACAGTATCGCTAAGCACCGCAACATTACATGATATTAAGCCCACCACTTGCTTATGTTGATCATCAAATTTCCCTTCATTTTTGCACAGCCTACTTACATTCCACGAGTTCTTGTATAAGGAAAGAAAAATGTTAGGCATTGCGAAAATGTTCATTAACATGTGGGGGATCTGTTTGAGTAGAACTGCCATCCGCACGTGTATGTGTGTGTGTCAGCTACCACGTTTGTGCATTTATAATTATCCTACAAGTTTCTGTGGGGAGCTTGTTTGGTGAACAGACGTGTTAGTACCTTAAGCAGATCAGTATAACAAAACGCTATGGTCAAACGAGATGGAATAACAAATATATTGTAGGCCTCTTGGCAAAAACAGGATTTTTTTTAAACTTGTAGTTGTTGCCAATCTCCAAAGTTTGAAAGGCGCTGCACAAACAAATGTTGAAATGCCAGCTTACACGGTGGCTTTTGTGGCATATGCATGCCAATGGTTAATCCCGAGTAAAACAGATTAGGGATGATGTCGTGTTACGATACGGTTTAGTCAAATATCCAGGAGTTGAACGGGACACTTTCGCACCAAGTCAAGTTATGTTGGCCTCCATCCGGAATGCAATCCAATTTCATTCACCCCACCTCTGTGGCCTCTGCATGCTACGTAGAAGGGCCTTTGACATCAACGTTGTCTATGATGTACTTCTTAAGGCCACGGTGTTATTGACAAATGTGTTGAGTTGAATCAAATTTAGCATTTCTATGCTTTTGCACCATTATCATATGCAGTATTTGGTGGCTAAAAAATTCCACATGATGAGCCACTTCGTTGAGCGATCCTTTGTGGCTGTGTAGCTTAGTGGTCCTTATCTGGTCGAATAAAAAAATAGTTGATAGTTTCACTGTATTTACCGCCAATCACCCTTCTGTCTACTTTGCTCTACACTATTTTTTTCTTATCCATCACTTTCTCTCTCCGTTTCTTTCTATATATAGTTGCATGTCTCTTTCTCGTATATCACCTCCTAGGGCAGGGGTCTGCAACCAAAATAACAAGAAGAGCCATTTTTTGTTCGAATTCGGGAAAAAACCCCTCAATATTTAAAGAGTAGGTTGTTGATAAATAATGTCACGGAGCAGCCCTTAAGGAGCAACAGGTTGCCAACCCCTGTCCTAGGAGCACCTGTAATTCACTAGACTTTTTTTCTCATTCCGGTTGCATTGATGTCATCTTGTACTCGGTGGTCAGTAATTTACACATAAATGTACCTATCGAAAATGCTGCGTTTTACAAATGCGTAGTCCATAGCGTGAGATGCTATTTGTTCGTCCCTTCCTATGCTGTGTGCAGGCTTGGTGGGTATCGGCGAATGGTAGCAATGTGCTTGACCTGTGGCAGTCTTGCATACAAGCTGCAGATGTCTGGAATTGCAACGCAGCCTTCAAGGCTCAAGGTATGATTTCAATGTGCAGTGACTGAGGAGCTTGAGGCCTCTTTCAGGGGTCGTTTTACCGCTGAATGTCTTAAATGCCACTGCTGCGTTTAACTTGGAGCACTGTTTGAATGTAATGCTGCCACCACATGAGAGTCGGAGAATAACGCTGCGATGATGACTCGTTGAGTAACATCTATTCTGAATTCTATATTTGAAGCTTTCGTCACTGCAAGGATTCATATTCTTAGGTAAAGTCACGTAGGTAAAAAATTTAAATTTAATTTTGTTACGGTTCCACCTGAAGATGGAAGCTTGTGTTGCCTTCGAAACGTCGTGATTTTTATTTTATTTTACTTTAATAATTTTTAATTTTGTACCTACGTGACTTTACCGAAAAAACCTAAGAATATCTATTCTGAAGCTTGCGATGTACGCGCCGGATCATAATTAGGAAGAAAAATCATGCATGTGCTTGGATTTCCATGACACTATCCGACACGCCATTGTCCTTGGATATGTCTAGTTCCAGATAATAATGTTCCCATTGCAAGCCAAGCTACGAGACGACCTCACGCGTACGCACGGCGTGCGACGTGGGAGTCGGTGAAATCAACTCAATTATTTTTACTCGTATTTTGTTGACGTTTGATCATCGTTTTAAGAGTCATCACGACCGCCCCCCGTGTTCCAGCCAGACAGGACAGCCGCCGATGCATTAACGCTTTCAGCTTTACTTGGAAAGCGTAACATTTTTTTACAAATTGGTAATAAAAAATAACTATGCATCCGTAATAGGTGTCTTGAAATAGCTGCGTGCACGGCTTAAATAATTCCACTCGTAAAGGCATTATAAAAGGGGCAGGACGAATGCATATTTAGCAGGGGTATACCTTGAAAGATAGCATAAGTTTCCTTTACTTCACTTGGACATTTCCAGAACCATAGAAGCGCAGCTTAACCGTGTACCCCCTCATACAAGTGTTATGGATGCCGAGCGGCAAACCCTGTTAGAAAATAAATAATTATACACTCGCCGGGTATCACAGCCGCTCGTGAGTTCGAATAGCACGCTCGACTCTCATTGGCAAGGGTCTCATCGCAGGGGCGGCTGATGTAGGGGGGCACACAATCGGATGTGAAGGTGGAAAACCATTCAAACCGGATTGGTCGTCAGGGAGCAACTAAATTTGAAATGAGACCGTTAATTGGATGACAGTCATGGAGAGTTCCAGAAATGATGGGGAAGAGAATAAAAGGTAGGAACAGAATGGGGTTCGGGGTGGCGCCTGAACTGAGTGACGTGTTGTTTGGAAGACTTAATGAAGTCGAAGTTTCCAGACTTAACCCGTGCTGCTCTAACCTCACCATTGCTCCTCACGCCTTCAGAACCGTGGCTGCAGGCGGTGCAGGCTCTCATGATCCTGTCTGTCATCCTGGCCTGCCTGGCGCTCGGCCTCTTCGTCTTCCAGCTCTATCGCCTCAAGAAGGGCGGCCGCTTCGTCATCTCTGGCGGCGTCCTCCTGCTGGCCAGTACGTGAGCACGCGCCGCTACTCCCACTCCCACAGAGGGGCCCCCGCGTTGTTTCCACGCGCCCGCAGTGGCGTTGCTGCCTGGTCATTCCTGCTCCACTGAGCATTGACGCAGTGCTCGCGTCCCGTTTAAGAGCCCTGGGCCAGTGGTGGGGAAATCTACATTGCTATGGCATGGGCGAGGCTATCCATAGCACACAGCCACTGTTGACTTTTGCACAAAGTGGTAATCGTTTTAAAGACCCCGGGGGGGTGGTGGGCCGAGCCAAACCCCGACCGTAATTTGAACTCCCAACCATTCGATTCGCTCTACCGCTGAGCCACCTGACCGGTGGCGAGATGTTAACTACCTCGCCTGGTATTTAGGGGCTCGTGGGTTTGGTCTCAACCCTGACGCCTGTATATTTGGAGTTTGCATGTTCTTCCGGGGTTGCTTTGGATTTTTCTCCTGATCCTCCGGTTTTTCCCTCCACATTTAGAAGCAGGCGTTTGGAGCATTTGGGTTGCTATACATTTCCACATGACAACCCACTTGATTGACCTATCATTTGTGGCAAGGGTCGCTTTGGAAAAAGAGCTCTATAGCTCATTGGGCCTTATCTGGTCAAATAAAACCAGTGTTTAGTGTGCTAATAATGTTAAATAAAGGTTAAGATACAGCCCAGCAATTGCTTGCTCATACCACTACTGGCACGAACTAATCTAATCGGCAACCTGTGGATTACAAGTCCAGTGTGCTAGAAGCTCCAAATTAAGTTTTATCAATTATAATGTTGATGATGATAATAATCATCATCTGCGAGATGAAGGCCTACCTAATGTGTTTCAGTCGTGAGTGCTGTTTGTCCATACTTCAGCACATTGGTCACTGTAAGGTGGCAAAAACGGGAAGCCCGGGACACTTTCAGATATCGCTCGCCACTGATGTTTGCCGTGGCTGGGAATTGACCTCGGGTCACCAGGTTCATAGTGCAGTGCTCTCGCCATTGCACCATCGCTCCAGCCGTAAAATATGACTTGTGCATCTTTCCAACTGTCCCACGTCCCTTCTGCTCCGTAATTGGCTCATATGAGGTGGCAATTAGATGCCTTATGAGTGAAAAACGGATTGTAATATTAACATTGACAAGGACAGTCACTAGCAATAATCAAGCGTGGACATTTTTTAATATCTGGTACAAATGGAGAAACTGTATATTTCTATTAACGAGTGGACATGGCGGTATTATTTTAACAAGCAGAGGTGGGGTCGACTTGGAATTCGGCTGCCAAAAAACCCCAGCATCAATGTATTATGATAACGAGCGCTTAGGGTTTAAGTTTATTTGCTTAACTCAAGAGACCAGGATAAGTTTCATTTTGCAAGAGTGACCTGGGGAGGTCACCAAAATGGAAAAAAAGCAAAACAAATAAAGTAAAGTATAGCAATAAAGCAATTAGTTAATCCTGAGCAAAGGAAAACCGCGTTCCATGAGGAATCGAAATTGCTGCACAAACATAAACTAACGTGATTGAAAATGTATTTCTGTAACGCAAGCTGGCGCGGATAAATGCTTTTAAACTGTTCATCATAATAGTTTAGATACAGAAACGTTAAAGAGATGTGGGTTGATTATTGCATAATAATGTAAACAGACAGATATCAAATATACGCGTTTGGCTAAGGTTGTTTGGTGCAAAAGCATGTTTATTAGAAAATATCTCGTCAAAATGGGTGAAGCGATGCTTATTCCCATTACTGGTCCTGAACCAGTAACCAACATTCCAGATTCATAAACCAGAGACCAATTTTATATTTGGGACAACAAACGGTTAAGTAATAATTAATTATTAAATGCATTCATTGTCTATTTACTTTAAATTTTCCTATTTACAGTTTTGTTAAATTGAAAAAAAAACGCGTCTTGTTAATTGAGCCAGTTCAAGTAAAGATTTAGATCTCAATGTGTGTACACGTGTTCCACGCGCGTGTGTGTGTGTGTGCGTGTGTGCGTGTGTGCGCGTGTGCGTGCGTGTGCGCGTGTGCGTGTGTGCGCGTGTGCGTGTGTGTGTGTGCGTGTGTGCGTGCGTGTGTGCGCGCGTGTGTGTGCGTGTGTGCGTGTGTGCGCGTGTGCGCGTGTGCGCTTGTGCGCGTCTGCGCGTGTGCGCGCGTGCGTGCGCACACGTGTTCCGCGTGACGCAGACAGCGTTAATTGTTGAGCGCCGTCACACGCGGGGACGCGTTTAACGATCATCAGGCGCGTGCAGCGTGGAACATGTCAATTTGTATTTGAATGGGGGGGGAGGAGTAAATTGTTAAACGAGGAGAGACATAGCGTGGTGGGTTGCGAGGACTGGAGTATGGGAAACCCTGTCGTACAAAGTCATAACGATAGCAATGATTCTCACTTAAAACAAAAAAACAAGTCGTCACGTGCTGGCCCCCCGCACGTCAACGAAGAGCGTAACAGCCTAATCGTGTGTAAACGCCTTTTCATTTTTGCGTCTCGCCCACCCACCCACCCGTGCAGGTCTGTGCGTGATCGCGGCCGCTGCGGTGTACACCGGCCAGTACCCCTCCACAGAAGCACCGTACAATTCGGGCAACTTTGGGCACTCCTACATCATCGCGTGGGTGGCCGCTGGACTCACCTTCATCAACGGCCTCATCTACGTCTTCCTGCGGAAGCGCTCCTAAGCTGTCTGCCCCCCAGGCACTTCCGTACAAAAAAAGCATCCCAGTCACACACGGCATTTTGGCCACTGAATCTCTGCGGTAGTGGTTACAATTAAATACACACACAAATTCTTTTTTTTTAAAGTGCAGCTATGTGCTGGCAAAGTCATCTTTTATCTTTGCTCTTTCTTTATGTTTTAGTTTTCTATTATTCACTCACAATGTATTGAAGCGTTACAGTGCGTTTCCCTTGATTACAAATGCGCCATTGGTTTTGTTTTTTGTTTACAGTGCTGGCAAAATTACTCAGACATTTTTTAACCTTAATTTTTTGGCTTCAATCGCCTGCTTTTAAAAAGAGATGTGGTGAATATTTGAGTCTAGTTCCTTTTTGTTTATCATTACTGTTATTATTAACGTACACATTAAATAGGTAATCCTGAGTCCTATGGGCACAAATTATTAGAATTATTAACACACGGATGTTGATAGTGGGAGTGACTTCTTGCTCGATTACGATTTAAAAAATTCTATATTTTAATTTGATATGCGGTGAGGAATGGTGGAGGTTGCCCCCTCAGGCTTGGCACATACGGTAGAATCACCACGGCTTTACAAGCGAAAGGAAGGAAATGTGTGCGCGCACACTCTAAGTCATTAAACATTCTTAGCAAACTTAAAAAGGCCATATGTAAAGAAGCAAGCACAAAAAAATATACACACGTGTCATCCATGTGTTTTTTTTTAGCAATCGCTAAGCGTGCCAGCAACGCCACGTGCAACACAAACAAGGCAACTTTCATTCCCAATATTTATGTAACTCATCCATCTGTCCAACGCGGCAGGTGACTATGTGTATGAGCACCGCAAAAACCCACAGGTGTCAAATACATGAAAAGGAAGCTGATTTATGTTTAATGCCGCTCGTATGAAAAAAAGGTGACTCGCTGAGTTGTGTGAATCTGTCGTGTGCAAGAATTTTTAAGCACGTGTGTTCAGCGATTGCAAACACACAGATTCCTTTTTGTTTCCAAGTGCTTTAACGCTGAAGAAATATAAACAAGGTTTGTTTTGCCTTGAATAAACATTAGGAAGCAGAGTTGCCTTTAACCTTTTGCCAATAATGTATTTCCAACGATTAAGGCGGCGGTGGTGGGTTTGTGCATCTCAGTTATTGTGGTAAAGAAAGAAAAGAAAAAAAAATCTACTTTCAGGCGTAATTTTTAAACGTGCGTTAACAGTGTTTATATTAATCTTGCGTTCGTATTTTGGTTCCTAAAGTTTTTTTTGTTACTAAGACACATTCAGGTGATCTCGTCATTCTTTGAAAGTTCGTGTGGAGTCGTGTACAATATCGCGCGTATGATCGGATGTCATAGGATAAAAGCAGGGGCTTTCACAGTTACACCTTCCTCTTGGTAAATCAAACATTACGGTTTGCCTTTTTCACTTAACATGCGGACATCTGATTAGACGGCTGGCTCGGGCAGCAGCAGGCCCTCTTGCCGGCAAACATGACCCCATCATAACCTCCGGGGAAGAAGCTATGGTGGCATTGGCATTTTCACATGAATCCACTTCACTTCAGTTTCCACGGGATGTCACAGCAGATTCGACAAATATCTCTTTCTTTCTTCACCCCTTCCACAGGGCACCCGTCTAACATACACAAACAATAGTTGGGCACACAGTTGCAATGATGGTTAACGACCCACCACCCCCCCTTCACGATTAACATCCTTGTTTCAGCAGCAGTAAATGGATAAGCTTGTGTCGTCTGCGTTTGGTCAACCAATATTGTATGTTTACCAGAAAACCGTTTGGAATTATAGTCCAGTAGCAAGTCAGCGTCTTTGACATCAAGGATCTTTGAGGCAGAGATAGCCCAGAGCCAGAGCTATATAAATTCCACATTTTTATGACAGGGGCCAGACCCTTAATAAGTGTGTGGGCACTTATGAAAGCAGCGTTATCCTACTAAATGACCATATACTCTAAGAAAATGTTACCATTTTAATTCTTACAATGAAAACAAATATTTTTAACTAAATCCGAAAGTAACTTGTGTGTGCGTGCGGGTACAGTATACGTCTACGCATTTGCGCTAATTCATTTATAGCTAACGAAAGTAGTCGATCTTAAATTGTGGGCCGTAATTAAACATCCACAACTGTTTCCGCAAGTGCCACTGTCTTTACACTGCTTTCTTTGGCTGCACGTTATTATTGTTCGGGCATGTCACTGGGAAATTAGTTTTATTTATCTCTTTTTGTTTTGCATTCATTCCATCTAGGTTCTGGCTTCGTGTAACGCTACTGGGGTTTATTTTACACACGTACAGTGTTTGCTACTGTATGACTAATACATACTTTGGGAAAAGGTGGCCAGAGGCACAGCACATTACTTAGCGTCTTGAATCGTACAAGAAATATGCCTATAAAACTTACATTTATTTACGAATGAATATAGTAATTTAAAGGATATCCAATTGTGATGTTTGAAACACTACATTTTCTCGGAGCCAAATGTGTTAACACGTTACATACATATGGTACCCAACACAAATTAAGAAACACGTTAAGCGATGGAAGTAAATCATTAGAATTCGATTAAATAAAGGTTTGGGGAAGGTTATTAAGAAGCAAACATAGCTGACTTGCAGATGTTATATTTTACGTGCCTCACCTGAAACTCAGAGTGAACGAATAAACGGCGATGTATTTCAAAAATTTACCCTCATCCATTTACTACGGCTGGAAACTATAATTTAACATTGTCGTTCCACTCATGGATCAAGACCTCCCCACTCCATGTTACTCATGTTTTTTTTTAATAACATAAGTCCAGGTTGGTGAAGAGTGGAGAGAGCAGTGCCGAGTCTATCACCTTGGCCACTGATGTTGACTGTTGATGAGAATCGAATTTGGACCGGTTCATGGCTAACTAACTTTTTCTTTTAGCAGGTAAGATCAAATAAAAGGCCCGCTGAGCTGGCCACAAATACTAGCTCAACGAAAATTGGCTTATCGGTCAAATACACGAAACGCAAGTTGATTTGAAATGCGGAGGGAAAAACCGGAGGGCTTGGAGAAATATACACACATCTATGGAGAGAAGACATAAACTCCAAATATACAAGTGTCAGGGTCGGGATCGAACCCATGTCCTGTATACCAGGCGAGGTAGTTAACATCTTGCCACCGTGGTTAGCTCATTGTGTTAACGCCAATACCACCGCTTCCACTCAATGCTATGTTGCCTGGCATAAAAAAAAGAATTAACTAATAAATAAGGCAACAGTACATTGCCCATTATCATCATCGGTATACTAAATATAATCATACATTTGCCAGCGTTGTGAAGTTTCATTATATTGCTTTGTTCAAGTTTAAACAAAAACACTCCATTGGAATATCTTTTGACAACATTTTATTTGCAACCATTACATTTGTTCTATATTATTTTTAGAACGATCTTACCATTTGCAGTCATGGAGTTGGGCATTGGATATGAAATATATATTGAAAGTATGTCTATATGCTTTTTTGGAAGAATTTTGTTGCAGATTCATAATTAGAAGCATGGTATATTTCCATACGGTTAACTGTCCTAACAGGTTACTATTCATCATGATGTGGACATTTTATTCAAATGTATCGAAATGTTTTAATTGGCTACGATGGACATCATTGTATTTATCCCTAACCTGCAACGGAATTTTCTGGTTTTAAATAAAGGCTTTGGCCCTCATTAAAGTCTGCCTGCTGATTGGGTCAGCGGCTCAGTGGGGCAGAGGCCTTGCTGACAAGGCAAGGCGATCAGCAAGAGGTGATGAGGTCATGGTTTCAGATCTACGCGTCCAAGTTGTTATCTCACCCGTCACTGTTATCACGCATGCGAGAGGTTTCGCATCCCCAAGTCCCAAGACTTGCCGAAGATCAGCTGTTGGTGATAATAAAGCAGTGTTGTACATTTTTTTTCGTCAGGCATTTCTACAAATGCTTTGCAACTTGACTGTAACATCGTAGATAAATACGATTAGTTCTAAAGAAGCATCGCACATTCATGATACTCTAGAAATCCGACCCTTAAGTGTTCGACCCTGTTTACTAATCACTATGTGAAGTTGACTGGAAAACGATCTTAGATTTTAATACATTTTTAAGAGTGACAACTCAACGAAAGTGTTTGTATGCCGGCATAGCTCTTCAACAATAAATCCCTGGAAGCTGTTGAAATTGTGCCTTAACATTGAACGTCATGGCTTCTGTGGACTTGTGATTGGTCAAAACCATTCCATGTGACCCTTACAAATATGAGTGATACTATTGAAAGCCAGCATGGGGTGGTTGCTGCCATGATCGGTTTCCCCTTTCTCGTACGATGGTCACCTGGAACCTTTTTGATGAATCCCATCCTGATTTTAAGCCATAATGCTCAATGGTACAATTGCAAAAAATAAAGAAACTGATCTAAAGAGACTTGGCAGGTGCATAGATGACATTGTACCGCTTGGCTGTGTAGCTCATCTGATGAAATATTGTTCATTTGACACCAATACAGGGCAGCCTTTTTCATTGTTTTAAACTGTAGGTTATGACATAATATCTCAAATGTTCAAAACGTGGATTTATTTTTTTGTTTAAAATAGAAATATATCTCGAGTCGATTTCATTATTGTAAAATGAGCTGCAAAAATATTTTTCAGGAAATATATTTTGGAAGAATGTTTTAGATTCATTTGCTCGAGCAATATAGTGGCTATTCTACCATGCCGGACAATAATCTATCCATATTTACACTTTGGATAAATACCTTTTATTTCCATGGCTACATTGGGTGGAAATTTTTTTGCACTTCCCAAAATGAAATCTGATGTGAAAGGCAGTTTATTGCTGCATGCCGATGCAACAACGCTTTGGAGTTAACAGGATTTAATACATACTGCCATGGTTAGCTACAAGTTGCCATGTTTCAAAGAACGTTGCGGGTTTCATTCGCCGTTGCAGTTTTAATCGGGCACCTCAGTGATGTAATATGCTGAAAGGTGTTGGAACTCCTTAGCACAAATGTGAATGAATACTAACAATACATTACACCGGCATTTGTATGTGTTTGCATTGCCTTTTGTATCCATTATAAATCAATATTTTTACGGAAATAATAACTTTGAATGGAATGGTGCTAAATATAATTCACCGTACTTGACATTACAGATGTCAACCCAAATGCATAACAAAGTTAATTTGTGATGGAAGATGTTTACCTGAATTGATCTACATCTGTAAAGAGTGAGACCCAATGTGAACCAAATTCTAAGCGCAATGTGCTTTATAAAAATCGTCAATTATAATAATGGAATGTGCCAAATATTTTTCCACTCAATGTATGGATTATCCTTTTCTATTTTTTACTTGTATTGTTTAGATGCATAAAATAACTATATAAATGTTTAGATGTTTTTTTTCAACCCAGCAAATAAAAAAACCGGTTCTAACTTTGTAATTTACTTTTCATCCCATGAAAAATCCTAATATCAAAATGTGTTGTAGGATTATATAAAACAGAGATTCATATTGTGAGGGAGAAACTCTGAGAGACACATTGTTGGAATGTACAAATGCTGTAAGATCCTACAAGACATTTTATTGAAAGCTTAGGATTTTAATTTCACGAGGGATGTGTTAATCCAAAACAACGATATATCTTGTGTACAGTGTATAAACGCTCATGTAGGTGATGTGTAATGTGGCTAGTTTTTAAGACGTGTTCACACTTGACACTGGGTGCGGCAGAATTATTGGCGGGTAATCAAAACTACATTGCCTTTGCCCTCTTGAGCCTACGTGGGCTGTGTGCTCTGACCAGAGTAATACGATTAATCGTCGTCAGCCATGGTCAATCCACTGCTGGATGAAGGCCTCCCCAAGACGTTGCCACCACATCGTACAATCCTGTGACGTAACCCGCATTAGCACGTAAACCGACTTCAGCGGCGCTCCATTGGTTGACTGAATATTTATGAAGGTCAGGTTGGGTCGTTCATCCGGTGCCCCTCTCCATGAAACAGCATCCCTGAGTGGTTCCTCGGGTATCAAAGATCGGATCAATAATCTGTGCTTGGTTACGGATCAGCTTTAATGATGGTGTTACTGTGCCACCCGCTGCAATTGGGCGTCGGCGGCAATGCTGCAAGGCTTGACACAACTGGGCACGTGGCACGGATAATGATCGTGTAGTTTCTTGATGTTCCGTATTCGATGAAAAAAATAATAATTGGGAATTTAAAGTTGCCCCTGAAACTGGGTAGTCTGGTTTCTTTTAAGATCACAGGTTTCGTCTGAAAATTCCTCAGAAAATTCATGTATGGTTTGATCTTATACATTGTCTCGTGTGAACTCGGCTTTGGCTTTTTAAAAGCAACACGCTTGTTAGTTTAATTAGCGGTGGACTGTGTAGCAGTTAGCACGAGTCATTAGACATGATTTTATTTTTCTTTTGCTTGGCTTTTAGTGGGCTTTTCAATTCTTTCCGTAAAGCCTTGTCAAACTGAAACAAAAACTGCTTTGCGTTTTTTTATGTTGTGTTTTAGAAGAGTGTTATTGTTTCTGGCAGGGGAAGTTTTTGTATCACCAATAAAGGACATTGACGCATATGTGACAAGTGTCATTTTGCATAAATGGTCACGATTTTCTTTTGCTGCATTATGAGTTACTGGAATGTGCAGCGAGGGAGTCATGCATTCATTCAATTTCTTCTCCGCCGGATACAACTGAATAACGAGGAAGAAAAACCATGCGTGCGCACGGATTGTTTGATAAATGCCTTTCAAGATGCGTTTCTCTATTAAGTATTTAAATTCGCAATGATGATGTTAGGTTTATAGCCTCTCCACGATGACGCCACACGGCTCACGCCTTTATTGGCCGAAAAAGCTTACCCATTTATCGCTAAATCTTGGGCAACCCAATGATTTACAGTATTTGCCTTTGAAGCTCAAATTGAAATTGTATTGGGATCTGCCTTACGACGGTTACCTTGACTGCCGCCGATAGACACGGACGGACGGCTCGTGAAGTAACGCTCTCAACTCTACACGCAAAAGCATTCAAGATGTATTCACACGTATGCCGTTCTGCAGAAATCCTCAATATGCATTTAAGTAGCGTTCGTTTAGAACGCAGCGATGTTAAAACTAAGTGTTCTTCCCGCTTGCCCCAATGTAAGTGAATAATAGGTTACTTTGGGACTGACACTCATGGGAACAGACACTTAACCTCATGGTATTCATCATGCATAATAGGCGAGGCTATTCTCTTACAAAAAAAAAACCTCTTGTAAGCCAAATGTTTTAACAAAGTGCACTTAACGGGTAATTTTTCCAGGCCCGCAGCATTGAAAGTGTCCGACAGATCGCCGGAGGGGCTTCTGTGTGTAATGGAAAGGCAGCAGGGCCCCTGTAATTTTCCAGGTGGTCAAACACACGCGCTGGAGAAGGGGGCTAGATACATAATTATTATTGTTATTATTGCCCGTCGAAGGGCCGAACCTAGGGCTCGCGAAAGCACGACGACGCTCAGAGCGAGCCCCCCCTTGCCTTGACAAGAGGGGCCCAGGGCATGGTAAATCGCGGCGCGCGTGCGTTTGTAAACGGATCAAGCGTGGCTGTAATATTTTCAATACGTGTGTGTGTGTGTTCGTGCGTGGATCAAGCTGCGATATTATTAATACGGCATTTGACATCGTGAAAGTGATTGCTGTCACGTGATTTCTGGATGTAAATTATACGATTTGCGGATCGTAAAAATCACCCCCGTTGTAGGCCGCCCCTTGACGCCGATTGACGTCCGGCTACCTTGACATAATTTAGCATTCTGTCGCGGATTCGTATTATCCTGTTACAGCGCGACGTGACCAAAGCCGCAGAGTGTGAGGCACCGCCAACCATCAGCCCCTCACCCGGTTCCAATCGGTGAGCCTTCTTGTATTGTCCACAGCCCCCCAACCCTCTCCTTCCACCTCCCTTGCCACAAGTCTCGGGCTTCCTGTGAGTTTTCCTTCTCAAGCGAACGGGGTCCGATTGCCTGACCTAACCACCCACCCACCCCTCCAGCCATCCGACTCCCTTAACCCCCCTCTTTCACAACTTCTGATAAATGGGTGGCGAGGTTTCTGGTAAAGCTGCGTTTCCGTTGTTGGCCGGCCCCAACAGACTCTCCCGGTTGCTTATGGGCCGTCCATAAATGACGTCACGCACGTGGGGGGGGGGGGGTCAGATTTTTGTGACGATGTGTGAAGAGGGGGGGGGGGGGTTGAGAAATGTGACTTCACATCAAAATGCGCAAATTTAAACAAATATAGAATTGTTATAACAACACTCCTACGACATCAGAGTGCAGCGCCACATTAAATACGCACAAAATGACAATAGTTTAACGCGATTTGAAGCATGTTTTATTTTCAAAATGGAAATGTTTTTTTTTGGAGGGGGGGGCAGAGCTTTGTGACGTCATATGTGAGGGGGGTCTGACTTTTTGTGACGCCGTGTGACGAAGGGGGGAGGTCAAAAATCGTCCAAAATTGCGTGACGTCATTTATGGACGGCCCCTTAGGGACCAGTGGTTGCTTTGGTTGGTAGCGTCAAATATTCTCAGTGGACACCTCCCTCGGCTCCCATCGACACCCGCAATGAAAACGAAGAGAAGCCGTCCCACGCAGCTTGCGTCGTCTCGGGCAGCCAACAAACCTCGGGTTGACATCTCTTGGAAGGGACCGCCGAGACACATTGTCCTCGGCAAGTTTGAGCAGTTGCCAAGCACGGGCAACGTGCCATTCGACAGAAATTGGACGTAGAGGAAATAAGACGTAAAATAACAGTGGCAATAATCAGAGCATAATGACCGAAAGGATGAGATCGCAGGTACAAGGGGGCCGAAATGAGGTTTGCCCGGCTCACTCTCCGTGATCGGGTGAGGAGCTCGGTTATTCGGGAGAGCCTCAGAGTCGAGCCGCTGCACCTCCGGATCGAGAGGAGCCAGTTGAGGTGGTTCAGACGCCTTGTAAGGATGCCCCCGGTACCGGGCAGCACGCCACACTGGGAAAGGGTTCATCTACTTCTGGGAACGCCTGGGAATTCCCCAGGAAGAGATCAAGTATGTATAGTAGTGTATAGTGTAGTTTATTGTAGTGTAGTGTATAGCGTGGTGTATAGTGTGGTGTATACTAGTGTAGTGTATAGTGTAGTAGTGCATAGCAGTGTATAGTGTAGTAGTGTACAATGTAGTAGTGTATAGTGTAGTGTATAGTGTAGTGTAGTAGTGTATAGTAATGTAGTGCTGGAGTCTATCGCCAGGGAAAGGGAGGTCTAGACCGCCACTACTCAACACGCTGCCACCGCGACCCTCAACAAGACAAGCGGATTGAGAAATGAACGAACGAACGCACACATATATATGTAAAAGAAACATTGTTCTATATTATTTCGAAAGACCAACGAGGTTATTATGGAAAATATTTGCTACTAAAACGTCCCAATAAACTTGATACCTCTCTTTCAAGGAAATCACTTTCAAGTTGCGGGAAAGGTTGTTCACCCCCACCCCCCACCACCACCACCGTTAAATTTGGAAATTCCTAACTTTGGCATATTCCAATGGGAATGATGATGCATTCCCACGGACATCCATCCACCAGAAAGCTGCCACGACGCTCAGGGAGTTCCGTTCTGCATGTGCACTGTTGCCACGTGGTGTGCGCGCACGTGGGAACCGTTCCAACTGCAACCTCGCAGGGTCGCCGAGTCACACTTGAGAACATCGCCACCACCGTCCGTTTCTTCGACGATTCGCTAGCAGAATCCCTGGACGTTCACCATGAGGCTTATTCTACGTCCATCCACTGGCTCATTCGCCAAACCTCAACGTGAAAATTACATACATTGCTCCTCAATTCCCCGGGCCCATAGTATCCATGTACATATTTTGGGTTTTACGTAAAACTAGGAGTGATTATATGGGTCTATGAGTCTCTATTGAAGTCTATGAACCTCCGTATGAGCAAACTTAATTTGGAGCTTGTGTGTTTTATCTCTCTCTCTCAAATTTAGCATTCTCAGGAAGAACGTAATCAACCAGGTAGGGTGTTGACTGTTATGTTATCCGACTCTCTGTTGTATTACATAACATTTCATTTGTACCTGATGACGATTGCTTGTGTTGCAATCGAAACGTCGTATGCTAGTATTTAATTTATTATTTTATCTTTATACGTGACTTTACCGAAAGAACCAAAGAGTAACTCCGTATGAGCCTATGGGGTCTCTATGTAAGTTTATAAATCTCTATGTTGAGTCTATAGAAGTCTATGGACCTCCACGTGAGCCTACGAGTCCCGATGTAAGTCTACGGATGTCAATGTGAGTTTATATCTCAAACCAGGGACCACGTTGACGCCACTGTCCGCTTTGATTGCTCGCCGTCAGCAGCAATTCAGACGAGATTTGAGGCTTTCGTGACTGCAAGGATTCATACGCTTAGGTTCTTTCGGTAAAGTCACGTAGGTAAAAATAATAATAATAAAATAAAATTATAATAAATGAAAATAACGAAATTAAATCACGACGTTTCTGAAGCAACACAAGCCACCGTCATCAGGTGTAACTGCTCCAGTAAAATTTACTGTAGCGTGTGAAGAAATGTATTCAAGACACGTGTCTTTGATATAGGGTGCTGGGCAGGGAGGAGACAATGAGTCGGGGGGGGGGAGAGATAACCATCTCGGTGCTTGTACACTGCAAGTACGGTGCTTGTACATTGCAAGTACGGTGCTTGTACACTGCAAGTACGGTGCTTGTACACTGCAGTAATTTTACTGGAGCAGTTACACCTGATGACGGAGGCTTGTGTTGCTTCCGAAACGTCGTGATTTAATTTAGTTATTTTTATTTATTATTTTATTTTATTATGATTTTTTTACCTACGTGACTTTACCGAAAGAACCTAAGAGTAGCAATTCAGACGTTCACCAGTCTACTCCTGGAGCCCGTCCACCGGATCACCCGCCAATCTCGACACGAAAGTAGAAGCGCTCTGCCAATCAGCTCTCTGCCGCTGTACGGAAGAAGGAGAAGACTGACTGTGAAAGTACTGCCAGGGAGCCACCCATTAAGAAGGATGACCGAAGAATATGAATGGTCAACACTTCACCCGGCCTCAATTGTCACGCCAGTGTTTGGTGTTCACGTAATGTGCACCAGGGTGCCCTTTTAAGACGCGCCAAACCAAGACGTGCTCTGGGTCCCGATCGGATTTCATGAAATGCCACTGGTGTTGTACGTGGCCAGGAATTGAACCCAGATTTTCAAGTCACTGGCATCTTAGTGCAGAATGGTAACCCATGGGCCATTACAATCATCCGCACACATGCAGACTCGTGGTAAAAAAAAAAAAAACAGCCTCGTTAATACAAAGGTAATGGGCACAAAAATTTCGCACAACACACGTGCGGACATACTTTACTGGACATCTGTGAAAAAAAAACTTCACAGCTCATCGGATTCCTCCAGTGTAAATAAATATTCTGATTCTGATACACGTGCGCATGTGCGCACAAAGCCCGCACAATACTCTCACTGCACCCCACCGCAAAATATGCTTTTGCACCGACAAGCTCAAATCGTATGGACTTTGACTTTACGACAAGTCCTTCTTTGCACCGTGCCATTTGATTGTTGACTGATTTCACACCCTCTCACCCCCCCCCCCCCCCCGGCCGTTTTATAACTTCGCTCACAAAGTCGCGGATCCTACGCACCGCTGGTCGAGTCTCCGTACCAGCCCGGCGAGGTGCCAGAGGAGTCGCCGCCGTCTGTCGGGGTGTCATGAGCGCGTCAAAGTGGCTCGGCCATGGCTCTGCGCTCGGTTCCGTGGCTTCCGCCGCCGCTGCTACCGCTGCTGCTGGTGGTGCTGCTGGTGGTGCCGCGTCTCGCCGCGGGAAGCGGTGAAGCCACCGTGGAGTACCTGGTGAACGTGATTCTCATCCAGAACGATCATCTGCCGTGGTCCCTCGACAAAGTCGCTCCGTTCATAGCGCTCGGGATCGAGCACGCTAATGGAAGGCTACGCTCGGCAGGTGAGCTGCCCGCTGGACTCGACGTTAGTTCCGACAGAGCAAAAAGACAAGTAAAAAATGATAGGCGGCATGAATTGACGTGTGTAGTACTCTATGTGTATGTTGCTGTTATTGTTCGTTTGTGACTTACCACTGTAAGGCAAAGGCCTCCACCAATGTTTGTCAATTCCTTCCCAATGTTCCCGTCTAGCACTGGCCTCTCGAAATCCGTGATGTCGTCTCAACTACTGCTATCCCTTCCGCTGCCTTCGGTCTCCACTCACGGAGTGGTTTCTGTCTCTCAGAACTCTGTCTCTCTCATCTCTCTGTCGCGAAATTGCCACTCGATTTATTTTGCTTTAACAACAACAGCATCGGTGACCCAACCCCCCTGTTCCTTTCCTTAGTTATTCATTCTTTAACCTATCTCTCTTAGATGTACTTCCAAAATACTTCTTTCCATAGATCACTATACATATATAAACCCAGACAAATGCAGAGAACAGCAACCACGCTTAATTAACTGATGGTGATGCCACTGTGCACTTTGAGGTTAGGCGGAGCGTTGAAGGCACACATGAAGGACATTATAGAAAGGTTGAGGGGGGGAATTATAAAAGTATGTATCAATAAATATAAATATCTCGAGGCTCGCCATATTTGCACTGAACTACTCGAGTAACAATCGATGTTTCTAGGCGTTGTGTGAATGATCTGCAAATGCGTTCTAAAATCAATTTAACACTTAGGCTTTCGTGACCAATATTTCCATCAGGCGGTGAAGCTAGTTGTAATCACCAAGCGGAATGTCGTTACTCAAATTGTAAAAGTTGTGGGTTTACTTAAATCCAACGCACCGGTGTGCTGAAGTAGTAACTAATTGACACGTTTTGTTCACGTGACAAATCTTACGAATTGTCTGTGTCGGGTGGTGGTGGGATTAACGACACATTTATATTCACTTGATTTAACCCGAAACATTTTATTACTAATGTTCTAAAATAAATGTCTTTCTATCAATTAAAATTTCCTGTAATAATAATCGATGACGATGGCCGTGTCAATCAACGAATGTGAGGTGGTCAATATTCACTCCGTTTACATATTTATGCCTTTATTGTTCTCATCCCATTCATGGGAACCCACCGTGGAATGTCTCTGCGAGCAACATTCGTGAAAGTTTGTCTCCTTAATCTGTGTCTTGCTACTTGAAGAATGTTACGATGAAGAAGAGGGCAGAGTTGAGCTCATGACGAATACCGCGCGAGGCAAACAAAAGTCACGCACAATATCTTCACCAAATAGGTGAAGATATCATCTGTGGGGCTAACGCAGCTGTAAACACACATCTCAGTAAGTGGTGGTAGCTGGGCAGTGGTGGCTATCAGCTCCTGCGATCCAGCACAGCGGAGGACAGCCAAGGGTATGGGCATCGCTGTGATGCCACACGGGCAGTGAGTTTCATATCGTCTGTGTGATCAACCCTGGCCTCCAGAGTGCCGCATTGCAGGTGTGCGTAGCCAACCACTAGCCCGGCTACTGCTCCAGCAGAGATTGTGCATGGCCAGTGGTCGAGACTAACGGCAGAATGGCAGCCAAAAGAGTGAACATGCCTGAGAGCATGGCAACAATGTAGCTGGAGTAATGAAAGCTCGTGTGCAGGCAAACGCGAACGATAACGACAGCTTGGAGAGGGCCTTCATCCAACAGTAGCTTGATATTCTCTGACGATGACGATGATAACATCTGAATAATACACTCAAGCTCACGTAAGAAATGTTTTTTTTTACAAATGACATCTTAAAGAAAAAACCATGTAATCATACAAATTATAAGTTACAAAGTGAGGCGTGCGTCGTGGCAAATCCATTAAATCTCCAGAGGGTTGGGGTAAATCATGCACCCATAATAGTGAGCACAAACACTCGGGCGTTAGAAGTTAACACATTACCACGGACACGTGCACAAACTGTGTGCGTGTTGAACTTCTTTCGCACCGTACGTAGCCAACCGTGCTAATCGGAGGTGCGGGGGAAGGACAACAAACTAAACACAAGTATGTAATTCAGTGAAATGCAGTGGAGAGGCAATTACTTCCTTAATAGTGACTTGATTGCAAGGATCCATACTCTTTGGTTCTTTCGGTAAAGTCACGTAGGTAAAAATAAAAAATAAAATAAAAATAGAAATATTTTTTTATAAAAGTAAATTAAATCACGACGTTTTTGTGTTGCAATCGAAACGTTGTGATTTTATTTACTTTTTTTTTACCTACGTGACTTTACCGAAATAACCAAAGAGTAGTGACTTGATTGTTTAAAATAAGGGTCACATTAAAATACTTGTAGGCGAAACGTCGTACTCAGTTTGTAAATGTTGTGGCTTGGCTCTCCAACACATTGGTGTGCTGTAATAGTGACGAATTGGCGACGTTCTGTTTACGTAACAACCCTCGCTAGTTGGCTGTGTCGGGTGGTGGCGGATTTTGGCGACACATTCATATATTTACGCGATCTAACCCAAAAAACCTCCATTATGGATTTGTATGCATGTAATGTTTGTATGCATGTAATGTTTACGTCACGCGTAATGTTAAAAACACACACAGACAGACATGTTCAGTGCATGTGAATACATGTGTGGACGGTGCAAAATTGAAGTCAGTTTGTAAAATGTAAACTTTGCTTTTTTAGTTTTACGAGGGCCTCAGTGGGTCAGCGAGTTGGGAAACATGGAGTCCTGTCCCCTCGCAATTCTACCAGTAGCTCCGGATTAAGATAGTGCGGGGCCTGGAGCATATGCTATAAAGGGAACCTAAATTAAAAAAAACCTGTAAATATTAAAACATAATTTTTTTTACTTGCATAATAAAGTAATTGTATTTTTTCATTTCCTATACAGCTAGATAATACGACAAATCGCTAACCTCAAACACCCAGTCGTTCATAAAAGTTGAAGGCGGTATAGTACTATAGTAATAGAGCAAGTGCAGAATCACTGAACCGAAATTGATAGCTTGAAAGCATTTAGCGCGGGACCCTTGAAAATGCGGGGCCCGTAGCTACTACATATGTATCTACTTTTGCTACTGAGATAATATAATCCGACACTGCTCTCTTACCTCCAATACCCAACGTGTATACGAAGCTGTTTTTCCGATTTCGGACTAAATCGCCTGCATTTTTGGTTTCCGTCACGATGGCGCTTATTAAACGACTACGACCGTTGTTGAATGGCTGTTCTAGGCACCGCTAACAAAGAAAGATAAACTACTACCGGTTGAAGTCTAACCGTGCTTATTTTTGCATCATGTCAAAATCTTGTAGTTTGAAAAAAAAAAACTCTTTGTATGATTTCTCAAGCGATGGCAATTTTAATTTGTGTTGGCCAGCCTGTGTCTCCACCACCTCATGCCAAATATGCGTAGCTCAGAACAGCGAACACCACCACATGTGTTTTAATCTTTTTGGTGTCATCACTGTTAGTACAGCTGCCGTCTGATTTGGCCAAACGAAAATTTCCCGTGAAAACATAAGATCGGATACAAAGTTGTGCAGCTTTTACATAATGAAGATCATAGACAGATGTTTAGTCCATTTAATTTCCTGCCAATCCCTGATAGTACTTCTGCCGATTTGTGGTCGTGTTGACTCTAAAAATCTATTACCCAATCGTATCGCCTCACTTTTATTGCTGAGCGTGGAAGGGAAGCATTTGCTGAAGGCGAAATCACCGTTTGGCGCGCAGGAGCACTGGCACAATGCGTGCTTGTCGCAACCTGAACGACGAAAACTCTGGGTTTATTTTACAACAAGTTGCGTCATCAGGATAATTGCCACAGTAGCGGATGTCTTCCCAGCCAGGACGGCGCTGCACAGAGGGCACGGGTCCAAGGTCGAACCCATCTACCCTCTGGGGTCAAGACAATGAGTAACGCTCAGTGGAAAAAAAACAACAACAGCGTTTGTGTCCTATAACTAAAATGTATACGGTACATTTCGATTTAAAGCTTTCATGACTGCAGGGATTCATCTTCTTGGTTCTTTCGGTAAAGTCGCGTCGAAGGAAAATAATAAAATAATAAAAATAAACCATAATAAAATATTGTATTATGTTTAATTTTTATTATTTTATTATTTCCCTTATACGGTACATGTAAAGTACTTTCGTCCGGATGAGGTCTCTGCTGATCGTGGGAGTTACTTGACAATATACAACCGCATTGGCCAGTGCTGGTTGGTGAAAGTGCGGAGCATAGATGTAGGGGCATATAAATACAGTCCAACAATGGACTTTTTGTGCGCACTGCCTTCTGCGGCCCACCACGTAGCCCCACAAGCCCTGTGACGACCTAGTTTGTGCATGGTGGCCGCCAATATCAGCAGCATTTGAAATAATGCTGTTCAATTCGTGTGCATGACAGTGTTTTCAGGAGGTCTGCAAGACACGAGAGGGCGTCAGGAGCGAGTTCGTGTAATGTTACGACTCCTCCTCCTCTGTCGAAGGAGAGCAGACCACAGTGGTTTACTCTGTGGCCCATTATTTGGGATTGCATGGTCACAAAATGCACCGCCGCCGATAATTTGTAACTTATAATGTTTGATTTACAAAGGAGATGTGAGCAACAACCTGTTGGTGTTCGGACGGGATTGATGGTTACTCCGGTGACATCCGTGAAAAAGAGCTTCATAGCTCATCGGATTCTTCCAGTGTTAATAAATATTTATGATTCCGATAAATATTCAGATTTTGAATGCCAAAGCCGAGGAGGAGCAAAATAATCCTGTGGCGCATGATCCTGCATCGCGGTGAACAATGTTGAGATGGATTGTAGTGGATGCGCTGTTGTTGTTCTGTGTGTGTGTTTGTATCTCTTCCTAGGTTTAAATGCGCACATCAATGCCACTTACGATAACTTCATCTCCTTCTCTGGAAATCCACAAAAGGTGTGCATAGACACGGACTGCGGGGCCAAGGAGAAACTCCAGGACATAACGGTGAGGCTGCCGGGAGCCGGCTCGACGAGGCGATGGCCATCCTCGTGCACAATTTACTTTACTGACATTTACCCGACCGTGAGATGTCAGATGTTTTATTGCTTTTATCCCCCTTTCATAGAGCAAACGTATAAAACAATTGCGAAAAGCACATCGTGCCGTTAATGAAACCACTATGAGGCCATTAATGCATTTTCTCTCGTCGAATGCCATTAATATAGACGCGAGGTTTTGTAGCGCTTTTTGTGAATCAAGTCAAATGAAGCAGCTGATGGAAATGCCAGGATTGTAACCACTTTATACAAAACTTTATTTTCATTCATCGTTGATTCGCTATCATTTCTTCTGCTTTTTTTTCTATTTTTGGATTTCCCTTACATCGTCTCTTTTCCGAAGTCCCTGTGATAACTTTGCTCGATTCAAGAAATGTGTCAACTCGTATTTATGACCACTGTTATCAGTGCTGTTTGTACCTGACTGCTTGGTGTTTTTGGGGGGCCTTTGGTCCTGTGCCCAGTGACCTTGCAAACTGTGCAAAAAATGAATGGCACTACACATGCCATAATATAAACATTTACTGAAAACATATTTAACGAAATGGTATTTGGAATATAATCGCGTGGAAAAAGCAAAGTAAATGAAAGCTGAACTCACCATCAACACGAAACCTTTTCTCGTGTTACAGAAATAATACGAGCAATATTTGACAAATAGGCTTTCGCGATCAATATTATCCATAATAATATTGATGATAAATATATAAATGTGTCGTTAAACCCACCACCACCCGACACAGCCAATAAGTAAGGTTTGTCACGTAAACAAAACAAGCCAATTCTTCATTAGTACAGCACACTGGTGTGTTTGAGAGGAGAGAATTGCCACGTTTTGTTTCCGTGACAAACATTACTAATTGGCTGTGTCGGTTGGTGGCGGGTTTAATGAAACATTTACATTGTCGCAATCTAACCCCAAAAACTTGAATATGAATACAAATAATGTTATAATTACGTATCTCTCCTTTTTGGAGTTTCAACAATTCCACTTTGAGCAAAGTTTTCCACGTGGGCAGAAATCAGAGTGAAATAGAGCACATATGTTTTGGAGATGTGGGATAACGTGGGCCAACTGTGTAGGTGTAAGGTTCCAGTGAAGATCTCTAGATCTTCTTGCGAGCTCTCGTGGAACGTTTTGACGTGACAGGTTTGACCAGAGGACCCCTGAGCAGAGGCCCCGAGTGGAGGTTTGGACCCCAAAGGTCCTTGCCTCCTGAATGTTCCACCTCGAAGGCAATAACATCCAGGAGACAAGAGGATGAAATGTTGTTCGTGTGAATTCTCCCTTGGATAGTACGCTGGACTTGCAATACAGAGGTCGCCAGTCCAATCTAAACTATGTTTTTATTTATAAGGTAAGGCCCATTGAGCTATATAGCATTTTTTTTAAAGCGACCTCTCCACAAATGATATCTCAACGAATTGGCTTATCTTTTGAAAACTTAGAACATTGAAATACTCTAAGCACATGTTTCTAAATGTGGAGGGAATAAAAAAAAAGCCAGAGAAAATCCACATGACCACGGGGAGAACATGCAAACTCCAAAAATACATGCGTCAGGGTTGGGATCGAACCCACGTCCAGGCGAGGGCGTTCACATGTCGCCACCGCGGTTCCGTCGGCTCAGCAGTTGAAACATTGAGCAAGTTTATTAAATGGCCACCTAGCAGCTCCCTCTTCTGTCCACCGAGACGTATAAATGGTTACACCACAGTTAGTCGAGCAGAAGGTTACACGTGGTTGAGTAAACTGTGGGTACTCGCTCCTTTATCAAGAAGTATAGGCAGCGTAGACGATTAGACTATAAAAACCATCTAGAGGAGCTCTCTCACGCACCATGTAGTGGTAGTATGTTGAACTTTTGAATGTTTGTTGGACCTCTTCTGCACCGTATGTCGCCAACCGTGCTAATCGGATGTGCGGGGGAAGGACAACAAACTAAACACAATATGTAGTTCTAAAGAAGTGAGTTTTCAATCTAGATGATTTAAAAGTGCATATCTCCAGTCGCTCCGTAATATCATAAGGAAGAACGTTCCAAACAGCCGCAGAAGCGTACCTGAAAGCGCGCAATGCAGTGGCCATCTTTGTTTGTTGGCTAGGCCAGGGGTCAGCAACCTACGGCTCCGGAGCCGCATACGGCTCTTTACGGGCTGCTTCTTGACGATATGTACATATGTACAGTATGTACTCAGATGCATTGCGGCTCTTGAAATACTGAATTTTGTACCGAATTGGAAAGAAATGGCTCTTCTTGTTATTTTGGTTGCCGACCCCTGGGCTAGGCCATTTCACCAGCAGCAGCATGGGCAAGACCCGTTGTTTTTATGCTGGCAACATTTGGTGATAACTGAGATATGGAAGGGGCTTAATGAATTTTGAAAACCTTTCAGCACATGTTCATGATGATCAGTATTGACACAACTATAAAGCACAGGTATAAAAAGGATCATGCGTTATATGTTCTCTTTATAGTTTTGCCGCTCTTGTCACATTGGTGTCTAGTTTATGAAAGCAACCAAACACGTAAAATGCCATATGCTGCGGATGTTGGCTCTATTTGACCTATTGCAATGTACTTTCCCACAGGAAAATAATTTACTTGGGTGTGCAGTCATCGGGCCAACATGCCAGTATGCAGCCTACGCATTGCTCAGGTATGGTATTTATAAGAAATTTACCCGTAAAAACAAAGTTTTTCACTATAAATCCTTTATATGCGTGGCGGCTAGAGTCCTCTCGTCCTTTGGCTTGAGATGGCTGCCACCTATGGGTCAGATGATTGCCTGCCACCATTAAGCAATTGGTAATTAAATATAATAAAAAAAAATTTTCCTAAAAGTGTAAAATTTTGAAAAAAACATTTTCACGAAAATAAATTGTCACGCACAACGAGTCTGTGTGCAAAATGTCAGCTCGATTGGATCACGGGAAGTGGGTTAAAAAACGACCGAAAGATTTGCACGGTCGTAAGCGCGCAAGCAAGCAAGCAAGTGAACTTAATATAAAGGATGTAAAAAAAAATAACAAGATTTGTAAATAATAATAAGACGTTTGAACTTGTAACGCAGAGCACAGAATCCGTTCGCTCTCATAGACAGAGAACGACACAGAGGCGGCAAGGAGGAGCCACAGACAAGTGGGAAGACGGCCATACAGAATAAGAATCTTTATTTATCCCACAGGATTTCGATGAGCTCCAAAGCTCTTTTTCACAGATGTCTAGTAGAGGCGGGTCAGAAAGCTATGACAACAAAGTTATAACAACAAACATGCGGTGAGCTGGCGGCAGAAATTCCCCAAGCACTGCGGCCCTATATATATGAAGATGTTATCAGCAAATAATGAGTGTTTACATGTTGAAGGAAACTGGAGCACCGGGAGAAACCACACGCATGCGAAGGAGAAACACCCTATCCTACACAGACAGAACAAGTGGAGTCCACCTTCTCCTGATGAAGGGTACGGCACATGGCCACCCATGAGGAAGGGAGTTTCGCAACATTTGTGCGATCCACCAATCATCGCTTCCGCAGGGCCGCATTACAGGCGTGCATAAGCCACCGTTACCCGGCCAAACACTTCCAATAAGTTGCTGCCGAGTTTAGATTTTTTGTTTCGGTCGCCGCTTAAAAAAAAATCGCCTTGCTTAAAGTGTCATGAATCTCTTCAATGACTTAAGCACAAAGTCAGGGAAGTTGCCGTGGCGCAACAGTTATGATGCTGAACTTGCTTCATCCAGAAGTTCCCAGTTCAATTTCCCGGCACGGCAGCTGAGACAATGGTGCACGGTTTTTTTTTGTTAATTATTTTTTATCGATCCAACCACGGAGGGGGGGTGGGGTGTGTACAACTTCCGTGACAGGTGAGTGGTGCATAGAGGGACAGGCGGCTCGGATAGACAACCAACGCGGACGCGTCGGGGGCCGTCCATAAATGACGTCACGCACCTAGGGGGAGGGGGGGGGTCAGACATTTATGACGATGTGTGACGGGGGGTGGGTTTGAGATTTGTGACGTCACATCAAAATGCGCAACTTTAAATAAATATAGACAACACGTTCTACTTAATTAAATAGACTTTTTGATAAATGTTTTCTCCTACAACATCAGAGTGCAACGACACATTGAATACGCACTACAATGACAAGAGTTTAAAGCGATTTGAAGCATGGTTTATATTTTTTGGGGGGGGGGGAGGAGCAGAGCTTTGTGACGTCATATTTGAGGGGAGGAGGTCTGACTTTTTGTGACGCCGTGTGACGAGGGGGGGGGGGGTCAAAAATCGTCCAAAATCGCGTGACGTCATTTATGGACGGCCCCTAGGACCGTAGCGTCATGTGGTACGTGGCGCGTCAGATCCCTTTTCTTCAGGGAAGGGGGAAAGAGGAGGTGGGGGAATCAGATGCACGTTCCTTAATACCTCCCCAGCCCCCTCCACCCCCACCCACCGCCTTTGTCCACCAGCGTTCGTCGATTGGCAGAGGTCGCGTGCGGTGAGTAAAAGTGTGGGTTCCTCTGACCTCTTCCAAGGCCTCCGATTGGCACGGTTGGCTACGTTCGGTGCGAAAAAAATCCCACATACATGGATTATTGAGTATATTTTTTAGCCGCTACACATTTCCACGCGATAAGCCACTTCGCCGAGCATTCATTTGTGGCCGGGTCGCTTCTGAAAAACTTAAAAAGCTATACAGCGTAGTGGGGCTTACCCCACTACGGTGAGCGAGTAAATTCGAGGGCTGCAACGTTTTTTTTAACCTTCAAACCCGCCACCTTCTCTTCTGCAGGGTGATAAAGCGCTACGAGAGGATGGTCGTTTCGGCGGGCAGCTTCGGCCTGTCCACGACCTTCGTGCCCGAGCTGACGCGCACCCTGCTCAGCGCCGCCAAGGTCTCAACCTTCTTCGTGGATTTCTGGAGACTTGTCCAGCCCCAGCGCAAGCCCGTGGCTTGGAGCACGGCCTACGTCCTGTCGGGAAACTCGTACAACTACGACGTGTGTTTGTGGTGAGACGACAACAACAACACAGCCCCCCACCCAACCCACAACCTCCCCCCCCACCCAACAGAAACCCTTGTTTTTATGGGGTCTGGCACCGTGATAGTTTTTGGGGGTGCCTATTTGTAAATTCAATCATTCCTTGCCCTTTACCGTTTTACCCAACACCCATAGCCAATGCCAAACACTCGATTATTATTTAGTTATTTAAGTTCCGTGTTTTTTTTATGTACGTATTTAAGTGTTGTATATGCGGTATTATAAAGGCACAACGAGAGTGCTGCGATAGTTGGGATGTGTGTGCAAGGTGGTAGAGGAACGGTTACCCAGACGGGCATTGTGGTGTACGTGTGTATGTTGAGCTTCTTTCAGCGCCATACGTAGCCAAACCGTGCTAACCGGAGGTGGTCTCCTCCATAAGCCCGACTACCATGGGGAAGACCCTAAGAGCAGGCGGTGGGATAGTGTTAGGGCATATCTAGGTATGGGTCTCTGTGTGAGTCCGAGTCTATGCGTCTCTGTGCAAGCCAAAATAAGAGCAGGCGTTGGGATGCGAACTGTTAGGGGGCAGAATCCTGGAGGTCGCTGCCCGGCTCCTGTGCAGCGGCTGCAGGATCTGGTGGAGGGAAGAAAGCGTTGGCAATGCGGTGTGGTGGTGGTGGCAGTGGTGGTGGTGGCGGTGGTGGCAGTGGTGGTGGTAGTGGTGCTGGAAGTGTGGTTCTGGTGGTGGCGGTGGTGGTGGCAGTGGTGGTGGTAGTGGTGCTGGAGGTGTCGTTCTGGTGGTGGCGGTGGTGGTGGTGGCAGTGGTGGTGGTAGTGGTGCTAGAGGTGTGGTTCTGGTGGTGGCGGTGGCAGTGGCAGTGGTGGTGGTGCTGGAGGTGTCGTTCTGGTGGTGGTGGCGGTGGTGGTGGTAGTGGTGCTAGAGGTGTGGTGTTGGCATCCAGCGCTATCAGCCACGATGGTGCCTTGATCTACTCAACGAGTCACGAAATGTAAAACTAAATCAAATTTAAAATGACCAAAAGCAACTGGTAGTAATGCGCGCAGTGATCCCATGGCTTTTAATGACACACATTCAAGGGATGCATCAGAGTGCTACAGCATTGCGTTGTATCCATTAAAGAGCAGTATATATACATTTTTAGGGGGTCCCAGAACATCCGAGTCCCACCAAGGCTACAGCCCCTAAAGCCCCTTGCACGAATCCGGCCGCTGCCTCTGAACGACACGGTGTTACGCGACACGAGCACAGGCCATTCACGCACTCGAGAGGCAAACAGACGAGGGTGGTAAAATGTTTATTTACCTAACCCTTGGCAAGAGTTAAGGACCCCGTAAAAGTAAAGGCATAATAGAACACTGAAGTTGCAACGGATAACAACAACAATATTTTGTGTTTAGTTTGTCGTCCTTCCACCGCGCCTCCGATTGGCGCGGTTGGCTACGTACGGTGTGGAAGAAGTTCAACATACCGTACATTTGTGAATCTACTGCTGGATGAAGGCCTCACCATACCCTGCTGGTTATGGGGGTTGTTTGACCATACTTCACCCTGTTGGTCAGTCCACGTTGGAGGGGAGGGGACTTCGGATTGCTCCAGATATGACAAGCTAATGATTCTAGTCGTACTTTTTGGTTCTTTCGGTAAAGTCACGTAGGTAGAAAAAATAATAGATCACGACGTTTCGATCAGGTGGGACAACCACAGCAAGAAAAAAAACTGCTGAGGTACGCCTACTTCAGCAGTCGTGATCTATAATTTTTCTACCTACGTGACTTTACCGAAAGAACCAAAGAGTATGTTTGCTAAATATTAGGGGTGTGTAAATTGGAGCATCGCATCATAAATAATTATCAGCGATTCTTCAGCTCGCTATACGTGGGTCTGATGTGGTGTGTGCTATACGGGTTCACGTGACCTCTGGAGCCACTCGTGGCCGCGATGTTTACCACAATGTAAAAAAAAAACGGTATTGATTTTTTAAACCAATTTCAGCCTTCCGTGGAATCACCGGGCAGGTAGGTGAATTGCGCATACCTGCGTAAAGAACCACTGACCCCAATATAACCCTTGCCATGTGCAGCACCCCACACCTGTCAAACCACAAGGTTTACCTCGTATTATTGTACAGGGAAATTGAGTTTTCAGGTCCATTCGGCGTACAGCCGTTTCAATACGGGCAAAAAAGTTTTGTCTATTTGTTTGTCTTTCTCCCTTGTGATGGGACATTGTAGGATGAACGTTGAAATTGATAAGGGGCAGGGGGTGACCAATAAGGTCTGAATTGGTTTGTAATAAGGTAGGACACTATGAGACCTCCTTTACCAGTAGCAGAATATAGTGATATGTTTTTACCCTTTTATCTGGTACAAAAACTGACACCTTTATACAAGGGATCATGTTTGCAATAACCACAACACACCCGATAAAAGGGTAAAAACCTATTACTACAAGGTAGGACACTGATAAGGGGTTGACAGGTATGATTGCGTCGCCATCATTAAATATATCAAGCATTCCCAGACAGGGTGAGAGCTTTCATTGTGACCAATTTTAACTCATTGTGGGATTTGGAAAAGCCAGATTTGTTTACGTCAAATGCAATCTCGGTTATAATGTGTGGGCATGAGCTTAGCAGGGTGGTAACTAAGACTGGTTTTGCACAGCAAGATGGCCATGGGTTCCATTCTCGGCGAGGGCATCTTTCTGTGTGGAGTTTGTACGTTCTTCCCCTGTTCTGCATGGCAGTAGAGTTGGAGCCAACCACCTACTACCTCACTGGGGGGTTTTGACATTCTTACATCTCCAGAACTGTTATGGCTCTGCATGATCATCAAGTCTTTGATTCATCACTTACCATAATGTTTGTGTGTGGTCTGTATTGTTTTTTAATTTGAACGGGAGGGGGGGGGTCTAATATTTTATATGGAGTCCTCTTGCCAATAACGTCAGGAAATCTAGCCCGACTCTGTCGATGAGATCCAGAAGGACGAAACTGGTTCGGCATTTATTGACTTGCTTAAACAAATGCTGCTCGATAATGTTGTTCGGGAAGTCAGCCAAACGGGCTCACGGAGTCAAACATGCGTTCATTCGTAGGTGGAGGCACACGACGGGGCCGTGATTTGACTTGCTGCTACCCACAGAGCAGTAGCTCGCACGTACAGTACTCCGCCGATTAATTCCCGGACTTTGACATCTTCCACTGAAAATTAATGGCCCAATAAAACGTTTTAGCGTTCACTCAGCCACAACATTATATTGTAGGCAGCCCATTGCATCAACATGGATGTAATAAAAGGTTCCAAGATCCATCTGAAGGTGCATGTGGTCAAGTTGATCACGTGTACACAATAAGCAGACACAGTTGACTCCAGTGTAACATGTATCATCTATAATACAGTTTTTTTTTGGGTTAGATCGCGTAAATATATAAATGTGTCGTTAAACCCGCCACCTCCCGACGCATCCAATTAGTAAATTAGTAAGGTTTGTCACGTAAAATAAACATACCAATTCGTTACTAGTACAGCACACTGGTGTGTTGGAGAGCAAATCCACAACATTTACAATCTGAGTACGACGTTTTGCCAGTGATAAAAAAGGAATACCTGTCTGTCCCACCACATAAAACAAATTCCAACTATTTGTACACATCCACCACATCCACTACTTTTACACATCCACAAATACCTTCTGGGATATCTCTAGATTAAACTCTACACCGAGGTAAAGTCAGTAATTAACTCTCAGCTAACTGGCTCATTGTGGGATTGCTATGTGAATTACCAATTGTATTACGCTATAATACACGGTGCTTAAAAAATTCTAGATTTGAAGCTTTCGTGACTGCAAGGATTCATACTCTTAGTTCTTTCGGTAAAGTCACGTAGGTAAAAAATGAAATTAGAATTAATAAAAAATAAAAAAATAAAATCACGACGTTTCGAAACATGACTTTACCGAAAGAACTAAGAGTATGCTTAAAAAATGTTTAACACTCATAAGGGACTATCGTTTTTAATGGCAAAAAAGAACGGATAATATATCGTAACATGATCACGAATTATTCTTTGGTTTTTTCGGTAAAGTCACGTATAAAGATAAAATAATAAATTAAATAATAACATACGACGTTTCGATTGCAACACAAGCAATCATCATCAGGTATAATGAAATAGCGACATAGAATCTAACCAGAAAACTATAGACAGACATATAAGCAGACAGATATCACCAAGATACATAGAGAGAGCAACCCAGATATCACCGTTGGAGGGGAGGGGACTTCGGATTGCTCCAGATATGACAAGCTAATGATTCTAGTCGTACTTTTTGGTTCTTTCGGTAAAGTCACGTAGGTAGAAAAAATAATAGATCACGACGTTTCGATCAGGTGGGACAACCACAGCAAGAAAACACTGCTGAGGTACGCCTACTTCAGCAGTCGTGATCTATAATTTTTCTACCTACGTGACTTTACCGAAAGAACCAAAGAGTATGTTTGCTAAATATTAGGGGTGTGTAAATTGGAGCATCGCATCATAAATAATTATCAGCGATTCTTCAGCTCGCTATACGTGGGTCTGATGTGGTGTGTGCTATACGGGTTCACGTGACCTCTGGAGCCACTCGTGGCCGCGATGTTTACCACAATGTAAAAAAAAAACGGTATTGATTTTTTAAACCAATTTCAGCCTTCCGTGGAATCACCGGGCAGGTAGGTGAATTGCGCATACCTGCGTAAAGAACCACTGACCCCAATATAACCCTTGCCATGTGCAGCACCCCACACCTGTCAAACCACAAGGTTTACCTCGTATTATTGTACAGGGAAATTGAGTTTTCAGGTCCATTCGGCGTACAGCCGTTTCAATACGGGCAAAAAAGTTTTGTCTATTTGTTTGTCTTTCTCCCTTGGGACATTGTAGGATGAACGTTGCAATTGATAAGGGGCAGGGGGTGACCAATAAGGTCTGAATTGGTTTGTAATAAGGTAGGACACTATGAGACCTCCTTTACCAGTAGCAGAATATAGTGATATGTTTTTACCCTTTTATCTGGTACAAAAACTGACACCTTTATACAAGGGATCATGTTTGCAATAACCACAACACACCAGATAAAAGGGTAAAAACCTATTACTACAAGGTAGGACACTGATAAGGGGTTGACAGGTATGATTGCGTCGCCATCATTAAATATATCAAGCATTCCCAGACAGGGTGAGAGCTTTCATTGTGACCAATTTTAACTCATTGTGGGATTTGGAAAAGCCAGATTTGTTTACGTCAAATGCAATCTCGGTTATAATGTGTGGGCATGAGCTTAGCAGGGTGGTAACTAAGACTGGTTCTGCACAGCAAGATGGCCATGGGTTCCATTCCCGGCGAGGGCATCTTTCTGTGTGGAGTTTGTACGTTCTTCCCCTGTTCTGCATGGCAGTAGAGTTGGAGCCAACCACCTACTACCTCACTGGGGGGTTTTGACATTCTTACATCTCCAGAACTGTTATGGCTCTGCATGATCATCAAGTCTTTGATTCATCACTTACCATAATGTTTGTGTGTGGTCTGTATTGTTTTTGAATTTGAACGGGAGGGGGGGGGGGTCTAATATTTTATATGGAGTCCTCTTGCCAATAACGTCAGGAAATCTAGCCCGACTCTGTCGATGAGATCCAGAAGGACGAAACTGGTTCGGCATTTATTGACTTGCTTAAACAAATGCTGCTCGATAATGTTGTTCGGGAAGTCAGCCAAACGGGCTCACGGAGTCAAACATGCGTTCATTCGTAGGTGGAGGCACACGACGGGGCCGTGATTTGACTTGCTGCTACCCACAGAGCAGTAGCTCGCACGTACAGTACTCCGCCGATTAATTCCCGGACTTTGACATCTTCCACTGAAAATTAATGGCCCAATAAAACGTTTTAGCGTTCACTCAGCCACAACATTATATTGTAGGCAGCCCATTGCATCAACATGGATGTAATAAAAGGTTCCAAGATCCATCTGAAGGTGCATGTGGTCAAGTTGATCACGTGTACACAATAAGCAGACACAGTTGACTCCAGTGTAACATGTATCATCTATAATACAGTTTTTTTTTGGGTTAGATCGCGTAAATATATAAATGTGTCGTTAAACCCGCCACCTCCCGACGCATCCAATTAGTAAATTAGTAAGGTTTGTCACGTAAAAAGAACATACCAATTCGTTACTAGTACAGCACACTGGTGTGTTGGAGAGCAAATCCACAACATTTACAATCTGAGTACGACGTTTTGCCAGTGATAAAAAAGGAATACCTGTCTGTCCCACCACATAAAACAAATTCCAACTATTTGTACACATCCACCACATCCACTACTTTTACACATCCACAAATACCTTCTGGGATATCTCTAGATTAAACTCTACACCGAGGTAAAGTCAGTAATTAACTCTCAGCTAACTGGCTCATTGTGGGATTGCTATGTGAATTACCAATTGTATTACGCTATAATACACGGTGCTTAAAAAATTCTAGATTTGAAGCTTTCGTGACTGCAAGGATTCATACTCTTAGTTCTTTCGGTAAAGTCACGTAGGTAAAAAATGAAATTAGAATTAATAAAAAATAAAAAAATAAAATCACGACGTTTCGAAACATGACTTTACCGAAAGAACTAAGAGTATGCTTAAAAAATGTTTAACACTCATAAGGGACTATCGTTTTTAATGGCAAAAAAGAACGGATAATATATCGTAACATGATCACGAATTATTCTTTGGTTTTTTCGGTAAAGTCACGTATAAAGATAAAATAATAAATTAAATAATAACATACGACGTTTCGATTGCAACACAAGCAATCATCATCAGGTATAATGAAATAGCGACATAGAATCTAACCAGAAAACTATAGACAGACATATAAGCAGACAGATATCACCAAGATACATAGAGAGAGCAACCCAGATATCACCATGTATCTTGGTGATATCTGTCTGCTTATATGTCTGTCTATAGTTTTCTTGTTAGATTCTATGTCGCTATTTCATTACACCTGATGATGATTGCTTGTGTTGCAATCGAAACGTCGTATGTTATTATTTAATTTATTATTTTATCTTTATACGTGACTTTACCGAAAAAACCAAAGAATAATTCCTGCAGTCACGAAAGCTCCAAAATTAAGAATGATCACGAATGTATGTTAATAGCTTAAACAAGTTAAAGTGTCTCCACTTGTTCGCCATCATTGTCAACACGCGCCTGAAATCTTCTCCAGGTGGTCTCCAGAGCCCGGAGGCACATTTATTGCGGTGTTGTTGCAAATCCTCGGAAGTGGTAACATTTTTTTGAAGCACCCTGTATTGCTCACTGAGTGCATCCTCAATTTACAGCCGTGCTGATAGTATTTGATCGTAAAGATTCGGTCATATACTTTATTGCTGTTGTTCATGGAAATGATATGCATCATGTAACTGCGAATCAATACCTCGTTTTAAAAAAAGATAAAAAAAATATGTTGACCATGGCCCCAGTGGCATGACTGTACGTGGCCTCGTCTTGAGTTCTGGTGGGAATGAAACCGGTGTGTTTATTGTTGGCTTATACCATGCATCGCAAACGTGCATGAAGAACATTTTATTGAGCCGTATATTTAGCTACGGCGGAGCTTGCCGCCAAACTGATGTAGGCAAAAATCAGTTCGAGGGATGTGCTCCCGATTTTCAGATTAATCAGTAAAATACGAACATCTGACCAAGACGTGAGATTTCAGACGATCCGATGTTTTTCTTCGATTTATCCAAAAACCGGATACTAAAAATGTAACCAAACAATTTTTTTTTATTTTAACAGGTAATGCCCACTGAGCTATATGCAGTAGCTGTTTTTCAGAAACGATCTGGCCACAAATGATCGCTCAACGAGATGGCTTATCATGTAAAAATTCATAGCAGCCTAAACGCATGATTTTTAGTGTGGAGGGAAAAACCCAGAGGACCCAGAGAAAAATCCACATAAGCACAGGAAGGACACGCAAACTCCAAATATATAGGCACCGCGGTCGGGATTCAACCCACGACCTCCTGTATACCAGGCGAGGTAGTTAACATCTCGCCACTGCGGCGCCCCACAAGCGAAGTCACTCACGGGATGTCACTTCCACGCTTTTCCTGCCGAAGGTGCTGCCACCTGGTAATGGGTGACATCGGCGGCTGGGCGTGGTTGGCACCAAGACTTTTTAAATTGGTATCGAACGAAAACAATCAAATCTGAAACTCATTCCTAATGTGCTGTGTATAATAGTATTGTACACAATCACGACTAAAATCGCTAAATGTGATTGATTCTTTCTCTCTCTCCATCCCTCTCGCTCCCTCTCGCTCCTATCGCTTGATGCTCAGGTACATCCAGGCCTTGTTGGAAAACATCAAGGTGGCAAGTGGAAACAAGCTGTTTAACTCTACTAAGGCCGAGTTGGATAACCAGCTGATTGAGGTGCCGACACTGGACAAACTGCCCAATGCTTTAATGACGAGAGAGAGCAATGGTAAGTCCAAATCGTAGATTAGTTGGGCGTGGACATTACAATGCAACGCCTGTCATCACGTGGCGATGTGGAGGGCGCTGTATGTCCTGAAGAAATAGCTCCTATTATTCGCACGGAGTCTTTTAGGGGGCATCCACGCAGGAGATGGAGCGATTAAATCAGTTCATGTGCAGGTGCTCGCTACAGTGTTGCGTCGCGAGCGTGTGAGAGGTGTCGATGGCTTGTGGGTGGCCTTCATCAAGTAGTGTGGATTGATCATGGCAGATGAACCTGTAACATTTGATCAATATAATTATAATGAATGCAATGAATCCTGGATCTCCCGGATCTCCGCTCTGATGTAACGGTTTTTGTTTATTCACATTTGTTTTGTCTGTTGTGTACACCGTCTTGGTTTTGATCCGCATCGCATTTTGATCTGCAGTCACTTCGTGTGGGTCTTACCAAGAGTTTGCATGTCTCTCTCCCCGTGGTCTTACCAGGTAAGACCCAGAGAGCCATTCAGCTCTTTTTTGCAGAAGCGACCCGGCAACAAATGAAAGCTATACGAAGCGACTTATCACGTGGAAATGAAAAACGGTAGACAGACACTCTAAATGCACGTTGACTCTAAATGTGGAGGGAAAAACCGAAAGGCCCCGGAGAAAAATCCACGCGGCCACGGAGAGAGAGACACGCAAACTACAAATATACAGCAGGCGTCAGGGTCGGGATCGAACCCACGACCTCCTGTATACGAGTATAGTTCGCTAATATCTCGCGACCGTGGCGGTCCATTAACTCAAATTCCACCTTTTGTTCTCGTGCCTCAATCTGTACTGCATGGGCGGAGCGGTGATATTCTGTGGGGAAAATTATGATGACGATGATGATGATCACAGTTTTTTGTTCATGCCCAGTGGTGATATTCTGTGGGGACGTCCCGTATATCTATGAAGTGACCAGCTCGCTGGAGAAGTCTGTCAAAAATATCTTCCAGCAGCTCGTCTTTGTGGCTCTGGATCTATTTGGGTAAGTATGTTTGTACGTTGAACTTCTTTCGCACCATACATAGCCAACCGTACTAATCAGAGGTGCGGGGGAAGCACGGGAAACTAAACACAACAATCAGTTCTAGAGAAATTAGTTTTCAATTTATATTCAAAAGTGCATAGCTCCAGTGGCTTCCTAATATCGGAAGGAAGAGCGTTCCAGACCGCCGCAGAAGAAGCGTCTGAAAGTGCGTAATGTGTTTTGGGCAGAGTTGTATCGTTTGCTGAACAGCATTGCGTGACAATGTTATATATTCCTTGGGTCTTTCGGTAAAGTCACGTAGATAGGTTCAAAGAAAATAACAAAACACTACGACGTTTCGATCGCAACACAAGCGGTCGTCATCACCGCTCTGAGTTCTTCACCAAACATGTAGCCAGTGCGGAAGAGTAGGCCAAACACCGTCTAGAAGGTCCCTCTAGAACTCAGGCTACTGGAGGCGCCTCTGCATGCAGTAGCGAAAGATAGAAAATTACCTTTTACCTTAACCCAAATACAAACATTGCTAGCTCAGTATATAAAATTGGTACACAAGACTGGATGGGTAGTTCAGCTATCTTGTGACCCCCATTTCAGTCTGTAAAACTTAATATATTTTTAGGTAAGGTTTTTTTTTAAACAGAAATGAATATGGCAAGGAAAAAATGTCAAAGGTCAATTAATTGGGGGGTCACAAGCCATCTGGACCACCCTGGACACTGTGCTGTTCATGTCTCCCCCTCCTAGCGTCTACGCGACGCTCCCCTCCCCCTACCCCCCTCCCTTGCCCCTCCCCCCTCTTACCTATATAACCTCTTACCACGGCATCTCTCTCCCACTTCGGCAAACGTTGTCTTGCTGTGGGTTTCCCACCTGATGATGATTGCTTGTGTTGCGATCGAAACGTCGTGATTTAATTTATTGTATTTTATACCTACGTGACTTTACCGAAAGAACCAAAGTATGTATGGATCCATGCAGTCACGAAAACTTTAAATCTAGATTGTGCTGTTTTTACTTGTCCTGAAAATAATTACCCACATGGCTTTACAGTGGAATATTGTTACGTAAAGGTAATATGTGTTTGCCCATTTCTCATCTCGTCTTTAGTGGAGGTCATGTCGCCGCTGAGCGGAATTACACGATTAGAGGGACTGTGCTGATAGTGACTCTGCCTACGCTCAACGTCACTCTGCCCGTTGCAGAGCAACACAGAAACGCCAGCAATGCCAAGGTTTGTTTCATCACTAACAAAGACAAAGCTTCAAAACTAGGACAAAGATCTCCCTTATAACCTTCACAGGCACCTATGATGGCCGGCGCGGCACACAAGGGGGTGGGTGGCCAGCACCACGCCCAGCCGCCTTTGTCTAGCCAGTGACGATGTTTACACATCGCACCAGGTACTCATTTGAGGTTGAGTCAACCTTGGGGAGGCCGAGGACCGGTTCAGATAGTTGTCACCGGTGTTGAATGTGAGCGGGAATTTAACCTGCGTCGCCAGGTTAATAGCACAGCGCGCTCACCGCTATACTATCGCTCCCCACTATCGTTTAATCACACACAACAACAATTGCCATTCGCCACTAGTTGACGGTGACATCACCACGGCGCCTGTGCCAGGCTATGTGCACGCCAAGGCCATGTGAAGTGTCGTACGCCCGCCGGCAGGAGGTCACGGGGCACCACCTGTGCCCCATATTGTGCCAACTTGCTGTGTTTTAGCCGCCCGGTGCTCCGCTCATTGTTGTGAGCATCACTCATCTGCCCTCCATTATTTCTGGAGGGCGACTGCCTCCAACTGCCCAGTAGCAGCTTCCTTCATGAGCTTCCTCCACAGAGGCGGATCTTGACACCGCTGGAACCAATCATCGGCATGTCCACTCAGCTCCACGTCATCCTGTACCACATCACTCCATCTCTTCTCCAAAACCATGCCACGCTCGATTAGGCCCTTCTATCCTGCCGAACAAAAGCTGTTGAGGCATGTGGTGGCTGGGCATGCGGGCTACATGACCCAGCCAACGCAGCCTTGCCTGCCGGATGAGCTCACCAATGGGACTTTGTCCAGATCTTTCAAGGATTTGCGAGCTCCTCACACAATCCAGCCTGGTTAAACCCAGGATGGATCGTAGGCAGGCCAGCCTAAATGTTTATAACCGGCAAAGATGTTCCATTAGGGGGGTTCACGTTTTGCAAGCGTAGAGAAGGGAGGGCATGACCGTGGTCGAGAAGACCTGAAGCTTTGTGTGGAGTGACAGACCAGGTAGCTTCCACACAGCGGTACGCAACCAATGAAAAGATAATGCCACTCGACTGATTCGGAGTGAGACCTCTGCTGTCAAAGCGGAGCCGGTCATGAGCACACTGCCCAGGTATGGGAAACTCTCCACTTTCTCCACAACTGCCCCATCACCAACAGACTGTTGAGGCGAGCAATATTCGTGAGCACCTATTCAGCCCACTGTCAGAGAATTGACAATCTACCAAAACATTTGTTTTTCCCAGGAACTAATATTCATTGCCCCCTCCCCACCCCCCTTTTGGGAATAATGGTCCCCCGCCCTTCTTAACGTTTATACCCATTTTTTTTCCTGTACGATTTAAAGTTTTAAGATTTTATTTATTTCAGCAGGAATTGCCAAATAAGCTGTACGGCTCTATTTCAGTGTTCTTCAGTAATTTTCATAGGGGGGGGGCACTTTTGCCGACAAGACATCATCAGTGTGAGGGCTGCCACACATTTCAAACCATTGGGGGTTTGACAGCAGCACGATGACGATGATGGGGAGTATTTTCACTCTTTGTGTATTGTCGGAGGGCCGCACGTCACCAGGGGGCCGCCAGTGGCCCAGGGGGCCTTGCAATGAAGAACGCTGCTCTATGTCAGGAGCGTCCTGCGATGGTACAGAAGTACGTATCCAATTCTCATGACAATAGAGCCTGAATGCGGTGTGAGGGGACTAGTGGCCACGGGAGGTAATGACAGGGGAGTCAGCCTCCAGTGCAAATGCACTAGTGGCCACGGGAGGTAATGACAGGGGAGTCAGCTGTGAGTGCGAAGGGACTGGTGGCTACGGGAATGTTCGAGACGGGAGTGTGGTCAGGTGACGGTGGAGTCTGCCTGTGGAGCGAGCGTCCGGAGTCAGCGAGAAGGTTCGAGAAGGGGGGCATGGCCTTGTGTTCAGATATTAGGGGGAGATGTGCGGGAGACTCGGGGCTGTTGCATTGGGGATCTCCGCCTGATGTCAAGTGAACGTGTCTTCAATAAAGTGCCATCTCAAGAGAAGTGTGTCAAGTCGTCATTGCACAAGGAACTCTGACCAGAACAAATATTCACTGGTGGGACCAAACTTTCCTCCACACTGAGTAGGGGGGGAGTCATGAGCCAACCACCAGCAGCAAGTGATTGGTTGGTTGTATGATGATCGCCCACGAGAGACACCTACTGAAGAAGGATCATTGCCCGAAACGTTGCCCATTATATATTTTTTCCTTTCATTGGCGTCACAGTGTTGTTAACGAATGCTCAATTTGAATTTTGTTTTGGTCCTTGTGCATTACTGGTGGCGAAGCAGCAGAATTCGTTCATCGCGCATAGTCAGCGAAGGACCGTTGCGCCAAAACGTGTCACCTTTGGCGACAGCTTTCGCGTGAACTGCTCTTTGCTGCCGTACACCGGCGTCTCGAGTGCCCTGTTTGATCAACGCATCACGACGGGGGCCGTCCATGGGGGATGGCGTCATTCCTTCGAGGGTTGCAGTTCACTTCGAACGTCGACTGCCAACTGAAGTGAGCGCTCTCTGCTGCTGGAGTTTACGTGTGGGGCCCGGCACGACGCGTCAATAAAGCCGATGGCGGTCTCCCTCTCGAACTGAGTCCTCGATCGCTTGGAGACCAGTCGCAGATGCGGCGGTGACATCCCTGACAAGAGTCGAACCATCGGATTCCCCAGAAGGCGTTTTTTGCATCGCACGTGGAAGGACTGCGACCGATTCAAATCGGCTTGAAGCAATGTCCAGGCCTGCATAACATACAACAACAAAACTGACAAAACACTGCCGTGGGTTTTGTCGGCAGCAGCAGCGGCGGCAGCATCACGAAAATCTTTGTTGAAATATCGACGGTCGGATGAATTTCTGCAATAAAAAACCCACAAAAGTTCTTACACGCGACTTAGTAGTGGCACAAGGACGAGCCCCCCCCCCCACTGAGTGTGCGCGCGTCGCCTCTTCCTGTGTGCACGTCCGCGCTGGTGAGACGGCGCCAAGAGCTCCGGCGATAAAGACTCCGACATCCAGAGCGTGCCATGCCCCACCCCCCCCCACCCCGTCCCTGCCCCCCCGGGCACCCACCCCCCCCGGGCACCCCCCCCCCCCATCCTCTTCCTTCTGGAGCCCCACCACATGGGAAGAAACTCGTTTCTCCCCCCCCCCCCTCCCCATGTGACATCCAAATAGAAACACAGTGGCCGTAATTGATGGGCTACGGCCTACTGCTGAAAGCCTCAGTGGGCTTTGCCTGGTTAGTTTAATTTGCATGTTTTTTGGGGTGATTTGTTTACCTTTTATTGTACTTGGCACTGCTATCGGGCTTGCATTGTCCGCTGCCGGTTGTAACGTTCTCACCCGCCCCGACTGGACGTCTGTGAAAAGAGATCTTTGTGGCTCATCGGATTCCTCCAGCACGGTCTGGATAAATATAGTGATTGTGAAGCCTGCAAGACGGCGAAACTGGTGCAGTGCACGTCGGGCGGGATTCTCTCAATTCGTGGCCTCGCGATGAAAAGTCGAAGCTCCGGCCGCAGTGAACCGTTCTCCCTGTATTGTTTGTCCAAGCTTGCCCATCCTGGAAATGCCTTGCCCGGGCCTCAAGCCTCTCTTTCTGGAGGGTTCTACCAAGTTTTTTTTTCTCTCTCCACAGTAGGGGCCTGTGGTCCTATGTATCATCCTATGCGAGTGCTGGACATCTGCGAAACATAGATTCGTAGCTCATCGGATTCCTCCAGTATGAATACTTATTCTAATGAGTGATTTGCGGAGTTATTTATTTGTTATTGTGCTCTCAGTTATAATCAGTGGGGGGGGGGGGGCTGCTGGATCGAACCGTTAACTTCTGCAACATTCGGGGAACAGCACCACCGCCGGGCAATGTCACTGCACCCCTTTTAAAGACCATGGGGTAGACGTAGGTTATCGCTACGTCCGCTTGGGGTTTCCACACTCGAGCGCTGGCCGTGTGTGTGTTCGCATACACTGCCATTTCTCAAGCGAGCCGTGGAGAGTTCTCGTTCAAAAGACTTAGGAGGGTCACTTCCGTAAGACCACCACTGTCGAAGATTCCCATCCACTGATTTTCGGCATGTGGAACTCATTTCTCGAGCTCCCCCTGGGACAGTTACAGCTTGCGTTTTTTTTTACCCCGACCTAGATTTAAACTCGCGATCTTAGTATGTGGAGACTTTTACTCCTCCTCTGGTGCAATATATAACATCAAATGCAACGGTTAAGCAGTCAACTCATCTAGCATTCGTCCTTTGAAATTGTGGGCATCAATGCAATGGCGTGGGAATTTCAACTTTCTTCGGTGGCATCAAGAGAACTTTTCAAACATGTTTCGGGCACTTCGCCAATCGAGTACGATTGTATTTTTAATAGACAGGGCGAATTCTCCCGATTGGCAAGTGTCCACCCACTGCTGCTCGGTCTATTCCACAAAGCCGTTGTAAAAGCCGCCCTCCATGTCCCTCGTACATCATCTGAAAAGCGTGAGGACTTTTACTGTACCCACTTAGGCATCGACCTTGCTTTGACTTGGTGAGGGGAATGGCTTTGGTATGGTTGGGGGGGGGGGGGTTGACGGGTTGAGGAAGCATTGTAAAAGTAAAAAAAATGCTTTTATAAAAGTAAAGTACACATTCATAAGCTTCGAGGAGGCCCATGGGAAAAGCCGTGGTTATTTTGGAGTGCGGGGGTCTGGGAGGAGTGACCTTCCTGTGGTAGCTCGTTTCTTTGGGACGATTATTCATTGGGGGCGGACTGCCGCTGCACAAAAACGGCCTTCTTTGAAGCACATGTGTGCGGGAGATAAGGCTGTTGCAGCAAAAATAATAATAAGAAGAGGTTTCCCCCCCCACCCCCCCCCTACGTTAAAGCAACACAGCATACATTCCACGAACTGCCATTGACTTGAAAGTGCAATATGCATTTTTTTACGATTTAAAATGGTAAAAGAAAAAACGCTACTTTTTATTGCACAATGAGGATTGGATGTCTAAGTTTTGTTTCGCTCGTACGTTTTGAAAACTGGGATCCGCAGTTTGAAACTGTTGATCTCCCTCTAGTGGAGGCCCTTCCGGCAGCAGTGACATTAATACGCAATTGCAGGCCTGCGCCTTTAACCTTTACTCACCACTCTCCCACTACTCCACCCTCTATGCATCATTATTTTTATTATATTTCTTAAAACACACCAAGGCTTGGATTGCACTCTGGCAGCAGCACAACCTCAATATTCCTCCATCTTCATAATGAGACCCAGGGCTTGACCAACACGCGATTGAAGAGTGCCCTTCAACGCCAGGTTGCTCAGCAGCCAGAGAAGACGATGATTCCCGCAAGGGTCAAAGAGCAGTGAACTGAGAGGCGAGCGAGCTGCTCAAATATGTGCGATCCGATTTGAAGGTGTGGGTGACCTTAATGACCGTAATCCAAGCGTGCTCGTGAAACATTTGCAAATAATATCGGCTTGTATATAATGTACATAATGGAGATGATTAAATGAATAAAAAATACTCCCATCTCGCCATCACGGCGCCCGAGATGTTAACTCCGTCGCCTGGTATACAGGAGGCCGTGGGTTCGATCCCGATCCTGATGCATATTTTTGAAGTTTGCATGCCTCTCTCCCCGTGGTCGCGTGGATTTTTCTTCAGGTCCTCCGGATTGTCCCTCCGCATTTAGAATCAACATGCGTTTAGAGTATTTGGCTGCTATAAATATCCACGTGATGATAAGCCACTTCGTTCAGCTATCGCTTGCAGCCATGCCGCTTCTGAAAAAGAGCTATATAGCTCAGTGGGCCATACCTGATAAAATAAATAATATAAGTTTAGTTTAATTTCATATTTTATACGTACATACAAAACTTTCAGAAAACGTTCTCAGTGGGAACTTATGAAATAGCAATTTTTTTATTTATTTTAAAAGTAGTTATTTAGAACAATGCCTTTCAATCCTCAACGAACATTAAACCTGACAACGTTTAAAGTTGCATATTCTGACGCTACAATGTTTAAGTTAACACGCAAGTGGATGGAATTGCAGACAAATAGTGAAACTCAATCATTAGAATTACCTCCACGGTATAATTTGCCGCGAAGGTTTGTCGCGGTTGTTGCACCGCGTGTTGTTCGGGATGACGTCTGACGTTTACCTCCACGTGCTGGGAGTTTCGTCAGTGACTTGAGATTCCAGTTGGGATTTCTTAATCTCCCGAAGAAGCTCCCAGCACGTGGAGGGAAACATTGCACACGTATGTACGTTGAACTTCTTTCGCACCATTCGAAGCCAACCGTGTTAATTGGAGGTACGGGTGAAGGAGAGCAAACTCAACACAAAGAACAGTGATATGACACAAACGCACAAAGGAGAGCGGAAGCCAATTTATTCTGTTTTCGCATATTAGAGGTTTTTTCTGGGTTCGATCGCGTAAATATAAATGTGTCGTTAAACCCGCCACCACCCTTCTTCTTCCTAGCGTTGTTTCCGCTGTGGCGCAGGGTCCGCTTTTCGGCATTGTCTTCTCCATTTGGCTCGGTCCAGGGCATCTTCAGGGGATGCGTTGACCGTCTTCATGTCTTCCTTTATTCGGTCCATCCATCGCTTCTTCGGACGTCCGCGTGGACGGCGGCCCTCTGGCTCAATACGCACGGCAGTCTTGGCCACTGATGACTCTTCACTTCGCATCACATGGCCGTACCACCGAAGCCTTGCCTCAAGCATCTTGTCCGCAATGGGGACCACACCAAGTCGCTTCCGAACGTCTTCGTTCCTAACACGATCCCATCGAGTGAGCCCGAGGCTCCATCTGAGCATCCTCATCTCCATGGTGTGGAGAGCTTGTTCGTGTACAGTTGTGGCTGGCCAGCACTCGGATCCATAGAGTGCCACCGGTCGGACGATGGTCTTATATATTTTTCCCTTCAGCCTATCCGGCATTTTCCGATCACAGAGGACTCCGGTGACTTGCCTCCATTTCATCCACGCCGCATTGACTCGTGACCTCACATCAGTCGTGATGCTACCATCTGAGCTGATGGTGGAGCCCAGGTACTTAAAGTCCGTCACTTTCTTCAGATCTTCTCCGTCAATACTGATGGTGCCGTCGGTTTGGGGGCCACACTCCATATACTCCGTCTTTTTGATGTTGAACCTCATCCCGTTTTCGTCCAAACGTTCCTTCCACAGGCGCGTTTGTCTTTCCACTTCTCCTCTCTCTTCATCTGAGAGGAGGACGTCATCCGCGTAGAGAATTGACCATGGAAGGGGCGTGTGCAGGTCGGCAGTGATCGTGTCCATGCACAGGATAAACAGGAGTGGTGACAGGGCCGATCCTTGGTGCACTCCAACGCTGATGGGAAATGGCGGTGATATGCCCACTGCACACCTGACTGCACTGGTGACGTTCTTGTATAGGAGTTGCACCCAATGCACGTAGGTTTCAGGGACTCCATGGGATCGAAGCGAGTGCCAGATGAGGTCGTGGGGGACCCTGTCAAATGCCTTTTCAAGGTCGAGGAACGACACGTGCACAGCTTTGTTCTTCTCTCTGTGCCTCTCCAGCAGAAGCCTCACCGCGAATATGGCGTCCGTAGTGCCACATCCTTTGACGAAGCCGCATTGGTTGGGTGATAGGGTGATGATGTTTCTAATCCTCGTGTCCAAAACTCGCTCAAAGATCTTCATCGCATGACACAGGAGCCTGATATATCCAATTAAGTAAGGTGGCCCACTTTACTCCAGTGACCCGGGTGCTGCCGCGGGGTCCACTTTCTGCCCCGCCTCCTCCCCCCCTCTCTCTCCCCCGCTACTGCCGAGGCCTATATAACCTCGTGCCACGGCTGATCTCTCGCCTACTTCAGCAGTTTTTTCTTGCTGTGGTTGTCCCACCTGATGACGATTGCTCGTGTTGCGATCGAAACGTCGTGATCTATTATTTTTCTACCCACGTGACTTTACCGACAGAACCAAAGAGTAAGTAAGGGTTGTCACGTAAACAAAACATGCCAATTCGTTGCCAGTACAGCACACTTGTTTTGGAGAGTAAATCCACAACATTTACAATTCGAGTGCGACGTGTCGCCAGTAATTACAACGAGCCTCGTCAGGATATCTTTTGTTTTGTTTGCTTTACAGATACCCCATGTGAATAAGTTTGCAGAGGCGTACTACGAAACGATGCTGATATACGGAGACTTCTTGAAGAGAAGTCTTCAAGACGGCACCTTCACTTGCTCCAGCACAGACGCCACAACAATGCGTGGGAAAAACTACATAGGTCAGGCTCTTTAAAACTGCCCTCAAAACTCTGTGCCGTATGATAATAATTTCAAATGTCCACCACTGTGGCTCAGGGCAGCCGTGGAGAATTCCAAATGCGATTCGGGGACAGTCAAAATCGCGGATAACAAGTTCGTGAATAACGATGGAATATTCTAGATTTGAAGTTTTCGTGACTGCAAGGATCCATACTCTTTGATTCTTTCGGTAAAGTCACGTAGGTGGAAAAATAAAAAATAGAAATAAATAAATCACGACGTTTCTTGCTGTGGTTGTTACACCCGATGATGATTGCTTGTGTTGCAATCGAAACGTCGTGATTTATTTATTTCTATTTTTCTTTTCACCTACGTGACTTTACCGAAAGAACCAAACAGTAACGTTGGAATACTGTATTATTGATAGCCTGCGATTGCGAACTGTGTAATGTTAAAGGGCATAGGGCGTCAGTGCATCAGCTTACTGTGAATTTCACCGGTGTGACAATGAGCTACTCTGTTCTGTTGGACAGGAAAGGACATGATGGTGCACATCGATGAGAATGGTGACAGCGAAGGGGAGTTGGAGGTTCTCTATCTTCACAACAACAAGGCAATTCACCCCATTCATCCAGCATAACTCACGCGGAAGTCACCCTCAAGCAAAGCCTTGCCTGCTCCCTGGGTGGAGCGGTGGCGCAGCGGTTAGCGCGCTGGGCTACAAAGCCACCCCGGTCCCGAGTTCAGTTCGCAGCAACGACTAACATGAGTAGCGAGTGATGTCTGAACTGGTGCTGCCCTTACATCACCCTGCGTTGACCAGCGTGGTGAAGAATGGCCAGTCAGCCTCTGTGACTGACAACAGCGTAGAGGGGAGGGGGTCTTCATCCAGCAGTGGATTGGCCAGAGGCTGTAGGTTATTATCTCGTGGGGGGCAGGGGGGGGGTTTAAGAAAGTTGTCAACGTCCAATCAGCAACAGCAGCATAAATACATAAATTGATAGACCTCGGTGTTTGTGTACAGATGGGCACAGCTCACGTGCGATGGGGTAAAGTGTGGGTGCTCGCACCTCTTCAAAGAAAGTCTGGGCAGCATGGAGGAGTTGCTAAAATGCCCTCTCTCTCTCGAGCTCCCTCGAGTGGAGGGCCTTCCGCCGGCGGTGACGCGGGGGAGGAGAGGGGGCAATTGCAGGGCTGCGCCTCTGCCACTGTTGCTTCACCACGCTCGCCACGTTTTGCTGCTGCGACTGTACAAACTAAGAAGGGGGTATTTAATGAAATCATAATTTTGCACGGTGCAAATGAAGTTGAAAATGCATACGTACAGTTTCGTTAATATCTTGACAAAAATGTATTGTTCGTTTTTTTTTGTAATATGCGACTTAATTTTTTTAATGATGCAATTATAAAGCCATTATTTATTTCCTTGTACCTCTGACGCGTCCCGTTTCGGACGTTTTCTGTTCCTCCCTATAGACCACCCTGACGTTGTCGCTATTGTTATGTGCTGACAGCACCACGGATCTCCCTTGCAAACCAGCTGGGTGATTGGCACAAATGGGACTTTCCGTGTAACAAATGAACACGTTGATTGATCGTGATCGCAACACGCTTTCAACTAACGGTATTTTACTTTGCGTGCAGTTCCACATGGTGTGGCAGTACGACACGTGGAAAAACACGTTCAGAGAAGTCTCCAACCTCAACTTCACCCTCCCGACCGATATCCCAGGTACAGCCGCACGTGTGACCATCGAAGCGATACGCAGCGATGTGTAATGGTGAAATATTGTGTGAGAAATCATAAATCGTACTAACAATCATTAGCTTTTTTAATTACCTCCATTTTTGTGAGAATGGAGTAAATTAAAAAATATATGTTTACTCACTTGTTTTGCACTGTTGCAGAGTACTTGATTCACAATTAATAAGCGAATGAACGTATTGGCGGTATGCCGGTGAGCGGCATAATAAAAAAAAGCAAAATTTTCACAATCATTACTTATTTTCCCACGACTCGCAACCCTCGGTCAGAAAACCTTGCAGAGTGGGTGGTGGTGCGTCAAAATCAGTTTCTTGAAGCAGTCGGAAGACGAATCTCCGTTCAAATTTTAGATTTCAGACTGTTTCATGAGGGCCGGTGTGTTATGCAGCACCGGTATGCCGCCAGTGCGTCCAAATATAAAGGTGCAATTTAACACGTAGGCTATCGCGACCAATATTATTCATAATCAACGTTTTTGGGTTTAGATCGCGTTATTTATTAATGAGTCGTAACCCTCCACCACCCGACATGGCCAATCAGTACAAAAAGTGTCACGTTGACAAAAGACAAATAGTTCACTGCTGTAGCCCACCGGTTTTTTGAAGCGTGAAACCATAACATTTACAATTTGAGTACGACGTTTCGCTGGTAATTGCATCCAGCATCATCGGGCAATTCGCCAGAATGGTGAGGCTCTGCTCTGTCTCCCGTTCTTATATAGAGCAGCAGCAGGGTGACGTCATCATTAACTCATTAACTCATCAGAGCCTCACCATTCTGGCGAATTACCCGATGATGCTGGATGCAATTACCAGCGAAACGTCGTACTCAAATTGTAAATGTTATGGTTTCACGCTTCAACACACCGGTGGGCTAAAGCAGTGAACTATTTGTCTTTTGTCAACGTGACACTTTTTTTACTGATTGGCCGTGTCGGGTGGTGGAGGGTTACGACTCATTTATAAATAACGCGATCTAAACCCAAAACGTTGATTATGAATAAAGGTGCAACCCTGCAATCGCTTTCTCGTGCCACTGCCGGTGAAAGTGGCCTCCGCTGGAGGGAGCTCTAGAGGAGAGCCCCTCTGAGAGGGGGCATTTTTAAATCCTTTATATTAAGTTCGCTTGCTTGCTTGCTTGCGTGCTTGCTTGCTTGCTTACCACCGTGAAAATCTTTCGGTCGTTTTTTAACCCACTTCCCTGATCCAATCCAAGCTGACATTTTGCACACAGACTCGTTGTGCGAGACAATTAATTTTCGTGAAATTTTTTTCCCAAAATTTTACACTGTTTAGGGAAAACAAATTAAATATTTAATTATCAATTGTTTAATACTGGCAGACAATCATCTGACCCATAGGTGGCAGCCATCTCAAGCCAGAGGACGAGAGGACTCTAGCCGCCACGCATATAAAGGATTTAGAGTGAAAAACTTTGTTTTTACGGGTTATACTTATTTGGCCTCCTTTTTACACGCTGGCCAGTCGTCTTGGAAGAGGTGGGAGAGAACGAGCACACTTTACCCCACCCACACGCGGACCTACCGATCGACTGTGTCGTACGCATCTCCACTGCTGAGTCGGAAGAGGTGGCGGTGGGGGCAGTCGGGTGGTGGGGGGAGTGGTTTTAAGAAACCTGTCCGCATTGTTTTCTCCATTTCATAAACAAAAACACGTCAAGCGCTATCCTCGCACAATAATCATTCGTCACGAAAAGACGCAAGTGACTTCGTTTTGTTTTATTTCGCAGAGCGGAAAGAGAATCACGCCACGATTATTGCGCTCTTTGCCATCAGCATCATCTTCATCGTGCTCATTCTGGGCTTCCTTCTGCTCTGGAGGTAACGCAGGTGGCGAGGACACAGGGCCCACTCGGTAAGGGGCACCACGATGGCGAGGAGATGTTAACTCCTTCGCCTGGTATGCAGGAGGTTCGTGGGTTTGATCCCGACCCTGACGCCTGCTGTATATTTGGAGTTTGCGGTGTCTTTCTCCTTGTGGTCGCGTGGAATTTTATCTTCGTCCTCCGGTTTTTCCCTTCCACATTTAGAATCAACATCACGAGTTTAGAGTATTTGGGCTGCTATAAATTTCCATGTGATACGCCACTAAGTTTGAGCTATAATTTGTGGCCGGGTCACTTATGACAAAGATCTATACAGCTCAGTGGGCTTTACCTGGTAAAATAAAAAAAAGTTTAGTTAGATTCAGCATTAAACGCTCATAAATAGAATTGGCCAAAGATCCCATTGTAGCACCACAGAGCTTCGACAATTGTTGACACTGGTTCTAGAGGCTGTCTGCGATTTACCGAGTGAACAAAAACTGTGCGAGTTACAATTGTAACCCATTATTGCAGATGCCATGGCTTAATAGTACTCGTATCACCGTTTATAACAAAATATTTCCCCCCAGATTTTCCCCAGTTGTGCTATCGGCATGTCACGAGGACCCTTGCACAGCAGTGCAACCCTCTAATGTTAGAGAACGGCTCGCAGAAGTGGCTTTTGCAGAACTACGTTTGAGATCCCATCACGTGACCTAGGAGACCCCACTAAGTGACCAAGTGACCCCTGGTCCATCCAGTAGGGGCAGCAATTCCCTATCCCTCCTTGATACTACAAAGATTAATTGAACGTGGTTGGACTTTTTTGCGAGTTGAAACCATTGATTCACAACTACACTCGAGAACTCAGTTTAGTTACAGGCAGATTCGCGTGTAGTGGGGTAAAGTGTGCGCACTGCCACCTATTCCAAGCCATCTGCCCACCGTGGAAGAGTTATTGGTTGAAGGCTGACTGTGGTGTACCTCTATTTTCCGCTAGATGGATAGGTAGCGCGTGGATTTTAGGAACGTGTCTATTGCTTCCACTTCCGTACCGAGAGATGCTATGGAGCTGGCAACCCATCTGGATTGCAGGTCCAGTGCACTGACCATTATAACCACAGCAGCAGCAGCATCCTCTGTGCTTTGCCAGTCCCAACTTTGTGTTAAGTCTCATTATTTATCCGTTTACTAATCTGCAAATGAAAAGCATTTCAATGCATTCAAATAACTCATCGTATGGAAATACTGTGTGTTGCGCCAGAAACGTCGTGATTTTATTTATTTTATTTTATACCTACGTAACTTTACAGAAAGAACCAAAGAGTATAAATACTGTGCTGTAGAACGTGTCCATTTGTTCTGAGAATCGCCTTCTGTATCTTTGCACCACATGCAAAAACGCTAGTTTAAGCGGTATTTTTTTCCCAGGCTATCTTGGTTGTACGTCCCTTGGGTTGATGAAACAATTCTCATGACCCCTGGATTAGTGCAAAGACACGCTCGGAGCGAGAGTGTGGTATTTATTACGCGGCAAATCGCGATGAAGTGACCCTCACAATGCGGACGACAGTACGGCTTCTCATGGAATGTTTTAAATGTTATAGAGGGAAAAAAAAAGAAAAAAAGCTGTAGCACAATGGAGTGTGTCCTGCGCCGTGAATCTGGCAACCTGAGTTTGATTCCTGGCCATGGCTATCATTCGTAGTAATTGATTATTTAACTTGTTTTTTACCAGGTAAGGTCCACTGAGCTATATAGCTCTTTTTCAGAAACGGCATGGTCACAAATGATAGCTTTGTGAAGTGGCTTATCATGTGGACATTTATAGCAGCCAAATACTCTAAAGACATCTTTCTAAATGTGGAGGGAAACATCGGAGGACCCGGAGAAAAATCCACATGACCACGGAGAAAGAGAGAGAGACACCGCAAACTCCAAATCTAGAGCAGGCGTCAGGGTCGGGATCGAACCCACGACCTCCTGTATACCAGGCGAGGTAGTTAACATCTCGCCACCGTGGCGCCCTGGTCCAGCAACCCACTGCTCCCGTTCACCACCTTCACCAATTTCGATTCACCAGGGTGGCAAAGTATGGCCAGACAACCTCCACGACAGATTGACGAAGGGTTGTGGATTACCATGGAATTCTTATATTCATGATAATTATCATAGGGATAAAAGTAACAATGTTGCGCATGGCAGAATGTCACACATCCGCCCGTCGAATATCTGCCCTGACCAATGGACTTCCCACACCAAGTGCAGTGTAACTGTTATATTCTATAGATGTTCACATATCGGACCTTTTTTACATTTCCGCCCGTACCTCAATTCCCAACAGAGTTGGATACGCGACATTGCGCTGTGTACCATTTCTTTGTCCGAGTTATTTTAAACCAAAAAATAAAAAAATCGTCTCCGCGCTCAAACTCGAGCAGTGAAGCGACAGGCCTCTCCCCTTTCTTGGGTGGGTCCCGTGTCAGCGGAGTGCATTATACATTCCCATGGCCGGGGCCAGTTCTGTCGATGTCAAGGACGTTAAGGGTTTAACAAACTCGGAGCGATAATGAGCCGCCAATCCAGTCAGGAAACGCACTCATAACCTTCTTATTGTGAGTCAGCCGTTCTCAGAGTAGTGCCAACACAAGATAGGACTTATCTCGTAGATTGCGCCTGTCAAGAGCACCAGTCCCGAGCTAAACAATCGACGTCTTTAGAATTTGACGCGGCCTCTCCACAGAATTGCCATGTGTTTTGCAACGGGTTATCTGCAATGGAAAAAAGTAGAAATTAAAGTGATTTTTTTTAATGGATCTGGATTTATCTAATTGAGACCCAGTCATATGCCGATTTAAGATTCCTCTTTACATTTACAAAAATACATAAATTATTCAAAATTAATCGCTATCCTGACACGATGTAGTACTAGGCATAATGGACTAGCAATCCCGTGGTGACCGGTTCAATCCAGAGTTTGCCGGTTCAATCCACCGGTCGCCAGCTCAATCCAGCGGTGACCGGTTCAATCCCCAATGTGGCAGTTGAAACATTCGTGCAATCTTGATTTGAAGCTCACGTGACTGCAGGAATCCATACTCTTTTGTTCTTTCAGTAAAGTCACATAGAAAAATAATAATAGATCACGACGTTTCACCGGTTCAGATGTCACCCCACCGATCGAAACGTCGTGATCTATTCTTATTTTTCTACGTGACTTTATCGAAAGAACCAAATAATATTTGTGCAAGTTTCTTAAATTCTCCCGCCCCACCGCCCCTGTCCACCCAGCGGAATGAAAGGTTACTGCACAGTTAGTCGATCGGCAGGTTTCGTGCGGTGGAGTAAAGTGCGAGGAATCCCACTCCCTCCAAAATATCCGTGCCAGCCAAATACTCACCAAAGGGGCCTCTATCGAGCTCCTTCGAGTTGAGGCCCTCCTGCCCACAGCGGTCGTGAGAAAGCCATTGCAGGGCTGCACCTCTACCTTTTACATTTTCATTGCGGAATAGCTTCTTTCAGGTAGTGCAGTGTTCTTCATTGCAAGGCCCGTGGGCCACTCACTGGCTGCCCCTAGTGGCCTGTAGTGCGGCCCCTGACGTGCGGTCCCCGACAGTACACAACGAGTAGAAACACCCCATCATGAAGACCCACTGGGTGTGGTGCTTCACAAACCGTCGTGTCGCCGCCACAGCAAAGTCCCAAGTGTGCAGCAGTATTTTGGAATTATACGGAGAGGAATGAACCTCGCCGTTTGCAAGCGAGGACAGAGGAGCTCTCCTCCGTACCGTTCAGCGGCCCGATCCAGCCTCCCGCCCGCACTCCCCTCTCCATTGGTCTTGGAGCAGTGCGGCAGCAGACAACCGTCAGCCCCTACGGTGTGCCGGGAAGATCGAGACAGCTCGCAAAGTGAGTGTCGTGGAATAACAAAAGCAAAAATTAAGTTGAGCAGCACTGCTTTAGAAGACCGTAGGAAGTCTTGTAAAAATCAACTTTGCCTTCACAAAATTAATGGTCACAAGGTCTGTAATCATGGAAACAGATGGCTTAATCTCACTCGTATCGTGACCTTGGAAGGCTCAGTGAAAGCTTTAGTGTTTATATTGAATGTTTGACTCGCAGAGTTATTGATTGATAGCACACTCAAGTAGAGTTTAACACCTCTGTTGATTTCGATTTAAAGCTTTCGTGACTGCAGGGATTCATCTTCTTGGTTTTTTCGGTAAAGTCACGTAGAAGGGAAGTAAAAAAACCAAGAAGATGAACCTCTGTTGATGTTTGTGAGTGCTTCTCATGCAGCAAGCTGCTCCAACAAATCTAGATTGACACCAGTTTATTCGTGATAACAATCCACTGCTGGATGAAGGCCGTCCCCCTGCCTGTCAGTCAAGGAGACAAAACTTCACCACCATGCTGGTACAGTGACGAGTTGGTGAAGAAGGGATGTCCCGGTTCAGATGTCACCCCGTCGATTCAGATGTCACTCCGCTGGTTCAGATGTCACCCCGTCAGTTCAGATGTCACCCCGTCAGTTCAGATGTCACCCCGTCAGTTCAGATGTCACCCCACCAGTTCAGATGTCACCCCGTCAGTTCAGATGTCACCCCACCAGTTCAGATGTCACTCAATTGGTTCAGATGTCACCCACCAGTTCAGATGTCACCCCACTGGTTCAGATGTCACCCCACCGATTCAGATGTCACTCAATTGGTTCAGATGTCACCCCATCGGTTCATATGTCACCCTGCCGGTGCAGATGGTGACTAACCATGACTGGAAATCGAACTTTGCTCGCTGGGTTCATTGCACAGTGACGCTAAGCACTGCGCCAACCCCACGCCCCATCCCTAATAGCACCACTGTGTGCCCATTCATAAAAACAATGTCTTCTTCCATAATTGTTGCCTGTGCTTCAGATTCCAGAACCGCAGACCTCATGATCTGCTAATCATAGGACACTGATCCCATATGTCTCATTGTAAACACTGGCAAATATGTAAAAAAATCTGAACAAGTAGGTCACTGTGGGGGTGAAGATATGCTCCCCTACCATTCAAGAATGTGTTCATATATTTTTTCAATATTACAGTGAACTTAGCGGCCTCTTGTGGCTAGAGGGGGCTCACACGTGGACCCATTTCGCTTCATATTAAAAACAAAAACGCCTCTTCGTGGAATTGGCCAAAAGCTAAGCGAGCTCTCTCCTTGAAAGCCCTCTCGTCGTAGGCCAGCAGCAGACCTCGACATTGGAATGGTGGCTCCTGAACGCATATCGCAGCACATTATACGCGCAAGAGTAGAGAACAGCAGCGTCGCGAAACGATACCGAAGTGGTTTTCGACGACCGGACGTGTAAGTATTAGAGCGTCCTCTCGGAAATGGTCAGTCGCAAATGTTTTTCGAGTCGGAGCATGGGAGACGGGATGTAGGTCAGGAGGCAGTCGAGAGAGATGCTTGGAGAGGACATGGGGGAGAGGAGAGAGATGGTAGTGACATTGGGGGGGGGATGGGGGAGGAGAGTCTTCAATTAATTCCACTCGGCGTTTTCACTGCATTGCTTCTCAATTCACAATGGACAAAGTCACGAATTTGGCCTCACGCCCATCTTGTCGCCAAGCTAAAGGACTCTCTCTGCAATTGATGGGTTTCTCAATAACAAAGGAAGTTATTGTGACTGTTCGTCTTCTATAAATCGTGGTTACACCACTGGCCTTGTTTCCCTTATACGACGGTGTGAAGTGGTTACTGCGCGGGTCTTTTTTGCCTGGTGCATTGTGTACGAATGCAGTCAACGTATGAGAATAGTTGTATACAGTTGTGCACTGTCAAAGCAGCTATTTTTCATTGTGGGTAAAATGGAATTTAACATTATATTTATAACTGCAGCAAACATTTCACTTTTTGTAACTAAGTGCATTATTTTCAGGAATTTCCTCTGATTATTTACTCTTACTACCACGCTTGTTTACCCATGAAAGCCTCACCGAATCTCAATTTGGTGCTTTTCAATATCAGTTGCAACATATGGCGGTATTTTAGCTATGGGAGGAAAACGGAGAACCCAGAGAAAGCCCATAAGGTGGAGAGCCTACAAACTCCAACACCCGCCCTTCACCACTAAGTGACCGTGACATCACCACGGCGCCTGTGCCAGGCTAGGTGCACTTTGAGGCCATGTGAGGTGTCGAAGGCTCGCTGACAGGAGGCCACGGGACAGACCCAGGTGCCACGGGTTGACTGACCGAGATGACTGGCAGACGCACCAGCTGTGCTTGCCTACTGTGCCAACTTCCCACACTTTAGCTGCCCGGCACCCCGCTCGTTGTTGTGAGCGTCGCTCCTCTGCCCTGCTCTGCACCCACGTTGGAGACTGAACCCAGGACTTTGCAATAAGACACAAGCGTTACCACTGTACCACCCTTCCGCCCATTAAATCACCTGTCCACTGTTTTACTGACATGTCAGAATATTCATCCTTGTCCCAATAAACTGCTGGATGAAGGCCACCAATGCCATGTCAGGCATGGGGTTGTTTGGCCACACTTCGCCGTGTTAGTGAAGGTGGGGTTTTGAATGGGACAGGAGTCCAGAACATATTTAGATGTCACTCACCACTGATGTTGATCGTGAGCAGCAATTTAACTCAGGTAACCAGGGTCATAACAGTGCAGTGCATGAACCAATGGCTCCCCACAAACGATGCGTCTTCATTTCAACCAATCGCGAGCCTGCACGTGACTTTTTGCGCGTGTGAATTGACAATACCCTGGGGCTGGTGTGAGGAGCTAAGCGAGATCCTCCAGGATTGGCACCACAGGACATCCGTGTGGTTATTCCGTGGACTTGTTCTGATGTGGAGCGCTCTCGTGCGACTGTCGCCGCTTCGAGCTCGTGATGTGTTCACTTCAGTGCCCTCGATCTGGTCCGTGTTGTTTTTCACTGTGGTCCCAACAATGTTTCGATGCATATCTGGGCAATGGTGGCTAAGCACGTGACCTGTAATCCAGCACTGTGGGGGGGGGGGCAAGGGTTGGCAGGATCGCACAAACGTTGCGAACCTCGCTTTCAGTGGACGTCGAGCCAGTGCCATACCCTGACTTGCACCTCCGATTAGCACGGTTGGCTACGTACGGTGCGAAAGAAGTTCAACATAAAGACACACGAAAGGACGCAGTACAGCAAAAATGTGGACTACATCTGTTTCGTCTGTATGGGGATAGAGTGTTCTCCCCTCGCACACATGTGCTTTCTCCTGGGTGCTTCCGTTTCCTCCCACATGTAAACGCTCCTTAATTGGCCGATAACACCGTCATATGTAGAGGACCGCAGAGCTTGGGTGGTTGTTGGCACCGGCTCATGACGTGCATGCCTTACTGCTTGTCTGCGGTTCTTCCTTCTCGCTTCCGAATAGTTGTCACTCAACTGATAGTGAGTGAATACCGCGCAGTGGCGAGTTGCAAGTTGAAATCATCCCGCGTCGTCATTATTCGTATCGAAACGTCATTCGCAATGTTCAGCGCTCATGAGCACAATTCGCACGAATGACGTGCCATCAAACTATTATTCATGAGCAATAGCGGCACGGACTAAAGCGAAGCGTTATATTGCCGCTGTAGGTTTGAGCTTTAAACAACAACGACAAAGACGACAATTCCTGGATGCCCCTTTGCTGATGGAACGGCGTCTCTCTCCAACGCAGGAAGTACAGCGTGGAGCGGCAGCTGCGGACACAGAGATGGGTCATCCCCTGGGTGAAGCTGGAGGACCTTCCGGAGGACGAAAACAATAGCACACACGAGGTGCAACGATCCGAAAGACAAAGATAAAAGATACCCCCCAGGATAGCCTTTAACAGGCCGTAGAGCCAAGTGCTGTTATCGAGCACCTATGAAGGCCGGCACGGCACGGCACACGAGGGGGTGGGTTGGTCGGCGCCATGCCCCGGCCACCTTTGTCTCCCGTGTGCCTATGTTTACACACCGTACCAGGTACTCATCTGAGGCTAAGTCGACCTAGAGTGGCCATGGACTATCCTGCCTTCAGCTCCTGCGGCGAGTATTTAATTTGGCCCCGCTCTTCCACTCTGGCCAGACGTCTTGGATGAGTCGGGGAGTACCAACACTTATACATCGCAGGAGGTCGGAGAGGGCTCCGAAGTTGTGTTGGTGCTTCGCGGTCGCGTTGACTTTCGCAAAGCCTCGGTTTGAGTGGGGCGGCCATGGACGATCCGCCGTCTTTTAAAGAAGTCGGAAAGCCCAGGGACCCGCGGAGGAATATAAAGAGCGCTCTCTGTCGCGCACGGCGAAGCGATGTTCCACGGATATAACGCGCAGGGGCCAGATGTGCACTCTGTTTTTAGAAGGCAAACATTAGCAACTAAAAAATGTAAACTCTGAGTCTTAACTATTTTCTTTACCAGATGAAGCCCACTGAGCCATCAGCTCTTCCATAATAGAGGTTTTTGGGTTAGATCGCGTAAATATATAATTGTGTCGCTAAAACCCGCCACCACCCGACACAGCCAACTAGTAAGGTTTGTCACGTAACCAGAACGTGGCCAATTCGTCACTAGTACAGCACTAGTGTGTAGTGTAGTGTATAGTGTAGTGTATAGTGTAGTGTATAGTGTAGTGTATAGTGTAGTGTATAGTAGTGCAGTGTATAGTGTAGTGTATAGTGTAGTGTATAGTGTAGTATACTAGTACAGCACACCGGTGTGTTGGAGAGCCAAGCCACAACATTTACAATCTGAGTACGACGTTTCACCAGTAATTACAACCAGCTTCATCAGGTGACGGCCAAATTTGTGGAGAGGTCTTACTGTTTTGTTCCTTACATAGAGGAGTAGATGTGGTGACCACGATTGTGGACTCCAAATATCCAGTCACCGTCACGGGTCGGGATCGAACCCATGACCTCCTGCGAGGAGGTAACACCTCACCACCACGGTACCACTATTCAGTTTAGAAATGCAATCGACAGTTTTGAAACGTGGCCGTGAAGTCGTTTAGGGGCCGTCCGTAAATGACATCACGCACCTGGGGGGGGGGGGGTCAGACATTTGTGACGATGTGTGACGAGGGGGGGGGGTGAGAAATGTGACGTCACATCGAAATGCACAACTTTAAATAATTGTAGGCAACACGTTTTTCTTAATTAAATAGACGTTTTAATATTTTCTCCTACAACATCAGAGTGCAGCGCCACATTAAATACGGACTACAAAGACAATAGTTTAAAGCGACTTGAAGCATGTTTTATTTTTTGGGAGGCGGGGGGGCAGAGCTTTGTGACGTCATATTTGATGGGGGGGTCTGACTTTTTGTGATGCAATATGACGACGGGGGGAGGGGGGGTCAAAAATGTCCAAAATCACGTAACGTCATTTATGGACGGCCCCTTACACAATCCGGTTTACACAATTAGTGTTTTAATTGCGGTGAATATAGCGACATCTAGTGGTTGCAAAGTTCATGTTGAATCGTCAACATTGAAACACAAAAAATTCCAGCCATTCTCAAGTCACTGCTGATAATGGCCCCCTTCATGCCGTGTCGGACATGGGGAGTGTGTTTTTTCACTCGCACTCATCCATGCACACACGGTCACGCACACTCGTTAGCTCACACTCATCCACATCGGAGAGTTGTGGGGGGGGGGGGGTGAAGGGCTTGAAGGGGTGGGGTAGGAGGATATGACCTGGTCTGATGTCACTCGCCACTGATGTTAGCCGCTGCCGGAATTGATTTCAGGGTTCCGGGTTAGCTGCACACCGCCGCTAACCACAACAATCTGCGCCGTTTCACGCCGCATTCATACAAATATAGGAATTGACAGACATAAATTCTTACCGCTCCACCCCACCGCTGCCCATAGCCACCGTGCTAACTTGGCCATCGAGCGCTCGCTGTGTTTGCTATCCCGACTGCGCTATCGGCATCGTGTCACGAGTCAAAGAATCCTCTCGGATCTCTCACAGAGAGCAGTACGAACCTTTCGTGTTCGGGAATGGTCCACAGAAGCGAATGTCGCAGAGCTACCCTTGGGATTCCCTTACAACGAGCACGGTGGAGGAATGGCAGCACTTTCCTCACCTGCTCTGTGCAAGAGAGCGAGGCTCATACTTCTAGATTTGAAGCTTTCGTGACTGCAAGGATTCATACTCTTTGGTTTACAGCGAGTTTGGCTGTAACGGTTCCACCTGAAGACGGAAGCTTGTGTTGCCTCCGAAACGTCGTGATTTCATTTAGTTGTTTTCATTTATTTTATTTTTTACCTACGTGACTTTACCGACAAAACCCAAAGAGTACGAGGCTCATACTCTTTGGTTCTTTCGGTGACGTCGCGTAGGTAGAAAAAATAATCGATCACGACGTTTCGATTGCCACACAAGCAATCGTCCTCAGGTGGAGGACGAAACGTCGTGATCAATTAATATTTTTTCTACCTACGTGACTTTACCGAAAGAACCAATGAGTATGGATTCCTGCAGTCACGAAAGCTTCAAATCTAGATTAGAGCGAGGCTCGTCGTCGCACAACAGTCGAAACTCGATATTTTCACACTCAGAGCTGGAATTTCGTCAGAGATTAGTGAGGGGGGGGGGGACACACCAAACTGAACGTGATATTATTTACGCAGTTATTGGAGACCGGCCTGACACCATCAAACTCGCTACAATCGAGAACCGCGTCTCTGCGCACACGGCCCATCGGATTCGGACCCCAGGACCTCAGCGGTCCCCGGCTCGACGCTCTGACCTCTGGGCGACCAGGCTCTGCCGTCGCCGCTTTCTGAAATGTCACGTTTTGTCGCCGCAGGTGCACGAGCGGAAGCTCAGCGTCTACTTCGTCCAGGACGGCAGCTTTGAGTCGGATGCCATCACCAAGAAGAAATACGACAACAAGGTCTACTGTGTCGCAGAGCGCCCCCCCCTCCCCTACAGCGCTGTACTTCGCGTGGTGACCACTGGTGCCCGTTTGATGAGATCGCTTTACGTCCCCGGCAATTACACGCAATGCGACGCACTGCCGCTTTTTAGCCAGCGCGTCCAACGAGGGAGAGTGTCAACGTTCCCGGCTCAGTCCATTGTCCACCCCGGGTCGTTTAAGATTAGCACAGTTGGCTACGTACGTGCGAAAGAAGTTCAACGTACATACAACACGCAGGCGTATGTTGCCAGTGCTGCTCCCCATGGCATCAGAATCTTTATTTATCCGGGAGAAATCCGATGAGCTATGAAGCTCTTTTTCATAGATGTCCATTAGGGTCGGGTCAGAAAGTTGCAACGACAACTAACACAAAAAAACGATCGGAGTGCAAAGCATCGGTAAGGGTAGCCATATCACGACAATATAAATACATTAAATAGATGATGAGTTCAAATCGCATCGGTACACCAATTCCTAAGCTTGGGCAAGGCAGCAAAACAACAGCACGGGAACAGTCCCAGGCGACAACAAGACAACGACACGCGGTCCCTAGCCGTTGTGCGACAGGCGGCGGCTCGCACCGCTCCACGCGCCAGCGGCCGTGCCCACTTTGTCGTCGTCATTCTGCCGCGCTGTCGTCGCTTGCGCCGGCTTCGGCGGCTGGGGCAGTTGAGTCGTCCGTGCTGTGGCCGTGGTGGGGTCGGTTTATTTTGAACCCATTTGCCCTCTGCCGTGACGTCTGACCGCAAGGTCCGGCCTTAAGCGTGTCCGTGATGGTTTGAATACGAATATCACGAGCCGTTATTGTTCTGGTGGTTCGGTCCCCAGGTTAGAGGATTCAGATTTAGAATCAGAATATTTATTTATACCGAAGGGATCCGATGCGCTATATACCTAGGGGCGGGTAGGAACGTTACAACAACAAACAATGCAAAAACACGATGGTAGTGCAAAGTACAAGAAAACAAATCACCCAAACACACCAAATTAAACTAACCATCCCCATCCTACTAGGCAAAGCCCACTGAGGTATGACTTTATTTTTCAGAAGCGACCTGGCCACAAATGATAGCTCAACAAAGTGGCCCGTCATTTGGATATTTATAGCAGCAAAATCATCTAAATAATCTCAATGCATGTCTCTAAATGTGGAGGGAAAAACCGGAGGACCCAGAGAAAAAATCCACGCGACCATGGGGAGAGAGACACCGCAAACTCCAAATATGGAGCATCCATCCCCCCTTGTCCTCCTACTGAAGTTAAAAAGTGTCACAAGTTTCATATTCGCGGTCGAACAAAGTACGCTCGCGATCAAACAAGGGAGCGGGAGGCTGTGATCATCTCCACTTGTGCTCCTCAACCAGAGAATTCCACATTCCTACGGCAAGGATTATGATCTACATTTCTACCTTCCGGGCCGTCAGCAAGTGTTACTCATTTTACCGACCTCGGAGGGATGTGTGTGGGTCTACTGTCTAACGCACCCGGTGTCGCTGAACTAGTGCCCAATCCGCATGTTTTGTTTACGTGACCAACCTTAACTGAGTGGCCGTGTCGGATCGTGGCGTTCGGAGCATCGGTGAAGAACACTGCCGTGTAACCTGTGTCCATCAGGTGGTCATGCTCAAGCCGCTGAAAGTGTACGACGGGGAGTTCACCAACACGCAGAAGAGGGAGCTCTGCATCGTGAGTCACTGGGCGGCAAGGGCTCTTTTTTTTTAAACAGGCCACGCCAAGGGTCGAGTCAAGGTCAAACTCAAGAGAGTTCCCATGCTGCATTAGTCCTTGGCCCAGAGTCGAAATTGGTACCACCTAAGGTCAGCAAGAATTCGTAGCGATTTATTTATGTGGCAAATACGATTTAAAATCTTAACCAGAATAATTATTTAAACTGGAGGAATCCGATGAGCTATGAAGCTCTTTACCCGCACGTTCAAAACTGTTATCACACAATTCAATGTTATTGGCCACTTCAAGCAATTGGAACCACTGAAGTTATGTAACCTCAGATGGTACCCGACAAGCGAAATGATATCTGGTCTGGGCTCATGGGACCATCCGGTCTTTCGCAGTAGTGCGACACAGCGTTCTGATGGTTGGAACACCGCGGTTCAACCAGAAAACGCATTGGAGAACGCAATACTCACTCGCTCGGAGGAGCGTGCGCATTGTAGTCATCTCCATCGGTGTCCCCAGAGGAGCGTGGTGGAAATGTCTCAGTTCTATGGCAGGGACCGGTCTCTTACCACAGCGCAACCCCTGTTGGCTTTTCACAAAGTGGTGCTCACGTTGATTTAACGTTCATTTGTACACAAAATGTACGGATCATGGGGCGTGTATATTCGATGCCACTCACGGTGACGCAGTGAATTGGTGCACTTGCGCTATGAACCCAGTGAACCGAGAGGTTCATTCCTGTTCTTGGTTCTTTTGGTAAAGTCACGTAGAAGGGAAGTAATAAAATAATAAAAATAAAACATAATAAAACAATTCTCACGACGTTTCATTCCTGGCCATGACTAACATCAGTGGCAAGTGATTTCTCAAGTCGAGTTCCAATTATTTTTTGTTTAGCCAGGTGAGAACTCAGCGTTCATTTGTACCAGGTGAAAACTCACCTGGTTAAATACACCCCCCCCCTCCGCCCAATCCCCTCCCACCAACCTGCCACTGACCAGTGTGGTGAAATATGATCAAACGACCACCGAATGTCATGGGACCTCCCTTGCCAAGTGTCAAAATGTAAGAATAGGTTTTACCCTTTCTGGAAATAAAACAGTTGTGCTAAGATGATAAAACACCAAACAGAAACCCTTTGCAAGGAATCATGTCGGCATTAACCACATTTACTTGTGGTGAACATGCACACAGAGACTAGGCTCTAAAGAAAGCGGTCTCTGGTGTGGACCAATCAGTTTCAAAGACAATGCATCATATACTACCAGAGTATGTTTTTTTGTGTGCGTGTTCACCACAAGTATATTTGGTTAATGCAGACATGATTCATTGCAAATAGCTTCTGTTTGGTGTTTTATCATCTTAACACAACTGTTTAATTGCCAGAAAGGGTAAAACCTATTCTTATACCCCCGGCATGACCAAAGCAGGAGGCTTTCATTCAGCAGTACATTGACAAATGAATTGAAATCATACAACGCAGCACGTGTATCAATGATTGCTAGTTGCAGGTGCCAGAGTGCCCCCTGCTGATCTTAAAGCATCCTGTACCACTTCCCTTAACGAATGATTGAAGCTGGTGACTGCTGTGCATCCATATGTGTTGACAGCGTGAGGTGGTCAGTAAAACTGGATCCGAGTTAGTTCAGGACTAGATGCTCTGCAATCCGGCTAGATGTGTGTAGTGCGCGCAGAGCGGCGCACATCAACACGAGAGGGCATTTGCCAATGGATGGCAATCGACGTCGCAACACGCACGCTTCGTTTCACAAGCTTGTGAGCTTCACACGTCTGTGTGAGCCACCAGGCCTCACCTCCAAAGTTCTGGTCGCTGGCAAGCGCCACCGCTTCTGTGGCTGTCGCTATGCATAACTGGCATTTAATCAGGATAAATAAAATAATTAAGAAAAATCTCACACTCGTGAACAAAGCTGCCTTAAAGTAATATATGTATATGATTGTGCCTGTCCACCAATGTCAATGCAGCATCACAAAACAATTTAAGGATGATAATTTTCATTTGTACACCTCTGAAATGCCACAGTAACTGAAGGTGACTTGCAAAGACATAGTTGAGATAGATGGCCAACAACACAATACGCAAATGCTGCGGGATAATTTTCATCTGGAAAGCCAATAGGCTACTGAACCTAAAAATGCATTTGATTAATACACGCAGACACGCAAATGGGTTCCGCTTGTATATCCATTCATTCAAAGCGCGTAGTCAGCGAAGGACCGATGCGCCAAACGTGTGACCTTTTGCAACCGCAGTCGCATAAACTGCTCTTGCTGCCACACCGTAATGCTCCACAACGATGCATCCTGTACAATGACGCAAACCGCTTCGTTCACAGCTGATATCCATGGCCTGCGACAACTTGACCAAGTTTTACGGGACCACGGTGGGAGGCATCGGGGTTACGTACGCTGTGACCGACTACTGCAGCAGAGGTTCCCTCTGGGTGAGTGACGCAAGATGCTCAACTCTCACCAACGTGAATGATACAGCTGGGCTCTCGCCGGAGGTGTTAGGGGCCGTCCATAAATGACGTCACACACCTGGGGGGGGGGGTCAGACATTTGTGACGATGGGGGTGGGGGGGTTTGAGAAATGTGACGTCACATCAAAATGCTCAACTTTAAATAAATATAGGCAACACGCTCTACTTAATTAAATAGACTTTTTAATAAATGTTTTCTCCGACAACATCAGAGTGCAGCACCACATTAAATACGCACTACAATGACAATAGTTTAAAGCGATTTGAAGCATGTTTTATTATTATTTTGGGGGGGGGCAGAGCTTTGTGACGTCATATTTGAGGGGGGGGTCTGACTTCTTTGACGCCGTGTGACGAAGGGGGTGGGGGGGTCAAAAATCGTCCAAAATCGCGTGACGTCATTTATGGACGACCCCTTATTGATAAAAGCCAAAGTGATTTCCTGCTCCAGTTTACAGTCCTGAGCCATTGGCGGAAATTCCACATTACCGTGGCGGGGGCGAGTCTATACATAGGACAATCACTGTTGAATTCCCCCACGACGTGGTATTGATTTTATCAACCCCGGAGAGATGATGGGCCAAGTCAACCACCAACCACGGATTGAACTCTCGACCTTGTGATTGAGAGGCACTCGCTCTGCGGCCGAGCCAGCTGGTCGCGCCGCGGTTTGAACTTTGCGGTCGAAAGGTGGCGAACGCTTTCCTAGTCCAGCTGTGGAATCAACAAAGGGCTGTGCGTGCATTTACTCGGAGGTGCAACAATCTGCACTCATCACGGTTCAACGGATTCTCGTGTTTCAGGCTCGCGACTACATTCAGTAGATAAATCGTTTCAATCCTCACGTGTTAAACTAACTCGTTTTATTCTTGATTTGAAGCTTTCGTGACTGCAGGAATCCATACTCTTCGGTTCTTTCGGTAAAGTCACGTAGGTAGAAAAATAATAGATCACGACGTTTCGATCGCAACACAAGCAATCGTCATCAGGTGGGACAACCACAGCAAGAAGAAACGGCTGAAGTAGGCGGGAGATCTGCTGTGGCACGAGGTTACATAGACCTCGGCCGTAGGGGGGGAGAAAGAAAGGGGGTGTAGCGGGGTAGAAAGTGGACCCCGTAGCAGCACCCGGGTCACTGGAGTAGAGATCGGAGAGAGATGCACAGAGAAAGAGAGAGAAATACACACAGAGAATCGGAAATAACAGCTGACATGGGCAGGTAGGATGAAGACATCACAGTCAGTTAAGACTTTACCTGGTTAATAACGTCCTTCCAATTATTGCTCAGTTTGTACCCATCTTCTCGGTTGAAGTTGTGTCTGTGTTTATATATCTGGATGGCTTCATGAACTAGTTTTAACATTGTGGTGAACATAAGGTCATCCAGCTGCTGTAGGGGTCACGGGGAACCCGTTACCTGCAACGTGTATGAAACAGACAGCGCTTGGAACGAGCCTCTCCCATCCATCCATAACACAGACGTTACAGGTACCTCTGCTGTTACCGTGAAGGCAGCAGAGGGAAATGCAGCAAAATTCATGGTTGTACTGCACGTCTATGCCCCAGGGTGTATTCCGCCAGTTTTCACAAACCCATACCGACCTAAGTGGTGAAGTATGGTCAAATAACCCCCACAAGCCCGCGTGGTATGTGGAGTAGGCCCTCATCCTGCAGTGGACTCGCCAAAAATGGTTGCAAATGTAAATACAAACAGAACAACGTTACTGCTGGCAAACTCGATTCGAGTTGGATTAATAATCTATTATTCAAACTCGATTCGAGTTTGATTAATAGATTATTAATAGCATTGATTGGTCTGCGTGTGTATGTGGCAGTGCATAGAGAGTGGTGGTAGTGTCGCAGGTAGCGTGCTGCACTACGAACCCGGCGACCCGAGTTTGATTTACGCTCGACCAACATCGGTGACGATTATCTGAACCGGTCCTGGGCCTCCCCCAGGTCGACTCAGCCTCAAATTAGTACCTGGTGTGGTGTGCAAACATCGCCACTGGGGAGACAAAGGCGGCCGAGCGCGGTGTTGGCCACCCACCCCCTCGTGTGCCGTCCGGGGGGATCTTTGTTTTTGTGGCAGTGCACGCACGCACTTTATCTTGTTCTGATTCACTTTCAAACACAGGACATCCTTCAAGATGAGGTCACCTACCCGGAGGACACGCTCATGGACTGGGACTTCAAGGTATCCATCATGCACGACATCGCCAAGGTGAGCGGTTCGCGAGCCCCGGGGCCTCTACTCCGATGACGATAATGTTAAAAGATTAGCGTGACTGGCGACGCACGGTGTCAAGAAGTTCGACATACGTACTTTCAAATTTAAATGTTGCGTGTTTACTCTCCACCACACCGGTGTGCTAAAGTAGTAACTAACTGGTATGTTGTGTACGTGACGAACCTTACTAGTTGCTCGTGTTGGGTGTTGGCATGTTTAACGACACATTTATATTTACACGTTCTAACCCATTTTTTGGCCTTATTATGGATACATAAATCTTGACTTAATGCTTTCGTGACTGCAGGAATTCATATCATTTGGGCCTTTTGGTAAAGTCACATAGATAGGTTCAAAGAAAATAACCAAAAACCACGACGTTTCGATTGCAACACAAGTGGTCGTCATCAGGAAAAGGGGGGTTAGCTTCTAAAGACAAACTGTTGATAAAGGTTTGAAATGGGCGTAGCCCAAATGTCAACAGCCAATGTTAATGTAAGTGGTGGGCAGCGACTGTGGCAGTGGTGGGTTTTCTACCAATCAAAGGGCTGCCAGGTAAAATTAGCATGTCAATGCAAGATCGCCAAGACTCCTACACGGCGAGTGCGCCATGGTGGCTATGTCAATGTGAGAGATCAGCATGTCAATGTGAGAGATGAGCATGTTAATGGGAGATCATGAGGCAGCAACTTCGAGGATGGCGCGCGAGGTAGCTGTGTTAGTGAGAAATGTAATCTGTTGATGTAAAAAATCAAAGAGCCGAAAATAACAACTAACATCATAAGATGGTATGATCGGAACATCACAGCCAGTTATGACTTAAACTGGTTAATAACGTCCTTCCAATGATTGCTCAGTTGGTACCCATCTTCTCGGTTAAAATTGTGTCTGTGTCTATATATATATATGGATGGTTTCATGAACGAATGTTTGTTGATAGCCAGTGGGTTTGCAAAGTACCTTCGTCTTGGAGAAATCAATTTCGTGTGAGCCCACCGCATTATAGACAATGATCAGCCACGGCCGAGGTATTGGTACTACCGTGTTTCAGATCTGCCTTATGTTCACGAACACGGTCCGAGACATGTCGCTTAGTTTCCGCAATGTAACTGCTGCCGCAGACACAGCTTAGTTTGTATGTCAGGGATCACATCCTTCACAGATGGGATCAGATCACGAATATTATGCACTGTGTTAAATTGAACCTGAATTGTGTTTGTTCATGATTTTGGAATTATTTTTGGTGACCCCTGCTATGTATGCCAAGGTGATGGTTTTCATTGGGTCCTCAGATGCTTCTTTCCCACCGGTTGGGGTGATAGCTTTACGGATTGTGTGGTCCGACCCCTAATGAGGAGGGAGATATGACAAAGTGTGCAGAGCAACACGGGGAGTTGGTTGGTTGGTGCTCAAGGGATGATGAACAGAAGAATCGGGGAGAAGACGCCTGGGACCTCGCCCTCCTCACCTCGTCCTCCCCAGCAGTGTTGGCTGGTCCCCTGCTGGGGGCAGGGACGAGCGTGGAGGTGTGAGGGAAGCAGCACAGGATAGCGGAGTATAGAGAGAGTTAGTGGAGTATAAAGTGAGAGAGTTAGCGGAGTATAGCAGGGAGTTCGGAACAAGGGTGGGTGTGTGTGTTCGTGTAAGTGAGGAGCATCCACAAAGATCCCCCCATGAAGCCTTAACAGACTGTTGGGGCAAGTGCTGTTAGTGAGCACCTATGAAGGTCGGAACAGCACACGAGGGGGTGGGTGGCCAACACCACGCACGGCCACCTATGTCTCCCTAGTCACAATGTTTACACATCGCACCAGGCAATCATTTGAGGCTGAGTCTACCTAGGGGAGGTACAGAACCAATTTAGATAATCGTTACTGGTGTTGGCCTAGAGTGGGAATCGAACTTGGGTAACCGGGGATTCGTAGTGCAGTGCACTAACCACTACACTACCACTCCGGTTTCCTTCCACATGTAAACACTCATTAATTGGCGAATAACACCTTAAGATGTACAGGACCGCAGAGCTTGAGCAGTTGTTGACACTAGCTCACCGCGCGGCTGCCTTCCTACCTGTCTGCGGTACCTTGCGCGTCTGGGTCGTTCTCTATCTTTCGAGGGCGAGCAAAATCCTATGCGGCATGTTACAAATGGAAATGATTTCCATCATGATTAAGAAGACGATTATGAATACATATCGACGTCCTTCGTAAGGCAAGTGTGTTCTCTCTGCGCGCAGGGCATGGTGTATCTGCAGAACAAAATTGGTGCGCACGGCAGACTCAAGTCCATCAACTGCGTTGTGGACAGCAGGATGGTGGTGAAGGTCACGGACTTTGGGCTCATCAGCGAGAGGGAAGACAGGGATTGTGAGTACACGATGTGTTCGTACATACGTACGTTGCACTTCTTTCACACTCTAATAGAAGTTTTTTAGGTTAGATTGCGTAAATATAAATGTGTCATTAAACCCGCCACCACCCGACACAGCCAATTAAGTAAGGGTTCATACTCTTTGGTTCTTTCGGTAAAGTCACGTAGATGGAAAATAAAAATAAATAAAATAAAAATAATAGATCACGACGTTTCAATCGCAACAAGTGACCGGCATTAGGTGAGAGAATCAGACTGCTGTGGATGAGGAATTATATAGATCGAGAGGAGGGGAGGGGGGGTGCCGCATCGGGCAAGAGGATGGGGCCAGCGATTGTGAGAGATGACATGTAGGGCATGTGAGAATGAGAGTGCAATCCGACGGACATGTGAGAATGAGAGTGCAATAACTAGACGAGTGTGTAATAGAATGAGGGCTTGTGGGAAAGAGAGTGCAATCCAACGAGGGCTTAGTTAAGAGAGAGAAGAAAGCTGAGACATCAAACTTAGCAAAACTTAATCAAATGCAATGCAACTCAGAGAGTCGGCCGACACAACAGTTAAAACTTTACCTGGTTGATCAAGTCCTTCCAATGATTGCTCAATTTATATCCATCTTCTGGGTTGAACTTATGTCTATGTTTGTATATCTGGATGGCTTCATGAACAAATCTTTGATGGTAGCCAGAAGGTTTACAGAGCACCTTGGTCTCAGAAAAAACAATGTTTTGGTCTCGGAAAAAACAATGTTGCACCGACAGCGTCGACCGGGACAGCCACGAGGGCGGTGACGACGACAGCGACGACGAGACGGGTCCAATCTCAGAACCGGCAGCCCGGAGCTCTCGCTCTCCGCTGCTTATATTCCCCTCGGTACGCTTTGGCTCTGCCCTGGCTCCGCCCTAGCCGCGTTTCCCCACGAGGTCTACCGTGACCCTTGCCCCAGTTCCTCCGCCCTGCCGGCAGACTCGCATATATGCTCAACGGCATGTGCGCTAAGTGCCCACCGTGGCTTGGCTCAGGCTCAGCTCATGGAAATCTTAAGCGTGGATTGAACCACGCTCAGAGACAGACATGGCATGGAGCCAGAGCGAAACGTGACGAGGAACGGAGGCCGTAATGTGCGGCTGACATGTGGTACGCGTAATTCCTCGTGCAGGTTCCTTGAAAAGCACACCTCGTCCTGAGAATGCAGTCAAGGAGAAGATAATTTCATACGCCCAGATGTTAAAGGTACAAGCATAAATATGTGTATATATATACACACACACAGAACACATCACCACACAATCAACTTCATAGATGCCAGAAATTGTCTTGTGCAGTCGAAAATGAATTCACTAGCTTAACGTGCCATTCGGGTCTGCTTGTCGGGATTTTACCACGTGTTGTTCGGCATGACGTCCAACGATTCGCTGCACGTGTTGGGACCTTCTTCAGGAAACCTACGCAGTGGTATGGACATAGGCGGAGACATTCCGCGGAGGAGAATTTCGCATGAAGCAAGCATCTGAAGGAGGGGCGAGTGACGCTTTGCTTTTGTGATTAAACTTGCCAGGGGTTTGCGACTGTTTATCAGCATTGGACGTGCCAGTTTTAATATTTCTCGGGTAAGATTAGAAGCACTCCATCTGATACATTTAAAGAATTACCTTCCCAGAACCTGCCTCAAAGTGCCTTAAATGTTGGTGGATATCTCAGCTGACAGGTGCTCTTGGTTAATTTCAAGCCGTTGACAGTTTGTTCACAATTTCCAAACGCTATTGTGTCATTTTCTGACCAGTGAACGCATTTATAATCGTCTCAATTGCCGGACTAACGCTTGATGTTAAAACGCGTTGGTGCCCTCCCTCAGGCGCGGACTCGGGGTCAAAACAAACTTTTCAACAGATTCATAGCGCGGCGCTCAAACCCATGCGACGAGATAAGGCCAACGAGACCGAGCTCAAGTAAGCCCATGTCATCAACGTGCAGCATTAACATTCATCATCGCCCCCCCCCCCGTCCTTCCCCCACCCCTTTTTCCCTTTAGTTTTGTTCCTCTTCCCTTACCTTCCCTTCCCATAAAGCTCTACGTTCCTGCTCGCAGTCTCTGCGCGAGAGTGGCACTCAAAGTCCCCGTGAGTGGGGCGCTCGTAGTCCCTGTGCGAGAGTGGTAGGGAGAGTTTGGACCTCGGTTCGCGGAATTTATGTACCCCCCCTCCCCTCCCTCGTAACGGTTTGTGCCTTGTACCGGGCTCTTGTAAAAAAAAATACACAAAAAACCATTCATCATCGTTTAGCTGTACTCGTCAATATCTGGATTCGAATTAACGACGTCAATTTCGCCCAGATGACGACATTAGTCATAGCGTTTAGGGTGACGTGGAAAGACATCGCGAGAAGGAGGCTGCCGTCTCCCACCTAACGGAGGAAGGGGAACGGCAAAGCTACACGGACTCTCTCCTGAAGCCCTCTCATCGTGGCTAGCAGCAGACCCGTCGACGTTGGCATTTAGTTTCTGGGATAATGTTGCCACGTGTAAGAATAGAAGCATCATTATCATTCACGGTCAATCCGCTGCTAGATGAAGGCCTTCCAAAGTCACCGCTGCCACCTGTCACGATCCTGCAATGTATTAGTTCCCCTAGCACCTGCTAATAAACCGGTTTAAACACTCTGCATTCATTTTATTGATTGGTGCCTTAATTTTCAGAATCCCGGTAATGTAGTAATTGTCGTTCTCCCTGTCGACAACACCGTGTGTGCCCAATAGCAATTGGCAATTTGACTCGCCGAGGAAGCAGTTACGATGGCAAAATGCGTCCACATCTCCGCATGGCATACAAGTGCATGTGCGAGGCCTTTATCAATCCAGTGCTCGATGAGGGCCTCCCCACACCGTGCAGGGTCGTGGGGGTTATTCGATCACATTTTACCGTGCCGGTGAAGGTGGCAAGCGTAAGGGGCGCGAGATGTTAACTATCTTGCCTGGTATACAGGAAGTCGTGAGTTCAATCCTGACGCCTGTACATTTTGGAAGTTTGCACGTCTCTCTCCCCGTGGTCACGTGGATTTTTTTTATCTGGGACGTCTGGTTTTTTCCTCCACATTTAGAATCAACATCACGCGTTTAGAGTCGTTGGCTGCTATAAATGTCGACGCGATAAGGACTTCGTTGAGCTATCATTTGTGTCCAAGTTGCATCTGAAAAAGAGCTGTCTAGCTCAGTGGGCCTTGCCGGGTAAAATAAAAAGAAATGTGTTAGTTTCGCTACGATTTGGGGCCCGCTTGACAACCACCATGAGAGACAATTCAATTGGCACACTGATGTCCACCTGCAGGCCAAGGGCCGAGTCACTTCATGTCACCACTGGGACCGCCGCCATTGGGGCTTTCTCGTTAAATGGTTGAGATGAGGCGCAACGCGGTTTGCAATGCCCGAGGCGTTTAAGCAACATGCAATAGCAATGAGTAATATTCTAACCGACGGACGTGACTTGCGATCAGAACTCTGGATGGCTCCAGAGCACCTGCGAGAGGGGAGCGTCTCACCCAAGGGTGACGTCTACAGCTTTGGGATCATCCTCCAAGAGCTCCTCTACCGCAGAGGCGTCTTCTACATCCGAGTCGGGAGCTACGGCGAAAGCGGTGAGCCGCTGGGACAACGGGATCGTGGCAGGACTCCCCGTCCTCCCTTTCTCCACTGGCACATGTGAGACGTGTCGGGGCCCCATGCTGAGCTGGCGCAGCAACTGCTCAATGCGGCACCGGGATTATTATTTCCCACTGAAGAAGTCGTTAGCACGTGACATCAGCGTCACACGTAGACTGACTGACGCTATGTATGACGAAATATTTTTTTTTATCAAACCCCTTGCCCTGCTTGGCCAGCGTGTCACGTTTTTGGTCACGGCTCGGCACGGCAAATAGCCGGTGGAAAACGTCCCGGGAGGCCTCTGTTCTGGCACGGCTCGGATGTGCCAGTGGAAAGGCGTGCTGCTGAGGGGACAAGGCCTGTCGGGATCAAAACAATGGCCATGCCTGTGACATGGTCTGAGGCCTCCAGTTCGATAATTACTCCGGCTGAGGTGATTTTTGTCAATTAATGTCCCACATTTATTTTAGTCTTTGGGTAGGGTGCAACAGTGGCAGCGTGATCAGTACGCTGCACTGTTAACCTGGTGATCTGAGTTTCATTCCTGGCAAGTGATATCCTAACTTATTCTGGGCCTCCAACTTTCACCTACCCCACACTAACAAGTATGGTGAATCCATAAGAGTTTGTGTTTGAGTTAGATAGCGTAAATATAAATGTGTTGCTAAAACTGCCACCACCCGGCACACCGATGTGTTGGAGAGTAAGCCACAACACACCAGTGTGCTGTACGAGTAACGAATGAACATGTTTTGTTTACGCGACAAACCTTACTAATTGGCTGTGTAGGGTGGTGGCGGGTTTAACGACACATTTATATATTTACGCGATCTGACCCAAAACGCCTTTATTAGCGTATTAATTGTACTCCAAACACACTTGAGTTCATTCTTTATACTGCCATGCGGAAAAATAAATGCCTTCATTGGGGCTTTCATTCGACTGCCACTCAAATATCTGTGAGCCATGTGGCCGATGGAATAAGCACTGCACGTGGTATATTTTGTATTAGTTGTTTGTGGCTTTACACGAACAGCCGTCGAGTCAGTCCACCGCTGAATGAGGCCCCCACCGTGCTGGTTGTGGGGGTTTTGAATCATACTTCGTGCGGGTTCGGTGAAGATCAGGAGCATCGAAAGTGCATTACAACAATGTACATTGCAATAATGTACAAACTCTTTGGTTCTTTCGGTGAAGTCACGTAGGTAGGAAAATAATAAATCAACGACGTTTCGATCGCAACACAAGTAATCGTCATCAGGTGAGACAACCACAGCAAGAAAAAAACTGCTGAAGTAGGAGAAAGAGCTACTTTAACAAGAGTTTATATAGGATTTTTCAGCGACTTCACGGCAAATATCTCCCCAACTTCAACAGTTTTTTTCTTGCCGTGGTTGTCCCACCTGATGACGATTTCTTGTGTTGCGATTAAAACGTCGTGATCTATTATTTTTCTGCCTACGTGACTTTACCGAAAGAACCAAAGAGTATGAATTCCTGCAGTCACGAAGGCTTCAAATCAACAATGTACAAGTACATTAGAACAAAGTACATTACAACAATGTACAAGTACATTCGAACACAGTACATTAGAATGAGGCATTCCGCTGCCCACCACATAACCTGGCAGCCTGGCGTGCGTGGTGGTCACCAATCTGAGCATTATTTTTACTTTTTTATTTCACCAGGTAACGCCCACCGAGCTGTGGAACTCTTTTTTCAGAAGCGCCCTGGCCACAAATTATTATAGCTCACATAATATAGGTTTTTTGGGTTAGATCGCGCAAAATATATAAATGTGTCGTCAAAACCCACCACCACCCGACACAGCCAACTAGTAAGGGTTGTCACGTAAACAGGACGTGGCCAATTCGTCACTAATACAGCACACCGGTGTGTTGGAGAGCCAAGCCACTACATTTAAAATCCGAGTACGACGTTTCGCCAGTAATTACAACCATCTTCATCAGGTGAAAGCCAGATTTGTGGAGAAGTCCACCTGTTTCGTTCCTTCTATAGAGGCGTAGCCTACGTGTTAAACTCAAAGCAGTGGCTCGTCAATTGGAAATGTACAGCAGCCACACTCTAAACGCACGTTTCTAAATGTGGAGGGAAAACCCGGAGGACCCGGAGACGAGCCCAAGTGACCACGGGGAGAGAGACACGCAAACTCCAAATATACAGCAGGCATCAGGGTCGGGATCGAACCCACGACCTCCTGCGTACCGGGCGAGGGAGTTAACATCTCGCCACCGAAGTACGCCACGCGGCTCCACCCCTGCTGAGCTTCCGAGATCTGATGAGATTTGGTGCATTCGGGGGTCACTTGGTCATAGGTAATGGATTGTTTTGTTTAGTGGGTGCAGTTGTGAGCAATAGCCATATCAGACTCAGTCCTATAAGGCGTTTGAAGGCCTGAAGACCAGAATCAGTGATTTCGCCGACGTGTTCAGGAAGGGCAGTTGCATATCCGGACAGCAGAGTGAAGAACAGAGCTTCTGTCCAGGGAGCATGTTGTGCACCTGTTTCACTTTCTCTGCAGACATAATAGAACGCCTGACGTGCACGGAGGACACTGAACATTTCCGGCCAACACTCGAAGAGAGCGTCATCGTGGACAAGACCGGAGGCAACGAGGTGAAGACATCAGCTTGTTTCACTGCTTTTCTCGCTCGGCTAGAGATGTACAACATCTTCACCTTGCACCGTCGGTTTAGAGGGGGGCAATGGCGGAGTGGTTAGCATGCTGCGCTATGAGCCGTACTACCTGAGTTGGTTTCCTGCTGTGGTGAGATGTTAACTCCCTCGCCTGGTATGCAGGAGGTCGTGGGTTCGATACCGACCCTGGAGTTTGCGTGTTCTCCCCTGTGGTCGCGTGGATTTTTTTCTCCGGATCCTCCGGTTTTTCTCTCCACATTTAGAATCAACACGTGTTTAGAGTATTTGGCTGCGAAACATTTCCATGTGATAAGCCACTTCGTTCAGCTATCATTTGTGGCCAGTTTGCTTCTGAAAAAGAGCTGTATATAGCTCAGTCGGCCTTACCTCGTAAAAAAAAAATGTTCCAGGCCCTTGCTCAATGGTGAGCGATGTCTGATTCGGTCATTAATCATGCACATGCACAGATTCTGCAACACTTCCCAACACGTGTTTGTCCACGGACTTGTTTCCTTCTAATTAATAACGTTAGCGCTCGCGCCAGGCAAGCATGAGGCTATGTGGCGCATTAGCCATGATGAGATGATCGGCTTGGATCGCGGCTCTACCGACGTGCTGTACTCGTAACGAATTGGCACGTTCTGTTTACATGACAAACCTTACTAGTTGGATGTGTCGGGTGGTGGCGGGTTTAACGACATTTATATTTTTACGCGATCTAACTCAAAAAACCCTCTATTATGGATGTCACGTCGTAGTCCGGTGACTACTACCCAGGCTCTATTGCAACAGTTTCCCCTCTCTCTTTCCAGAGCGTCCCACTCATTGGCATTTGTGTAGATGTGAAGCTCTGTTGAGAAGGTTTAGAAACCTAAAGACATTATGTTAACCGTGAGTTAATTCCTATTCGAAGATAATATTTTTTCTAAAGTTATATTGACGTTACAGTTAATGCGTCTGCATTTGGCTGCAGATGTTCCAAATGATCTCCGACTGTTGGGATGAAAATCCAGAAAGACGGCCCGACTTCAAACGTCTGGAGGGCAGCCTCAAGAGGATTTCTAAGTAAGAGGAACACATATCATGCAGAACATAACTTATTTCGTTCGCAATTTCATTGAAACTAAATCTGATCCATTTAAATGGATTGTGTACGTGTGTATGTTGAACTTCTTTAGCACCGTACGTAGCCAAGGGGCCGTCCATAAATGACGTGACGCACCTGGGGGGGGGGGGGGGGGTCAGACATTTGTGACGATGTGTGACGAGAGGGGTGGGGTTTGAGAAATGTGACGTCACATCAAAATGCACAACTTTAAATAAATATAGAATTGTTATAACAACACTAATTGTCATAACAACATTCCTACAACATCAGAGTGCAGCGCCACATTAAATACGCACTACAATGACAATAGTTTAAAGCGATTTAAAGCATGTTTAATTTTCAAAATGGAAATATGGTTGTGACGTCATATTTGAGGGGGGGTCCGACTTTTTGTGACGCCGTGTGACGAGGGGGGGGAGTCAAAAATCGTCCAAAATCGCGTGACGTCATTTATAGACGGCCCCCAACCGTGCTAATTGGAGGTACGTGTGTACAGCATATGTATTAGCAAAACATGCCAACCCTAATACTATAAGTCTATCATTTGTGTAACAGTCATCACTGCAAGTATCCACTCTCATGTACTACACATTACTATTATGATGACGGAGAACCCCTCCGCTGGAACACATGGCATCTCTGCATGCGTGCTCTCCGTTATGTCTCCAGCAAAATCCACCAGGGCCACAGAGGCACGTACGTGGACAGCCTGATTTGGCGGCTGGAGCAGTACTTGCAAGAACCTGGAGCGGCTGGTGGAGGAGCGCACGCATCTCTACAAGCGCGAGCGGGACAGGGCCGACGAGCTCAACTACCAGCTGCTACCCAAGTGCGGCTCTGCCCACAGTGCCCTTCACCCATCGCTCTTCACCCACGACCATCACCGCAGCAATCACGACCGCCATCACCGCTCTCAACAGCACAACTGCCACGATCATAATTAACCGGATTATCGTCACCTTGGTAATCATCGTAATGGCCTCCATCATCATCGTTGGCACCATCGTTGTCACCGATATCCAGAAATATCACTATTATCATCGCTATCACCACCGCCATCAAAGACAAAGATTCCCAGTATAGCCTAAACAGACCATTGGGGCAAGTGCTGTTAGCGGGCACCTCTGAAGGATGGCACCGGCACACGAGGGGGGTGGGCGGCCAGCACCACGCCTGGCCGCCTTTGTCTCCCGAGTGGCGATGTGTACACACCGCACCAGGTACTCATTTGGAGGACTGAGTCGACCTAGGGGAGGTCCAGGTCCAATTCCGATAATTGTCACCGGTGTTGGCCGTGAGCGGGAATCGAACTGCCGCTCGCCCCACCGTCATCACAACCTCTATTGACACCACCGCCAATACCATCGCTTACATCATCATCGTAATTACTACGACCATCACCACTCCATCCAACACTACGACTATCACAATCATAAATCACTTCCACCATGGCCACTACCCCTACGCCACCATCACAACCACCATTACCACCTTAAAGAGTAATACTTTTAAGCAAGATAAAAACACCCCCCCACAAATACAAAAGTAAAAGCACATTTGTGCACAACAGAAGATGCTGCTGCACTGCACTCTGCTGCCTCTAGGCCTATTGACAGCCGAATTATTATAATTTAGCTTTGAGTAAGGATGTCACCTCCTCAAAGTGCCATCTCCAGGCTCAACTCGGTTGAAGTTCCGAGTTCCCATGAGATTGAGGTACTTCCCAGGCGATTTGATCGGAGGCATCGGCGGAGCCAATGGGTGGGGGGGGGGTGGCACGTGCCCCCCCAATGATCCGATCGAAATCTCTCATATCGATCGGATCATTGGGGTTTATTAGTAATAAATCGGCATTTTGCAACCCCCTCTGCCACTGTGTAGCATATTATTACGTGCCAGAGACTCTGAGATGATAGGACAATAGTCTGAGTCCATCATTGGCAATAAGTAACGGCAAAGCAGTTTTAAGTGACTCGCAGAATTGTGCGCAGTTGTGTATACAGTCCACGACTTCCCTGAAGGCATCAACACCTTCAGCGAGCGCGATGCCGATCACACAACGCGGTTCGAATTCGACCCTCGATCGATGGCTGCGCCATCGCCGCACACGCGTCGAATAAAAAGCAAGGGACAAGTCCTTACTTACTAACAACTCCTCGATCATTTTTTATTGCTGGAGGGGTTGCTCTGCCCCTACCTGAAAAGCCTGGTTCTGCCATTGATCGGAGGCAACAACAGTATAAAGCACCGTAAAAAGATACTGCTGCTGAATACGGGGTAGATTGTGGAATGCAGAGTAGATTTCGATGAGAAGGGTGGGGGGTACACACCAAATGGCGTGTAACACAACTGGCGCGATACACCATTCAACAAGGGTGACCGACCGGAGGCATCCGGGCTCGCTGCTCTACCACGGCAGGGGTGACGGTTGCGAGCATTCCATTTGGATGGGCGGCAGAAGAGCATGGAAGGAGGGTCACAGTTTACCAGATTGTTAACGGTCAAAAGGAAGGTGAATGGCACCCATCAATTCCCGGCGGGTATGCGCATAACTACGGGAGCCTCGTTTTTTTTGCACCAACAAAACCCAAAGCGCCGTCGAGTGGGTTTGGAGGCGTAACCGGGGCTCGAACCCTCGGCGGGGGCGCGCAGGTCGGCAGTGATGGCGCTGAAGGCCCGGGGCTTCGTGGAGCCCGAGCTCTTCGATGCGGTCACCATCTACTTCAGCGACATCGTGGGCTTCACCACCATCTGCAAGCACAGCGAGCCCATGGAGGTGGTGTGCCTCCTGAACGACCTCTACAAGGCCTTCGACGCCATCGTCGACTCGTACGACGTCTACAAGGTGTGACAGTGATGGGGGCTCGATTGTATCGAAACTCTTTCGCACCGTACGTAGCCAGCCGTGATAATCGGAGGTGTGGGGTGGGGGGGACAACAAGCTGAATAAAAAAAATAAGTTGTAAAGAAATGAGTTTTCTACCTAGAACACGTGACGTACAGAGAGCTAATTGTAATTAAGATTGAGACCTTGTGTCTGTGTGTGTGTGTTTACAGGTGCGCCACACGTGACGTGCAGAGAGCTCATTCTAATTAAGATTGCAAACTTGTGTGTGGGTGATGTACTGCACCCAGATTTAGAATCGCTCTCTAGAATCGCTTTGTCAATCTCGATGATGATGATTTAAAAGTGCACAGCTCCCAGTGGCTTCCTAATATCAGAAGCAAGTGAATTCCAGACGGCCGTAAGAGCGTATCCGATCCAGCACGATGCAGTGACCGTCTTTGTTCGATGGCTAGCCCAAAAGCTGAAGCTGCTGCTGCTACTGCTGCTGCTGCTGCAAGGATGACCGGAGTTCACGCGATGGTTTTATGCTCCTCAACAAGATCAGCGAGCTACTGCGGTTCATTTGTGGCAAGCACTTTGTGTGTCATCATGAGGCTCGATGATTATTGGAGCGGTGTCATCCTCTACAAGCTTCGCAGTGGGGGTGTCGGTGGGGGATGGGGCAACAATTGCTATGTGGCCACCCCAATTAATACATTTGCGAGCAATTTAACAATTTTTGGACCGTGGCGTCGGCACACCATGCCCAGATCGGGTGACGCTCACTGGGAAGCAGGCAGGCAGGCGCGCGTTGTATTTATTATGCTCTAAAGACGGAGTCCTGCGGCGTTAACCAGGGCGGCCGCCGGGCTCGAACCGCGAGCCCCTGCCACGAGCGGTGATCGCGCTTCCATCTTCCCCGCCCCCTTTCCCACTTTGACCCCACGGCTCCAGGTGGAGACGATCGGAGACGCGTACATGGTGGTGTCGGGGCTGCCCAGGCGGAACGGCGCGCGTCACGCGGCGCAGATCGCCGACATGGCCCTGGACATCCTGGACTTCGTGGGCACCTTCCAAGTGGACCACTTCCCCGGCCTGCCTCTCTGGGTCCGCATCGGAATTCACTCCGGTACCACTCCAGTGCCCTCGTGCCTCCTCCCCCCCCCCCCCCCCAACATGAGCAACGGTTGGCTACGTACGGTGCGAAAGAAGTTCAACATACAAAAAGTTACTTGTTAACCCACTGCTGGATTAAGGCCTACCCATACCCTGTTCGTCAGTCCACGTTGGAGGGGAGGGGGCCTCCGATTGCTCCAGATATGACAAGCTAATGGTTTCAGCGTGCCTGCAGCCAGCCTCTCTTTTCCTTCTTATATCTGTCTTAAAATCACGTGCCTGCACTCTGTCAGTCTCCTATTGGACGAGGGCCTCCCCATGCCGTGCGGGCTATTCGTTCATGAGTAACAATTTGTAATGCACACAAATTTAACTTTAAAAAGGACATTCAAGTCTTGAGATTCCAACAGAGGTGACGACACAGATGTCGATGTGCCGTGCAGTGAGAGAGGAGGGAGGGAGGGAATTCCAGATGACCGTATCTGTGACAGGGTCTCTATGTGGGTCTATGGGTCTATGTGTGAGTCTATAGGTCTATATGTTAGTCTATGGGTCTATGTGTGAGTCTGTGGGTCTATATGTGAGTCTATGGGTCTCTCTCCGAGTCTATAGGTCTCTGTGTGGTGAGTCTGTGGGTCTGTGTGTGGTGAGTGTGTGGGTCTCTGTGTGGTGAGTCTGTGGGTCTGTGTGTGGTGACTCTGTGGGTCTGTGTGGTGAGCAGGGGCGGTTTCTTCATTAGGGCGATTGGGCGACGCACCACCAATGTCATTCAACCACAGTCACGCTAGCCGTCACTGTGCAGCCTCTGGATATAGTCCAATCAGCGTCATGTCACGTTCTGTGGAGTACCGCCTCTTTTGGGGCGATTTCACTCCGGCTGAGAATCGCCCCGAGTGGCCCCATAGACTTACATTCAAAGATGTTTTTTTTCGAACGGGGGCGCTCCAATGCATTCTCTATGGCTTCCGGAAGGGCAAGCCCTAACGTGCTTACGTCATCATACGTGCTAACGTCATCATACGTGCTTACGTCATCATACGTAAGCACGTTTCATCCAACAATATAATTTATCGCTACCTAGTGGAATCTTTAATAAAATAAACTTGAGTGGTTTGTTTTAATAGTGAGTATATAAACAAACAAGATGTATTGTGAGAGTCACTTTATTTTGCATTAATATTAAAGAAATGAAGTTGCCTTTACATGCTTAAGCTGTTAATTTATTCATTGCATGGGTGGACCTTATCCTTATCAATCATCCATACATTTGCCCCCCCTGAGAGATTTAGCAGGAGCCGCCACTGGTGGTGAGTCTGTGGGTCTGTGCGTGGTGACCCTGTGGGTCTCTGTGTGGTGAGTGTGTGGGTCTCTGTGTGGTGAGTCTGTGGGTCTGTGCGTGGTGACCCTGTGGGTCTCTGTGTGGTGAGTGTGTGGGTCTCTGTGTGGTGAGTCTGTGGGTCTCTGTGTGGTGAGTCTGTGGGACTGTGTGTGGTGACTTTGTGGGTCTCTGTGTGGTGAGTCTGTGGGTCTGTGCGTGGTGACTTTGTGGGTCTCTGTGTGGTGAGTCTGTGGGTCTGTGCGTGGTGACTTTGTGGGTCTCTGTGTGGTGAGTCTGTGGGTCTGTGCGTGGTGACCCTGTGGGTCTCTGTGTGGTGAGTCTGTGGGACTGTGTGTGGTGACTTTGTGGGTCTCTGTGTGGTGAGTCTGTGGGACTGTGTGTGGTGACTTTGTGGGTCTCTGTGTGGTGAGTCTGTGGGTCTGTGCGTGGTGACTTTGTGGGTCTGTATGTGGTGAGTGTGTGGGTCTCTTTGTGGTGAGTCTGTGGGTCTGTGTGTGGTGACTCTGTGGGTCTCTGTGTGGTGTGTCTGTGGGTCTGTGCGTGGTGACTCTGTGGGTCTCTGTGTGGTGAGTCTGTGGGTCTCTGTGTGGTGAGTCTGTGGGTCTCTGTGTGGTGAGTCTGTCGGTCTCATTGTGGCGAGTCTGTGGGTCTCTGTGTGGTGAGTCTGGGTCTGTGTGGTGAGTCTGTAGGTCTCTTTGTGGTGAGTCTATGGGTCTCTGTGTGGTGAGTCTGAGGGTATCTGTGTGGTATGTGGGTCTCTGTGTGGTGAGTCTATGGGTCTCTGTGTGGTGAGTCTATGGGTCTCTGTGTGGTGAGTCTATGGGTCTCTGTGTGATGACTCTGGGTCTGTGTGTGGTGAGTCTGTAGGTCTCTGTGTGGTGAGTCTATGGGTGATGGTGATGATGCCGAGATTGTAAGAACAGACCGTGGAGGTTGGGTGCTGACTGGGCAGAGGAGTTGACTGGGATCAGGCAGAAGGAAGTGCACGCCAGTGAGGGGCGGTGGCACCCTTTGGCATTGGCCGCGAACACCTATTTGGGACCTGTTCGTGTTATTGTCAAATGTTTATCTTTTTTTGTATTTATCCATCTATAACAAACACATCCAAGACTTCTTCATCGCCGATGTTGGTGTTTCTGCCATTTTCGTTAGCCCGTGAACCGCGGGCCCGTTGTCTTGCAACACCACCGCAGCCATCGGGTGCCCAGTGGTTATCACTGATGCCCTCCCCATCTCCATAGCCATCCGCCACCGACTCATTCGTCTTGTCACCTTCACCTCCGTTTTCTCTCGCGCATCATCATCATCGTCCTCGTATTTATGACATTCACCGCGCCATTCCATCTCGTCCATGCCACGGTATGTTTTTGTACCGTCGTGAATTTGCTGTACGGCGCTCTCGTTAAGGCACTTGTAATAAGTTTGGTAACGACGATCGTCGTGCGTGACCCCGCCGCCACAGGTGGCTGCGCCGCCGGTGTGGTGGGAAACAAGATGCCGCGCTACTGCTTGTTCGGAGACACGGTCAACACTGCATCGCGCATCGAATCAACCGGGCTTCGTAAGTAATCGCTGTGCATGTCCAACACTCGTAGGCGAGAAGGCTCAAGCCTCCCCTCAATCACGTGACTCACGTGTTAAAAAAGAAAAACTTAATTATTTATATTTTACCAGAGAAGGCCCACTGAGCTACCTAACTATTTTTCAGAAGCGACCTGGCTCTCACAAATGATGGCTCAATGAAGTGACTTAAAGCGTGGACATTTATAGTGGCCAAATACTCTAAACGCATGTCGATTCTAAATGCGGAGGGAAAATCCGGAGGACCTGGGGAGAGAGACATACAAACTCCAAATATATAGCAGGCGTCAGGGTCAGGATCAGGATCGAACCCACGACCTCCTGTATACCAAGCAAGGTAGTTAACATTTCGCCATCATGTAGCCACCTCTCCACTCTGAATCCCTCCCCTCTCCTCTGCCGCCCCCCTGTGAAAGCAGACACTTGCTCCTTCCTTCTTTCTCTCCTTCTCTTCCATCTCCTCTCATCACTCTCTTATCGCCGACATCTTCAGCTGGTCATTCCTTCTCCACCTCATCCCCTTCCTTCCCAGTGCTCCCTCTTTCTTCCTGCTGCTCATCTTCAGCGGTGCCCTCTCTGTCCGTCTTGGGAACTTGCATCCCGGCATCGCTGCATTTCTGTCTGCTGCCCTGTGCCCCCCCCCCCCCATCTGCAACTCCCCTTCCTGTATTGTGCCACAGGGTACAACGTTTTATAATGATAATAAGTAATGATTTACAGTCCCTTGTTACTAAAACCCTTTCCCGTTCCGAGACATCTGCAAGTTGCGGGGTGGGTCCCGTTCACCGCTGAATCTCGGAAATCGCAAGCGACTCAGCATTTATTTTACTTAGAGAGGTGTAGCGCTGTTGTTGTTAAAGACATTGTACTCACCATAGAGAACTGCAGCGACACGGCCGCTGCACTCTACGATAGCTGACGCCAAACTGTGCTGCACGCCCTCCTGCATGGCCTTGTGGGAGCTGAAAAAGTAATTGTATTCTTAGTTTTTCTTCCGGTTACATTCCGATGATGTAGATGTACGTCATCGGAACGGAATTGGAATAAAAACTTATGATGTACACGTACGTACACGTACGTCATTGGAACGGGAAATAGTTTACTGCTGGACGTGTGTCATGCCTGACCATAGTTCACCACGCTGCTCATTGTACCAATTTCAGCTTTATTTTGGAAACGCTGTTTTGGGTGCTCTGATATAATCTACAGTGCTAACAGAAAAAAAAAAAACTTTTTCAATGGGAATAGCATAGCGGTCAAAAGTTATGGCGCCAGTACCTCAATACCGATTTTGATCACTGGCAAAAGACTTGAACATCGCTGATTGAATCACTTCGCCGCATTGCGATGGTTTTGTGTTGAAAGCCTGGAGAATACACACGAGCACCTCCACGGTGAAGATACTCACAGAGATCGAGTCGGGCCATGTGTTCGAGGAAAGAGGACTCACAGAACTCAAGGCAAGCGGTGGCAGTGGGTTGCAATTATCGTGAAACGCACACATTCACATTCAATTGTCTCGGAAATGAATCTTGTGTTCACCGCAGGCGTAGTTTGACTTCCATATTTAGCAGGGGTTCACTTTATCCCTCGCATTAGGAATCGCTAGTGCATATTATAATTAATCAATGTTTAATACATTTTTTGTAAACAACTGAAAATAAATTAATGGTGTCCAGTTTGGGCAGGGCGTTGCCCTCTCCCCCCGTGCCCCCACCCCCTTCAAACTCCGCCCATGATATTTACATATATGAATGTAGATTGTAAATGTCCATAGACTGAAGCACACCATCACACTTATTATCAAGTAATTCGACTGCTATACAGTACTGCTGTTTAATAGTAATCCTATTATAGGATGGTCAATACTGACTCGAGTTATTGTTCCTTAATTTCCAGGGACGCGGTACTGAAGTAACCTACTGGCTAATTGGAAAAGAAGACCTGACCAAAACACTTCCAGTCCCTCCAGAAATGTGAGCAAAGCCATCACAACCAGGGGCCATCCCGTTACATGTGCATCCTCTCTGCTGTTGAGGTCAGAACGGTATTCCTTCGCCGAGGGGCCGGTGGCGTGGCCCTGCAGTAAGGGTGTGTGTGTCGCTTGCTGCAGAAGTGCGTGGTTCGAATTCCAGCGGCCGCTCCCGGTTAATACTGCGGTGCGCACTAACCATGAAGTGTGCGACGTCCAGTTCACAGTGCACGTCAAAGATCCCCGTGACGTAATTCGCAAGAGTGGGCCGCTGTGTGCCGGCGTCACACGTTGCACATTTTCAATATTACACTGCAAGTTAATCATTAAACTAAACTAAAATGAAACTTTTTTTTATTTTACTAGGTAAGGCCCACTGAGCTATATAGCTCTTTTTCGAAGTTTATTACTAACGTGGACATTTATAGCAGCCAAATACTCTAAACAAATGCTTATGAATGTGGAGGAAAAAACCAGAGGACCCGGAGAAAAATCCACGTGACCACAGGGAGAACATGCAGACCCCAAATATACAGACATCGTCAGGGTCAGGATCGAACGCACGAACTCCTGCATACCAGGCGAGGTAGTTAACATCTCGCCACGGCGGTGCCCTATTAGGATTATATGTAGCAATCATTGACCCCTCCTCCCTTCCCACTGAAAAAAAACTTGACAACCATGCGAGTTTTCTGGGGTAAACAAGCATAATACAATATAATACAAACAACAAACTATTCTGGACAACCGTGACGAATGTGAAATGGGCCATGTAGATTGTAAAATAATTAATGAAAATTTCTAATTGCCGGGTTATATCCATACCCTCCTGTTGAGAAAGTACAACCCTTGATTTTTCTTTGTTTGCTTGCCCACCCCCCCCCCCCCGTGAGGTTTCCAATTGAATGAGGTAATATGTTTATCTTGGCAAAATTACCTATCACAAAACAAGTGGGTAAAAAAAACATTTCAAAGTCTTACACCAGTTTTATTTTTATAAAAAAACATGAATTACCCTATATACGAGAGGGCTTCAAGCTTGACCTGCACCTTTATTTTATGAATTTTTAAAGTGAAGCGAATGAATTATTAGCCTATTTGTCAATGTAGTCTGCTCATGCACAATAGTGAGTCCCATGGGTGTTATGATGTCTTAATTGAAGAAGCATAGAATGCCCCAGAAAAATAATAAAACTCCACTACACCACATTGTTAATTTATTTTAGAACGTATTTTTTTATAATATATAGTTTGTTGTCCTTCCCCTACACCTCCGATTAACACGAGTTGGCTACGTACGGTGCGAAACGAGTCCATCATACATGCGTACGTTTCTCACCATCATTAAAAAAATAAATTCACACTGCTTTGCGGCAGCTGTGACGTCACTTCACAACGTCACGATGCGCCCCCCCTCTCCCCCACCGTTGCTGTGCTCTGCCACAGTGACATTGGCCATGGGATGAAGGGGGAGTTTGAGGAGATGATCAAGGACCTCAAACGGAAACGCCGAAGCAATCCACGCACGCCGAATCGACGCCTCCGGAGAGACGCCCCCGTCGCAGAGGAGCGTACCCTCGAGTACCTTCAGATACTCATCCCAGCTCCAGACCACGAAGATACCTGCCTGTGAAATCGTCCTTGGTCATCCACGCAGGTTCAACTGGGATGGGGAAAGCGAGATTTACCCCCACACCAAAGACATTCACATGTCAATCGATTCGTGGGGTTTGTGCTGCACGGCTCTCTCACACACCGATGTTTTTCAAGGGTCGCTTACGCAATGTTAAGAAACATCGGGGCCCCATGCCACATCACACGAGGTGCAGCAGCGTCGACAGATTTGATTTTTTGTGGGGCAGAATGGCAAGGGAGAGAGAGGATGCACCCCCGGGGGTTGAGGGGGGATGATGAACAGCGTGGGAGGTGGAGCGAGATGAGATCAGTTCATGTTGCAGCTGCGAGTTGGATGCTGAAAACCACAGCCTCGCATCCAGCAGCGGATGGGCAATGGCTAATATACAGGGCGCTTCAACAAAAATGTTAACACTCATACGGAGACTACTATCGTTAATGAAAAAGGAACGGATACTACACTGTAACATGACAAATGTATGTGAATAGCTTCAACAAGTGAAAGTGTCTCCACTTGTTCGCCACCTGGAGACCACCTGGAGAATCTTCTCCAGGTGGTCTCCAGAGCCCAGAGGCACATTTTTGTGTTATTCTTTCAAATTTTCAGAAGTGTTAAAAAAATTTTCAGCACCCTGTGTATCTTCATAAAGCATGCTACATTGAACTAAAACTATATTGCGGTAATAGGAATCTTGTAAAGCACGTTATTATATTCATTTTTTCACGAGAAATGTTAACGTGGTGCAAAGCGTGTAGAGCAGCAAGCAATGTTCGTCACGATTAAGACAGCACCGTTTTCTTTACAAGCTACAATGTGGAGATGTATTGTGTACTAATTTTAGCTTTCTTAAGAAATTAATGTCGGTTAATTCTGCTTCTATTTTACTAGCACAATTCACGAATTGTGTTTTCCGCCCATCATGTGACTGCACAAACAGTACTGTGGTGTACACGAGACAAGTCAGCTTTAAGATGTAACATTAAGTTATAAAACGAGAATGCAAAAGGTCTCCGTTGTGTCGAATTTCACGAAAAGAAAAGTGTAGAATGGGCACTTAACATGGCAAAGATGAAATAAAGTTCGAAGATCGAACCATCAGTAGAAAATACACGTTAAGGTCTCAGCCGGTTATTGGGGAGTTAAAGATCGTAGCTATGGTCAGCTGTTGGATTAACCGCTTGCAGACCTCTAAAGCACATTCACTATTTGCAGTCGCTAACTGTACAGGACAACTTAAGAGTTGTGAATATTAAAAACAATTGAAAAATAATCATTTGCGCCACGGTGGAAATTTTATCTCCCTCGCCTGGTAAGCAGGAGGTCATAAGTTCAACACCTAAGGGTGTATATTTTGAATTTTCATGGTCTCCCCGTGGACGCGTGGATTTTTCTCCGGGTCCTCTGGTTTCTCCCTCCACATTTTAGAAACATGTGTTCAGATGATTTGGTTGCTATACATTTCCACATAAGCAACTTTGAGCTACCATTTGTGGCCTAGATCGCTTTTGAAAAAAAGAAAAAGAGCAAATATCCCAGTGGGCATTACCTGGTATATCCAAGTTTGGTTTTAGTTTATGTAGTTGTAAGGAATGCCGTCCACCAGCATATGGGCTTGCCATGCCCCCACAATCACAATTCAGATGTTCTTCTCACCATGTGTAAGAGTACAGTAATAGTACTCATGGGAGCAGGCACAACTGCCAATGTTTGACACTTCTGAAGTTACATTTCCTCTTAAGTATCATGTGCTGCATCCAGTTACTTGAATTGCAGAATTCTTCTTTAATAAGCAGATTCTGCAGCATCAATTCAACTTTCACAATTTTATTGAAGACATTTTAGCCAGGCCGTACACTTCTATTCCATCATGTCTACACCATAAAATAACAAGTAAATTGCATACATTAATCACAAAGGGTAATTAGAAAACATTGGTTTGTTCAAACTAGATTAATTCTTTAAATTATCTCAATATAGCAGTGAAAAAGTGTCAGCGCACGTGTAAAGGTTCAGCATAATACAATGCATAGTCAATCAGGCAGCTCGACGTATGGGTTGTCATCAACAGGAGTTTGAAGCATTCAAAGAAAACATTAAACCGTCCTCCAAAAAAATTAGAGGATTTAAGTTTCATGTAACTGCAAATGGTCTGTGTTGATCTCCATTTAGAACATCACACTGCAGGTAGGTCCATCTCTTAGACCGGATGTACAATTAAGAAATGCCCAGAGTGCAACTGCCATCGCCATTCTCAAACCAAGTAACACATGGGAAGTCTACCGATAATAAGGGTGTTGCTTTATCGTCACAGGTGTAGATTATATACCAACGCCTACATCACGGGATAATTATAAACATGTAACTGCATGAATTGTATTAGATTACTTTGGATGCATGTGCAACACGCACTGACTGTGCAAAGTATGGGGGTTGAGAGAAATGAGTTGATTGCCCCAATTTTCTTGGGAAAATGGGGGATTAGAGGGCTGGGTGGAGCCCCAGCCACTGGGGATTCACACAAGACGAGGCCGTGTTATGAAGACAGGCAACTATGCTTGGCCACACTACAGTAACGCCACTACCGAATTCTTTCGTGCAGGCAGGCTACTCCTGAAACCACCGTCCAACCTCAAAACACGAGAATAAAACCTTGTTAATACATTCTCCTGCAACACCACCTAGCCAGTGAACTGGAACACGTACACCAGGCCCTTAAGATGAATGGATATTCGGACCGCATTATCCGCAAAGCTGTTTCTCCAACCATGGAGAAACAACCCCCTGAGATGCCGATCAAAACCATCACGTTACGATACATAGCAGGCGTTACCAAAAATATTTCCAAAATCTTAAACAAACACAAGATCCAGGTCCGATTCAGTACAGTACACAAAATCCGTGATCTAATCCCATCTGTGAAGGATGTCATTCCTGACATGCAATATCCTGGAGTCTACAAACGAAGTTGCACCTGTGGTGATTGTTGCATTGGGAAAAGGAAACGTCATGTCTCAGACCGTTTTTGTGAGCACAAGGCAGATCTGAAACACGGCAGAACTAATACCTTCGCCGTGGCTGACCATTGCTATAATGCTGTGGGCTCTCATTGTTTTTTCCGAGACCAAGGTGCTCTGCAAACCTTCGGGCTACTATCAAAGGTTTGTTCATGAAGCCATCCAGATATATAAACAGACATAACTTCAACCGGGAAGATGGATACAGATTGAGCAATCATTGGAAGGATGTTATTAACCAGGTAAAACCATAACTGCTTTTGGTCTGCCTTCATATCCAATATTCTAACCCTCCCACTCCCAACCCCGCCCACTTCACCTCCCCACCCCGGCATTTTTTGCCGTAGCTTGTGTCTTATTTGTAGCCTCCACTCCCCCTACCTTATACCCCCACCCTCCCTGTCTCTCCTCCCTGGCTCCTCCCCCCTTCTCTTGCTGATATGGCCTCTTGTTACAGCAGCCCTTTTGTCCACTTCAGCAATTGTTTTTTGCCATGGTTGTCCCAACTGATGACGGAAGGCTTGTGTTGCACCTGAAACGTCGTGATTTAATTTATATTATTTCATACCTACGTGACTTTACCGAAAGAACCAAAGAGTATAAATGATCCTGCCACACGAAAGAAGATTCCACTGCGAAGCAAACATGCGGCAAAGGCAACCCCTTTTTTAAATCAACCTCCACCTCCCACTCATTTAATTAGAGGTTTGATTTTCATGACACTAGACTTCAACGAGTAGGGAGCCACCTTGCTGAACATACGCCACTCCACCATGGAAGCCCATCCAATGTGGCTGCCCTTGGGATGCCAGTCGCCATTCAGGTCGGCCGCACCGCAGTTGCTGTACCACCAGCCGGCTTGCGTCCTCTCCCGGCTGCAGCTGTCAACCGCGATGTCTCCGAAGATGCAAGGGTTGCAGGCATCGCCATCCCTGTCCATGGTGCTGAACTTCTGACCGTTCTGGTCCTCGGCCTTGCGGTCGCCCTTGAATGAGTCGCCTGAACGCAAAAAATGCGGATCGGGAGGATACCTCGATCAGGGAATGTGCCTCCCTCCACACACCTATGCTCAATGTGGAGGAAGGCCTCATCGGAATGTTGGCAATTGATGCATTTACTTGTATTTAAACGATTGCTCGCAAGTGTAGTCACCAGCAATATTTGCTACGTTTTCCATTCCAAAATCAGTTGTGAATTCTGCACATTCATCTTGCTGTTCCGTTCCCCCCGAATGGCTGCCTTTAGTGATTACTTCATTCAGACAGCTCCTGCTACAAGGTTGTATTGCTTTGAAGACCCATTATTGGTCAACTTCAAAACACATTTTCTAAATAATAATGTATCACATTTGCAAAATCATTCACAATTTAAATTACAGGAGCTGTCTATTGAGACTGCTCGTCTTCAAAGTGAAATCTGGATGCTCTATAATTATATAAGAGATGTTTAACCCTTCAATATATTATTGACTAACAGAACATTCCTCATGTAAATGATTAACTTTTTAGATACCTTCCTAATTTTAATGGAATATTGGCGTGATTAAAATGAATCCATTCAGTAATCTCAGAGCGTGCCGAGTCCGAACAGAGAGATATTTTGTAGGACTTCCCCAGATAAATCCTTTTACTTGTATATTCTGCATGCAGTAGAGAGTGCAGTCACTTTTCCAACACTCTGACGAAAAGGCTGTTTCCCAAGTAAAAAATGTAATTCTCAGATCTGGAATTTACTAAAAGAACAGAAAGTCCAAAACAAAAATGTGCTCATTGGTGACCCAGGTGAAACAAATCAACTTCCCTATAATTAAGAAACTACTTTAAACAATAAATGGTAAAAATCGAAAAATTGGGATCTCAAGATCGCTAGTGCTCAAGTGACCAGATCCAACCCCCTAGATTCCTAAAAAAATGCTTTTGTTTCTTTCACCTCAATTTCAGAGGTCAACCTTTTGCATGTAAATAATCTATGAAGTTAGCTAGTGAGTAGCGCCAAGAGGCATCAAGCTTCTTGCAGCATGGCTGGATTGTACGTATCTGTAGGGATGAGAAGTCTGTTGCCAACAGAGCAACCACGAGGGCTGAACTGTGGGATTCGTTTTAAACGCTTTAACATTCCGAAACATCTGCAACTTGCAGAGTGGATTCCGTTCTCGGAAAGCGCAAGAGGTTCAGCGTTAATTTTATTTAGAGCAGGCAGTGTCGTTGTTTTTAAAGATGTACTCACCACAGATAACTCTAACGACACGACCACACTCTAGGATACCTTGCGTCAAACTGCCACACACCCCCTGCATTGCCTTGTGAGAGCCTTGGTACCAATTAAGTTATTTTAGTTTTTCTTCTGGTACTGTTCTGATAACTCACACGTACGTCATCGGAACGAGAAAGGGTTGACTGCCAGAAAAAGGCCTCCCTATGCCATGTCTGTTTTGAGCTTCCAAATGCCTCCTTACCAGCGTCGCCGGAATACGAGCCAACGTGCAGAGCGTAGCCGTCATCCTCGCCATCCACGCTGAACGTGGCGTAGTTGGCATTACGCTTTTCGCCCTCAAAGTCCTCCACCTCGATGCGCAGGGTGTAGCTAATGCCCTCCTGGTGGGTGAGCGCGTAAACCTTCTCCAGTCCAAGCCAGTGTTCACCTTCACAAAACCACCGCATTCGCAAACGCGAGTCATTTCAAGTCTTTCACCGCGTGGCTTTAACGAGAGTACACTCCAAATGGCCTCCCATACCCTCCCAACAGCAACATCTACACAGCCAATAAGTGCGCAACCAGGAGGAGGTTTACTCTTGGCAGATTTTGGATGCTAAGAGCAGAGGCCAGGTGTATGTCAACGGTACAACATGATCCAGTAGCAGGAACCAAGTAATTGGGAGATATTTTGGTAGTTAGGATTTTGACAGGCTAATTCAATATTCGTCAGGTTAATTGACCATGTCACAGCCCAAACCTAAAATGGACTCAATTTTCTACTAAACATGTAAATGTCTATGCATAACAGACAAGTTCTCAAAGATGCTTCTTGACGTAACAATACAAACACTTTTTTTAAAACCAATCTTCCCATCAGACAACCTACAGCAGCACAAAGGGGGCAAACCTTTCAGAGAGCCAAAGCCATTCTTGTAATCGCTCCATTTTCTTCCAAAGGGGACGGAGCCATCAAAGCGGTGCTGAAACACTGTCCACGCACCGTCGGCTTCAAATGAGCAGTACACCTGAAAAAAAAGAGCAGGACACACCAAACGCAACTTTGCAAGTGCTCTGTTGTGCCGTGTAGCTGCGCTGTGTTTCCGGAATGTCCCAAGTGTTGTTCAGGCAGTGTACAACACGTGACTGACTGCACATGCGAGGAGCTTCTTCAGTCACCAAATTTTGCGGATTTTATTTTTTAACTGCAGGAGAACTCATGTTGAACTTCTTTCGAACTGCAGGTAGCCAACCGAGCTAAATCAGAGATTTGTTATCCGTTAACCCACGACTCCTATTATCTGCAGCACAAACACTCCTATTTTACTGTGCAGGCCAATTCGTATTATCTACAATAAGCTGCTTCCTATTATCTGAGATTTTCTTTGTCAATAAGTGTCAATGTTGCAAATTCAGCTCATTGCTCATCCGCGTTATTGGTTGCAAAAAAAACTGTTTATTCTTCAAACCTTAAATAATGTTCATAATTCAAAGGTTATTTTGCAATGAACATCAACGACAGTACTTTGGTGCGTGGCCAAAGTGCACAAAAACGGGTGTTTGGAGGTGGTTGCGAGGCATCGAAGAAGTCGCCATCTCCTGGTTTGACCAGGGTATAGCAGTACAGCAAGTAGATTTATTTACATCTAAACATGGAACATTTCCCGCTCCCACCTTAACCGCCCCAACCACTCTCATGTGTAGGTTTTCTCTGGGTACTCTGACGTTCCTTCCACCTGTACAAATTCCAAATCTTTTAGGCAATTGTTGGTGCAGATTCGAGCTAATTTCCTGCTTATCTGTCGTTTCTCAAGGTCTTTTGAGCATAAACTAAGCATGTTACAAAATGTACAATACCGTGCATTGTGATTATACTATTATACCCAACGTGATACGCGTGCAGGTTCAACAAATTCTAAATTCTGCGATTATTCTCTATATAGGCGGAGTCTCACGGGAAAATCCATGCTATAATCTGCAATTTTACTCCGGATATACGAGGAGAGAAAAATCACGGATAACCTCACGGAAATAAGTCGTGCAACATGGGTGCCCCATATTTCCACTGATTGGAGGCGTTCTGCTGTACCAAGTTAATTTCAATTGGGAAATTCCGTTCCGACAGCTGTTCCCAACACATGGAGTAAAAAAAAATAGACATGCCAAACACACAATACAATATGAACCACAGAATGTGTTCTCACAGCCCTGTGCATGCATGAAATATACACAATTGAAACACATCAATATTTAAATGCCCAAAACATTTGTTTAATTCACAAAATGTCAAATCTTTTGAGCAAACACGTTCCGGCATGTTATAAAATATACACGCAGCGAACCACATGGAATATCCAGAGTTTATTGGGTTGGATTGCGTAAATATAAATGCACCGTTAAACCCGCCACCACCCGACATGGCCAATTAGTAAGGTTTGTCACGTAAACAGAACATGCCAATTCGTTACTAATACAGCACACCCATGTGTTGGAGAGTAAACCCACAACATTTACAATGTGAGTACGACGTTTCGCCGATAATTACAACCAGCATCATCAGGTCACAGCCAGAATTATGCATGGAATATATTAAAGAAGTCGGATTTAAACTGTTCAATGTGTTTTGTGCATAAGCATGCAGTACTTTCAAGGTGGACAATTCATATATTTCTTAAACATCATGGGTACTGTACTTGATGTTATGTTCGTTTGAAATTCTGAAATATGTGCAATACACACCTCGAACGTAGACTCTGCACCTTGCGGCCGAATCCTATAAACTCCACTTTTGGCAGAGGCGTGCGTCTCCCTCACTTTGCTGCAGTCTTGTACGACTAAAATGTTACAGAACAATTGTTAAAATTGTTAACATGGTCTATCTGCAATAGTAATTTAGAGGAGAACATATGGGGTTCAAGTTTTAAATGGGGCACAACAATGATCAAAAACGCACTGCGGCACGAATACAAGCACTTATACTCGTGTGGAACAAGTCCATAGCATAATCACTGGCGGCACATTAAGATTGATTGCGGCACCAAAAGAAAATCAAGTGACAGTACGACAATGGAGAGAAATCACTCGACAGAAGGATACAAAACACAAATCTGCTTTCTTACCAGTTCCGTCCTCATTGCAAGTGGAACCTTTCTCCTGGACACGTGGACAATGCAGAGGCATAGTTAGGGGTACAAGATAATATAAATACGAGGAAAACTGTTTACATCATGGACATTAACACAATGATATGCACCACATTTTAGCCCCTTTGATACAAACAGGCCGAATGTTTACTACGAATGCCCCCCATGCTGCAAGCGACACACGATGTGGGAAGGAAGGCCTTCATTGGGAATTTTACTTGGGTTTTCAAAAAACATTTCCTGCAATTAAAATAATATATGCTTGAGCCTCTATCCCTATACTCTCGGATAAGAAAACAATATACGGACCCTAACATAGTAATCTGACTACATGAACAAGACTTACCAGAGGTATATATTGTGGAGCACCCTGGCCAAACTTGTTCCGCATGTAGTCAGACACGGCAATCACGTACTTCTCCAGGTGATTATAAGAACACTCAAGTCCTGCCGTGAAAACATCCCACAATTATCCTCATTAGGCACGGTATAATGTGCACATTTCAAATGGCAGTTCTTTCGTGACCCACTGCCCCCGTTTGTTCGGGATTTGCCAGTAAAAAGAAAATATTTAGATAGCCAGACATTCCTTCAAAGTCTGGGGCAGAACACCACTAGAGCACCAGTTAAATTTTAACTGCAAAACACATTTGCTGTAAATCGCAAAATCGATGCACACGCATTATCTGCAACTTACCTTGGAAGTGATTCTCATGCTGTTCGAGTCTCTTCTCAAGCCCAGTCGGACCACCGTCAACACCGGGATGCTAGAGAGAAGAGGAATAACAACGTTGCCATTGAGGATATGTAGGGAGGGTATTTCCTTCAACGGAGGCCATGTCAGCTCAACAATCCGAGCTTGTGCGACAAAATAATTAACCATTGCTTGCAATGCAAGCAAAGCGGAACTTGTATGGACTTTGTTTAGACAGTCTCAACGAATAAAGCGTTTATAGAGTACTTCCACATTTGGCATTACCTGTACATGCCCAGTCTTTGACGAAAAAATGGCAGCTGCAAATAAATGCCACTTGTGAAAGTTTATTCACGAAAAAAATGCTCCAGTAGGATTTATTGTCCCATTGTTTGTACCCGAAATATAGAATTGTGCAAGTCTGTACATGGGTTCCTCAGTCTAAATAAAAGATTTTGTACTTCGCCATTGGATGGCAAAACCGGTTACCGTTTTACGTGCGATTAGCAGTAACGCTGAGATCTTAATAGCCCTGGTTATTACTAAAAAAGGTACCTACATCAATTTAGAAAACCTTCACTTGTGGGAGCTGTACATCCCTGTACGACTTGTTACAGGCAAGCAGGATTAATATTGTATAGGAAATAAAGACCAAGAACCCCAGTAGCGCATTTGTAGTGACATCAGGGATGTCACTGTATAGGGCCGGCCCAAGAGGGCCGTGGCGCACGATGCACTGTCATCGCGTACACCCCGTAGGCGGGTGTAGTACTGGTGTAATAAGAGCCTATGTCGGATTCACGTGGTGATCGGCTTTGCCGGTCCTGCTTTACAGCCAATGGGGGGAGAGCCTGGGAGCATGGCCTCGGCGTGATCACGGGATGTCAGCTAGGTGATTGGTTTTGCTGGTCTTGGCCTCAGCCAATGGGAAGACAAGTCAGGGGCGTGGTCCCGGGAGTTGATGGGAAATCTGGAACATTCGGCGCAGGCTACTGAGGATTGGCTGGAGTGTACCACGTGACCCAGGCGTTAAATAAGGGGAGAGAGGAGAGACACGTGGTCAGACACGGAAAGAAGAGAGAGAGAGAGGCCACGCGCGAGTGGGGCTCCGGGTGCCAGGCGGCGGTGTGTCTCTGGTGGCTGTCTGCCCGCTTCCCGTTGCCTGCCAGCAACGGGGAGTGTTTGTGAACTGCAAGAAGTGAAATAAAAGGACCGATTCCACAAGCCGTCTCCAGCGTGTTATTACACTAGCATAAACATAAATTTGGTTGCAAGCGACCTCCTTCGGTGAAGATGCTGTAGCCCAAGGGTAGGTCAAATCTCATTGTCCTCTATGGTACCCTTGAGCAGGACCTATTTTAACCATAACCACCATGGTTGTGTGTGTTGGCACAATTTAAGCATACCCTGTCAACCCATACAGGTTACCCCGTATTCTTGTACAGGGCAAATTGAGTTTTCAGGTCCATGCGACGTACAGCCGTTTCAATACGGGCAAAAAAAGGTGTATGTTTGGGTTTCTCCCTTGTGATGGGACTTTGTAGGATGAACTTTGAGATGTATAAGGGGCACGGGGTGACCAATAAGATCTGAATTGGTCTCTAATAAGGAACGGCACTGATAAGGGGTTGACAGCGATGCTGAAGGCACTTTCCAAGGAGCACAAGCGCACAGCCGAGATCGGTAGGCCTCACGAGTTCAACAAGGGGATGGCTGTGAGTAACGTCGATAGTTAAATATGTAGAGGATAACTTAACTAAGATCAATTGCGCAAAACTGAGAGGTTAGTAGACCTCCACGACAGACGCATCTGCTAGACATCCAAAGTTCATGTGGACCATAGGATCATGATGAATGGTACTGCACACGTAAATCATTAGCCAATGGCAATAAACATTTATCCAGTGTTTTAACTGAAGTGGTGTTAAACATTAACATACTCAGCTGAAAAAAGCGGTCAACATAGCTAAAAAAAACTAAGCATGTTTGCTTGCTTGCATGCTGTAGTTTATATTGCTCAGGGGAAAAATAAGGGGTCAAACTTTATTCCAGTAGTTTGTGCAATTCTCCATTGTAACCGTAGGTTTTGTGGACAGATGCTATATGCGGTATTTGCTCAAATTAATCACTTAAAAAATACAATTAATGAGTAAACGCATTTGGCACGTCAACGTTAAAACGACGGATAACATTTGATTGCTAGAGTACAAGGTTCTGTAAAAGGTGGAGGAGTGGTGCATTAGACTACTCTTCTTGATTGCACTTAAGGATAACATCGGCAACTGCACTAGCTGTTCAGCCGCTTTAATATAATGTAGTTTGAATGCAACTTTAGGATAAAGTTGGGATAAAGTTGCATTGCCTCTGGAGCGATCTACCCTGTGCAGGGTACAAACATCGGCAGCTAACACGAGCACCGCAGCCTCATAGTGGACTAACAATCAACAAAATGAACCTTTAACTTTATTGTATTGATTACCCATAGAATAATGGGTCCCGTTGATAAAACGGTTTGCCTGCACCTCCAAAATAAAAAAACGTCTTTTATTACCCTACGTTCTTATAATTATCAACTAGCATGTTTGCCTACGTAAATGCCTAATCTTCAGATGGACTTACATTAGCATCGACACAAGCTCGCAATAACACTACCTTAAACAAATAAAAAGTCGTCAAAATATATCTCCCACCCCCTCTCTTTTAAAACTCGTGTTATTAAACGAATGCGTTGAGTTCAGTTATTTGTTCAGCAGCAGCGCGTTTGTATGAACTTCCTAGGCACCGTACGCAAGCAAACAGCGCCAATCGAACACAGCAGCTGCTTACTGCAGTACAAACTTATTGTGCCCCATGCAGTAGAAGGCGACACTCACTAGTGTTGGTGTCACCCAGTGCGGTAACTCATGGTGACACCCCTACAAGACCATACAGAAGCCTTAGTAATGTGTTTTATACTAATGTTACCCGTATATCACTGAATGTAGTGGCCATAGTAGTGACATAAACTAGTACAATTTAAATTACACCCTTAAATTACAATATTTACAAATTACCACAACATTGTAGCTAAAACACCAGACAATTTGACACAATCAGCGACTATGAAACACGAGCAGCAACGAACACAACAGCACGTGCTTGTAGCGCGTGCAGACGAAACCACGTGACTCGAACCGTCACTGCAGTTGGGGAACAATGACAGCTCTGACCGGAGCGCATTAGAAGGTTCAAAAAGTAAATTAGCATAGAGTTTTAGCCTTGTAGGTATACTGATACAGTACGTGTAAGCAGGGCTTACCAAACATATTTTAATAATAACTAACTACGAGGATATTTTTAAATAAAAAAATACATTTCTGCTGAAAAACTGCACAATATTTTGTATAGACAGTCATTTTGGTGTCACCCCCTCTGATGGTGTCACCCGGTGCGGTCCGCACGCCCCGCACCCCCCTAGTGACGCCACTGGCAGTAGGAAAGGTGGCTTTGGTTGGTGCGAATGTAATCTCACGGCGTCTTCTGTGCGGTGGTGATGATGGTGGTGTTGGTGTCCTTCCTTGCCCTTCTCTCGACGAGCACACGCCAACGGCACGAGCAGCAGCAGAAGGACGGTCAATGTTGCAGGACGAGCCATGCCTGCAGTAGGAATTCGTTGTCTCTCACTACAGCACGGAGGTAACTCACACTTGTTGCTGTTACGACTACTCCGCTGATGCTGGAAGACTTATGCTGTTCATACCGACCAGCTTTTTATAGAGCCGAGTAAACAACCTCCCCCCCCACCACCACCAACCACCCAGAGTGAGAGTGCATTGGGTGGCAACTTGGGTGTGGCTTGTGGTGGAGCGAATAAACATGAATGAATAATTATATATTTAAGATCGCTCAAATTTTGCCACAAGCAGCAACTTCGGCACGATACTACCGTGTCTCCAAGAGTCGCTTACATAAGACGGGGAGGAAAAATAAAAACCGTAATGCCGTTTAAAAATATGATGGCAATCATTAAGATGGCAATAATTTAGTTTTCACGATGGCAACAATGTATACACATTGTTAATTTTGATGAGTGTGTAAAAAAAAATGGGAACCATTCTTGAACGATAGTTTGGTTTACTATATTCCAGCTAGTCCTGTGGCACGCACAGCTGCATAATGACGTGCATCTGAGGCCCAAGCGATCACATCTGTATCTTCCATGGCTGCCCTAAAGCCACATTGTCAGTTATTATGAAAAAAATGTTCTTCAATTTGCCCTTCGAATATCACCTTCCTTTGGTTACTCCCTGTTCGAGAGGCATTGAGTTACTGGCTGATGCACTGTTGACTGACTTCAAATGTCCTTCCGGGTATGCAGCCCATTTCGAATGCTGCAGGAGGGCAGCCTTAATCAGAGCTATTGATTCCTTCTCTGATTCGAAGTGGTTCACACATCTCACCGTCATTGTCTGAGCTTAGTTTCTGGAAAAATGGAAGTGCTAGTGCCATGAAATTGTGATTTTTCAACGGTCTTACTTAACTTGATTCCTCTGTTTGTCTGGGTCAAATCTTGTAATCCAAATTTCGTCCACTTCTGGGTGTCCAATCAATTCCACATTTTGCACACATACTTAGACCCGGTGACAATGCATGCCAGCATCAATTAGTCAATTAATTCGCTACTTTAAAGCAATTTACATTTTGTATGGACGCCTTATTATTTATATAGAAATGTGTGTAGGTCAAAAACGCCGCGGTCCCTAAACTGTGGAATCGGCTCGCACAAAACGCAGGCGCCGTGTGTCTCAGGCGCCATTGACGTACTTCTCGACCGCGAGTTAAACGAAGTAGTTAATAAAATCGTAGTTTAAAAAGAACTTTTTTAAACGAGTTTATTATTGCTTCAGTTGTATTATGATCAATGTAAATCCATGGCAAACTATGTAAATCACCCATCTTCCACATATTTTGTGACCAATGCATCTCCAAGTTATGCTGACATTTCAAGCACACTGTTAGTTTATTGTGAAGCACTCTGTCATAGCAACTTCTGAATCCACTGTCATTGAACATTTTTACAAGCTACCAAATTATTGTTTTAGCAAATACAGACATTCCTATATAAACGGAATCGCGTGATCTTTGAAGTGTCTGTATTTCTGATTCTGCTTTGTACCCTGCATAGCAGTTCTAAAGAAAAAGCTGTGCCATAGCCATGTCTGCTTTAGATGCACCAAACCTTAACCCGTGATGTTATATCTGCACCATTGTCAATCACGTTCACAAACTGAAGAGGTGCTGGAGGGATGGTTTCTTCAACATATCCTTCATGGAAAGTTCTGTAGCATGGCCTCACTCTGCCCCCGGCCATGCCCCCTTTCTGGAACCTACTTGCGAGTTCCTGGTGGGCCCCTTCTGTGACCTTTCCCCTTCTCGTGTCTATCAGGGCCTGCTGATGTCAGGACTGCCGTACGCGGCAGATCCCCTTTTCTGCCAGCAGCCAGCGCTATGCCACTACACTTGTACAGTGAGGGAAAAAAGTATTTGATCCCCTGCTGATTTTATACGTTTGCCCACTGACAAATAAATGATCAGTCTATAATTTTAATGGTAGGTTTATTTGAACAGTGAGAGACAGAATAGCAACAACAAAATCCAGAAAAACGCATGTCAAAAATGTTATAAATTGATTTGCATTTTAATGAGGGAAATAAGTATTTGACCCCCTCTCAATCAGAAAGATTTCTGGCTCCCATGTGTCTTTTATACAGGTAACGAGCTGAGATTAGGAGCACACTCCTAAAGGGAGTCCTCCTAATCTCAGATTGTTACCTGTGTAGAGGTGGTACGTACCGGGATGTAGCGAGCCATCGCGTAGCCGGTGTCTACATCACGGTCCTTACATGGGTAGCTACACCGACGTCCGCACTAGCCCCGCCCCTCGGGGGGCAGAGGGCTATATAGGGCGGTGCGCATGAGCGCTCGGGGAGTCGTTGAAGCCAGTGAGGAATGAAGACGGAGCAAGCTAGATAGGACCCTGGGACCCCTAGCCCCGCTGCCCTTATCAGGGCCGGGACTTTGTGTGGCTCAGTGGTGAGACCCTGGGTACTCACGGCCCGACGTCCTTATCAGGGCCGGGTTTGATGGGCCAGTGGTTGGGACCCGTACCCTGGCTAGGTCGGGTCAGATAGCCTCCTCTAGGAAGTACTCAGCCGGAGGACCTGAGAGCGTAGCCGGTGTCAGGCACGCGTAGCCGTAGGCTGTGTTCCTAGGCTGTATAGATGACTGTTCTGTAGGGTGTTACAATAAATACGTGCTGCCTCCGTCAACTCGTTTCCTGCAGTATTTACGCCGTTACACCTGTAAAAAAGACACCTGTTCACAGAAGCAATCAATCAATCAGATTCCAAACTCTCCACCATGGCCAAGACCAAAGAGCTCTCCAAGGATGTCAGGGACAAGATTGTAGACCTACACAAGGCTGGAATGGGCTACAAGACCATCGCCAAGCAGCTTGGTAATAAGGTGACAACAGTTGGTGCGATTATTCACACAAAAGAACTGTCAATCTCCCTCGGCCTGGGGCTCCATGCAAGATCTCACCTCGTGGAGTTGCAATGATCATGAGAACGGTGAGGAATCAGCCCAGAATTACACGGGAGAATCTTGTCAATGATCTCAAGGCAGCTGGGACCATAGTCACCAAGAAAACAGTTGGTAACAAACTACGACGTGAAGGACTGAAATCCTGCAGTGCCCACAAGGTCCCCCTGCTCAAGAAAGCACATATACATGCCCGTCTGGAGTTTGCCAATGAACATCTGAATGATTCAGAGGACAAATGGGTGAAAGTGTTGTGGTCAGATGAGACCAAAATGGAGCTCTTTGGCATCAACTCACCTTGCCGTGTTTGGAGGAGGAATGCTGTCTATGACCCCAAGAACACCATCCCCACCGTCAAACATGGAGGTGGAAACATTATGCTTTGGGGGTGTTTTTCTGCTAAGGGGACAGGACAACTTCACCGCATCAAAGGGACAATGGACGGGGCCATGGACCGTCAAATCTTGGGTGAGAACCTCCTTCCCTCAGCCAGGGCATTGAAAATGGGTCGTGCATGGGTATTCCAGCATGACAATGACACAAAACACGGTTGCTTGCGTTGTGGCCGAAATGTCGTGAGAATAATTTTATGTTTTATTTGTATTATTTAATTATTTCCATTCTACGTGACTTTACCGAAAGAACCAAGAAGATGAATCCCTGCATTCACGAAAGCTTTAAATAGAAATTTGATTTGAAGCATGTTTTTATTGTCAAAATGGAAATATGGTTTGGGGGGGGGGGGCAGAGCTTTGTGACATCATATTTGAGGGGTGTCTGACTTTTTGTGACGCCGTGTGACGAGGGGGGGAGGGGTGGTCAAAAATCGGCCAAAATTGCGTAAGTCATTTATCGACGGCCCCATGCCTTTTGTTTCAGCGACACGCCAGCAGCAACTTCAAACACAATCCTATGGTGAAAGCACTGCTGCATCTCTGAAAAATACTGCCGCCACCAAATCTGGTTTTTGGGGGTCCATGCAGTGGGTTAATGAGTGTGTTGGCAGCGGGAAAGTGCACTTTGTGCATGTCAGCCAACTCGGACAATTAGCCCATAACACCTGGATTTGTCTTGTCGCCTTGTGCCAGAAAGCTTCTGATACTTCAGGTGGCTGAAACGTGCACCTAACCTGGCGTAGGCAGAGTGGTTACATCATCCGTCACTTAAGTGGCAGAATGGCGGCTGTTGTTGCTGTGCAGTAACCATACGTAGGTCAGTTAAGGCTAGAACTACAAATTGGTTAACTATTTTTCAAAGCACCAGTTTTTCCTTACCTTTGCACCAGGACTTTGTGCAGCAGTGTCTGTGTGGCAAAAATGTCAGCCTAAATCATGTCCCAGTCATTTCGAAATAGTTTTACATCTTTCACAACCGAAACTCAAATGTGCAAGTCAATATTGATATTTTCCAACAATTTATTATGTTAACAAATACAAATGATACAACCACACTTACCATTACAGCAGTTCATTTATTGTAACTTTGAAAAAACGGGTTCAACAGTTCGGTTTTATTGATGATCATGGCCGTTATATCCCATTAGACAATACTGTAAAATAACATTAAAGCATTTTGTATTTAAAATGAGATGGACCATTCCAGAAAACAGCTGAGATCACAACACAGAATGGGTATGTACAATACACGCATATACTCTTCTGAAATATACTACAACAAATATTCCCAACAATTTACAAAAATTATACCGCATATGAAAAACCTATATTTCCATGTCACTGTATTTGTTGATTAAAAGTGCCTGCAAATATACACACTCGATCAAGAAAACAGTCTTAATAGCGATAGCATAGAGACACAACTCAGATAATGCTAATAACACTGCAATGTGTACAGTCTTCAATAGGGTAACTCAAAGGTCACATTTTTATCATCACTCGTCCACAGGTCAAGCCGTTTTTCAAAGACTATCGCAAACGAAGTCACTTGATTAGTCTATCTTCACTATTTTTCTGTTAACCCATCCATCTTTTGGTAGATCTACCACAACCGTTCATCCACGTACTACTTTTATTTAGTTGCACCAGATCATTGCCGCATCTCTAAAGGCACAAGCCCTTGTTCCAGCTGTCGTGCTCATCAGACTGCCAGTGAAGAAAGTATTAGGAACATTTTAATTTAGTGGGCATATCCAAAGACAGCATTTTAGTCATATAAGTTTACATGCAACTAAAAGGCAAATACAGGCGTCCCTCGCATAACGTGACATGCGTTCCTGAAAAACAGCGTGCGCAAGTCAAATCGCGCTGTACGAACCCAAAAAAGTATGATTTAATTTCGGAATTTTAGCCATGGGTTTACACAATACGTATAAATCCAATACAGTACTTAATATTAACATTACAAAAATGACCAGTTGAATAATATATTGAGACATATTACTCCTTACAAAGAACACTTAATGAGTAACTTCAGGGCTTCTTGAACGATTCCGTGGGCTGCTTCTAACAGCAGCACGCACGATGGAAATAGAAGCCGGAGATTTACGATGGCTACACCTAAGCCAGACATTGAACGCTGCCATGCCGCGGTGACGGCATCAGATTGTAATTTAAATTGATGAACCTGCACATATTTTACTTGGAGTTTTTATAATTGAAATTTTTTTTTTTTACTTTGACAAATTTTAATGTTACATTTTTTTCAGGGCATAACTGTCAAAATGATTCGCCCAAGTGTGAAGTATGTCCCTAGAACGTGAATGGCATAGCTGCAAATTCCCGATATGGCAGGGCATTACGCAAGGGACGCCTCTATTGCAGTTTTAATTTCAAGTGTTTAATTTGTCCTCAAGTTTACGGAGTCAACAAAGCCTTCATGTTACATTGCTTTGGCTGCATTAGCCACAAACATGACAGTCCTTCAAATGAGCTTGTGCCTAAATAGTAATATCCATAAAATAACTTTTTTTATATATAAGGCAGTAAAGTGCAAGCATTTCGATTTCACAAATAGGTGTAATGAGATCTTCATTTCGAATTTTTATATAAAAAAAATCATCTACTAACACTTGTACAACCATAGACAACATAAATGTATGGGTATGCGAATAACAAGTAGTGTATGGGCAGCTTACTACAAAACTGAATGATAAAATACTTTGTTTAAAATGACAACTATTAAGGAGAACCAAAGTTTACAGGTTGGTCTTAAGAGGGTAATTTCCTTTAAATAGACAATGTTTAATGTTTACTCCTTGCAGCTTTAAACTTATGGTCTTGTTTCCCACCCATTTGAGCATTTTCATTTGTTTTCTTCTGTCAAAAGCACTGACATGAGAGTGCATGAAGTATAAAAGTAGCAGAGTGCAGGTCGATATTGGAACTCGTGCTGCCACCTGTGACACCTTTACTAGAAGTGGTCACTGAACAAATGGATAAAAAACATTAAATGTAGACAATAATGTACATACGAATGCATGGAAAAGCTTCAGGTGGTATGGAGGATGCTTAGTAATGACGGAAATAAATGGCCACAATGTTAAAATGTGTAGAAAATTATCTGCAGTATTTGGCAAAAATCTAATCAGGCAAATTTTGTGTTCCTGATTACAAACTAAATGGATCTTAAGGTCTATCACATGCTTCGAATAAGACATGACAATTTTCAGTACATGGTATATGCAAATGTTTAACCATATACATATTTAGAATGAATTGCATTTTAAATACTCCATGTGAATTTTTATTTTGCTCTTCACAAGCTGAGATGCTACTAAATTCTCAAGATTAAAAATATATTATTTATGATTGTATGACATCAGTTTCCTTACCAATGTAACTGACAAACAGTACTATGGAGTTTAATTTAAGGTATTACTTTTTTGTATAATGCTCATTTGTACTATTTAAACACTTTACGTTACATAAATTTGCCTTTAAATAGCATTCAGTTACATTCATTGCTAATTCGAAGGAATTCTGTTTCACTAAATGTTCCTCCAAATGATATGCATTGAAGGCTAATATGCACATGCCTAGGCATCTGAAGTCTTCATGACAAAAACATTATATCCAAGTCAGTCCCGAATTTAAATGTACATCTTAAAAACGAGAATGATATCCTTTTGGCTGAAACATAACACACCGTTCGCAAACCAAAAGGAAAAGTGAACACTGAAATCTATGAAGTTAAGGAATTAAAGTTTGTAAAGCAACACCACTATTCTCCTTGCACGAGTGAGCCATTTACTGCAACTGCCTTGTGATAACTTTCCTGTAAACGACATACAATAAATTCACGTAGTTGGGATGGAGATTAGCATCCGTTTAAATAAGGTTCAGGCAGTTCAGTAAATATATTAATTGTATGGTCGACCACTCAAAATGCATGTGTTAACAAGTGTCTAAAGTGTACGACTGCACGTGGTTTAGTCACTAAGACGAAATACATGACATATTTAGGGCATAGTGATGCTTTGCTAAAGATGGGATGGTAACTCGGGTAAGCCTATGCTGTCGGTCGGACCATCACACATAGTTAGTAGGCTAATGTGAACACTAAACATTCAACGGGGGCATTGAAGCAATCGACTGCACATTAACTGAAGCCATTTTCTGGCTAACTAAACTGGACATAAGACTTTTGATGATCTTATTCATACTTTCATATGCAAGAAGTTTCTGCTGCCTGTAGGCAACCATTTCATAATACATTTTGAGAGATGCATTTTAATTTTCAACAAGTAACATTTACGAGCAAGCTTATTATACCCAGATAACTTGCTCACAGTGTGAAACAGTATTCTCTCCCAAACAATTTGCCACCAAGGAAATATTTTCCAAAGTGTCAACGGTGTACCCTATATGGTGCTTCTAAAGCACAAGTCACTTAAAAATAAAGTACCGTACTAAACACACCATGTAAACACAAACTATAGTTATACCCGATAAAAAAAAAATCCACGGAACATATATATTTTTTTCTTGACTGCTTTATGTTTTTTTCTGATAACACAGGTTTAACTTCAAGGGATTTCTATCAACTCTTTATAATCGAAAGATTGTCTAATGTATTAGTGACACCGACTAGACTTCCAACCCTCCTAAACATGATTCTCCTTTCATAGAGGCAAGTGTATTTTAGTAAAATTAAACCAGTTCAATATAGGAACATTAAATTGGTAAAGACTCTCTCTTCATGCGGAAATATAGCCTTCTACTGAGCTATTATTTCATGCCTGCAAATCTAACCACAACTTAACGTGATAAATTCAACATTTTTTTCTTGTTAACCATTGCCCATACCAAGACAATTTATGTTTCCCTGGCAAGACAGTACACTACACAATGACAATTTCCATATCATAAAGCACACCTACAAATCAAACAATGCTATACATTAGCTAAAAAAAACCTGACGTTTCAGTGATGTTAATTTTTGTACGTGTGTAGTGGCATGATACCCAACTAGTTAAACAAAACATTGCTGACGCCAACACAGGAAAGTACAGACCAAGGAACAATGATTTGGTGCAGACGACAGGGCTGTTTGCTGCTGAGGAAAGCTACTCGTAGCCATAGGGCTCAGCGCTGCCGGGGCTGGAAGTGCGGATGTCTTGGTGAATCTGAATCGACACGCAGCTCAGCCAGCTTCTGCTGGTCGGCATCTCTCCTACAATCTCCCACGTGTCAGTCAGGTCATCGTACCTCTCTATCGTGTCGTGGTACCTGTGGAGATAGAACGGCAGAGTACACGTTATAAGTTTATTTGTTTATACCCCCTTTTTGTACGTGTACTTAGCCTGTAACAGTTTGGCCATGGGAAATATAAATCACTGAAGTGTAAAGTGCAGCTTTTATGAATTGGTAATTCAAAACAGTTTTTTTTATGGATAATAGAAGGAGCAATAATAACGCTTCATTAAACAAGTTAGCCTCATATTATCGGGTTTCCGTTCAGGTTATTTGAGCTATTTTATTAGTTTAACCACATATGGTGATTTTTGTTCACCTCAGAGTTCATTGGGCTCTTCCTACTGAAAATTCTAAAATATATCTCTATCTAACCTGATATGAAAAAAACAATTTAGATTAAGAATAAAAATTATATTAACCATGAAAAAAATAAAGGCAAAGAGTCATGCATAGATTTGCTCTCTCAAGCCAATGCAACCGGTACTGCTGGCGAGTGAATGAAGTTGTGTTTGGAGAGGTTATGCTGAAATGTCACCTGTCCCATCCTTCCTCTCCACCAAGTACATAAATCTTGCCGTCCACCACCGCCACGCCAGGTCGGTAGCGCCGCTCAATCATGGGCGCACACATGTGCCACGAGTTCTGGGCCGGGTCGTAGCACTCCACCTTGTTGGTGTTTTCCGTGGATGCATGCCAACCACCTTCAAAACAAGATCACATGTATTGTAAAGAAGTCAAAAAGCCACGGTTTCTATAACCTTTACAAGAAGTGGCAAGCAGATATTTACGAAAATTAATCAATTTATTTTTACCACGTAAGGCCCACTGAGCTATATAGCTCTTTTTCAGAAGCGACCTGGCCACAAATGACAGCTTAATGAAGTGGCTTATGTGGGAATTCATAGCAGCCTAATACTCTAAACACATGTTTCTGAATGTGGAGGGAAAAAAAACCAGAGGACCTGGAGGAAAATCCACATTACCAGGGGGAGAGCATGCAAACTCCAAATATACAGACATCGGGGTCGGGATTGAACCATGACTTCCTGAATACCATGCAAAATAGTGAACATCTTGCCACCGTTATCTCGTGGCAGTGTACAACATTTATTTTACAAAACACCATCAAACCTCTGAGATAAATAATTTTAGTAATCTTGATAACATGACAAATAGTACCCCATAGTAGTCTTCAAAGTTGATCTGATCTAGCAAACTTTTATCCTGTTCAAAAGCATTAGGCTGTGTAATTAAACGCCTTTGTTTACTTTACACCTTACTATTGTCTGTTGTTAATTTACCATCCTCAAAATCATTAGCAGCCATGAATATGGGGTTCTTTTTAAGATATTGTCACATTCAAATCTGTATTGATGTTCAATTCTCGAACCATTGAAATACAAATAAATGCATATATGACTTGCATTACATACACAAGTGTATATGGTTGTTTTGTTCACGATAATTGGTCACTATGTAGACTACAAATCCACTACAACAGATCCTGGTTTAAACACAGGATCTATACAATACCGAATCACTACTGTTGTTAAGGATATGCTAATGATCTCTATGATGAGAAAATACACTTGTCACTTGAATCCTGCCACATACAACCACGTAAAAAGACACTTCATCATATATACATGCTGATAAACGATCCTCTGTGTAGGTTGTGTACCTATTACGTAGATTTTGCCCTTGAGCACGCAAGCTGCTGAGCCAGAACGAGCGATCTGCATTGGGGGGACCTCTGACCATGTGTCCATTTTTGGGTTGTAAACCTGGACCAGCTCAATCCCATCACCATCTTCTAACACGGCACCACCTGAAACAACAAAAAAAACCCATACAATGCAAACAAACTATGGATTTATATAACCTCCAAACTTGACCATATCTCAAGCTGCTGTACAGAAACTGCAGTTGGGTTTATTTATAATAGAGGCCAAGTCACATGCAGAGAAAAATATGTCTTGAGAATGTCTTTGAAGAGGGGCAGGAAGTCAAGAACACAGATAGCTTGGGGCAAGAGAATTCCAGGCGATTGGGGCAGCAGAGGTTGACCCCGGGCTTTGATGTAAAGCCTTGGTTGCTGGAGTGGAGAATATGTGGAGGGGAGTCGAGTGTGATGACAGGGGAGAAGTAGGCAGGGGCAAGTGCATGGTGAACCTTGAAAATAGTGAACCTTGAAAACGGTGACTATGAAATTTATCTGAGATTGAATTGAGAGTCAGTGGAGCGATTGCAGTATGGGGGTAATGTGGTCACGTTTATGTGTGAATTTATGAGTCTGGCAGCAGAATTTTGGATCGTCATTCAATAACACTGTAGAATTGCAATGGCAATCTTTCAGGGCAAGGTGTTCACAAGACTTACCAGTGACATACAGAAGTCCATCGAGAGCCACCACGGCCGGACTGGTCACAGCCATGCGCATCGGTGCCACAAACTGCCAACAGTTGGTGCTGGGATCGTAGCCCTCCACCGAGTCAAGGCGGGACGAGCCCTCCCACCCACCCACGGCGAACACGAACCCATCCAGCATCGCCAGGCCTACAAACGACAATGCCATTTTAATACATAGGCTTTCGCGACCAATATTATTCATAATAAAGGTTTTTGGGTTAGATCGCGTTATTTATAAATGTGTTTCAACCCTCCACCACCTGACACGGCCAATCAGTAAAAAATGTGTCACGTTCTGGCAAATTCGCCGATGATGCTGGATGTAATTACCAGCGAAACGTCATACTCAAAATTGTAAATGTTGTGGATTCACGCTTCAACACACCGGTGGGCTAAAGTAGTGAACTATTTGTCTTTTGTCAACGTGACACATTTTTTACTGATTGGCCGTGTCGGGTGGTGGAGAGTCGCGACATATTTATAATTAACGCGATCTAACCCAAAAACCTTTATTATGGACAATGCCATTGCTAATTCTCTGCAATGTGCAGCCCTGAAATTTCTTGTTCATGCCACTGCTGCCGGAAAGGCCTCCACTACAGCCCCTCTAGAGGTAATATGGCGTACTCGTCCACACTGGCAAAACGTCTTGGAAGGGGTGGGAAGTATCTACACTTTAACCCCACAACATGCGGCCTCCCAATCGACAAACTATAATGCAGCCATTAATACTGCGGTGCCAGGAGTTCAAAACAGCGACCTTTGGATAGTAAGTCCAGTGTGATAACCATTACACCATGGCAACATTGCCTCTCTGCAATGTAAACCTCTTCAATCAACATTCCTCAGACACAATGTATCTTCGAGCAGCAAGATGAAAGTTGTGATACCATACCGAATTATGACTGTCCCCATCTCAATCCTTCTTTAACTAAATAAATACTGACAAAATTCCGTATTCTTTGTGCAGACATGAAGTAGAATTATTTACAAAGTCAACTCCCACCTTTTCCAGATTTAAAGAAATAATTATCCACATCTGGGTCAATCAGTCTGTTCTCAGGCAATCATCCTAGCTAATGTGTTTGGTTTCAAACATGCAACGTGAAATGAGTCTGGCAAGTTTAACACAATGTGCAACTTTAGGTAAACTTTCAATGACTGCATTGACAATGGTGTAGAATACTGACACTTTTATTATACAGGACACTTAATGTTGACTGTACAGGGCAGTTAGCACAACGTTTGTATGACCGTTACATTTTAATTGTGTATGGCTTTGAGTTTACTAGGACTTGGTTTACAGTTTGTCAAGTTAAAAGTGAAATTGTCCCCATGCATAAACGAACATTGGAGATTCGTATTCTTAGGTTTTTTCGGTAAAGTCACGTAGGTGAAAACATTAAAAAGTAAAATAAAATAAAAAATCACGACGTTTCGGAGGCAACACAAGCTTCCGTCTTCAGGTGGTACCGTCACAGCCACGACAGCTGTATCAAGTAAATGAGAGATTGTAGGAGCTACCACTCCGTTTATACAATGGTTGGAGAAGGTGGTGGGGCAAGGGCCGCATACTTTTTATTAATATGGTAAGGTGAGGCTTAAGACTAAGAATAGACTGCATAACAAAGGCTGAGCCTTTGTTATGGAGAGGTGCGGTTTATGACTCAACCTGTGAGAGGGAGACCACCACTAAACATGGTAAAACAGTAGTGGTTGTCTGTCAAATAAGATTGGCGAATAAGTGTAGTTAAATCTTTTTTACGTGGTTAATCACATGTTTCCAATGATTACTCAGTTTGTAACCGTCATCACGGTTGAAATTATGTCTGTGTTTGTATATTTGTATGGCTTCGTGTACAAACCTTTGATGGTAGCCAGGAGGTTTGCAGAGAACCTTGGTCTCGGAAAATACAATTTCATGAGAGCCCACCGAGTTGTAGCAATGATCGGCAACGGCCGAAGAATCAGTTCTGCCGTGTTTCAGATCTGACTTGTGCTCGCGGACACGATCAGAAACATGACGTTTCGTTTCTCCAATGTAGCAATCACCACAAATACAACTCAATTTGTAGACTCCAGGATACTGTAAGTCAGGAACGACATCCTTCACAGATGGAATCAAATCACGGATTTTAGGCACTGTACTGAATCGGACTTGGATCTTATGTTTGTTTAGAATTTTGGAGATCTTTTTGGTCACGCCTGCTATGTATGGCAACGTGATAGTTTTGGTCGGAGTTTCATGTGGCTGTTTCTGTATGGTGGGAGAAACAGCTTGGCGGATAGTGCGGTCAGAGTATCCGTTCATCCTGAGGGCCCGATGTACATGTCTTAATTCACCGGCCAGGTGGTGTAGACAGGAAAGCCACCCACACAGATTCCACAGATTCCTAATGTCCTTGGGACATTCTGTAGACAGGAAAGCCACCCACACAGATTCCTAATGTCCTTGGGACATTCTGTCTACAGGAAAGCCACCCACACAGATTCCTACTTGAAACCGGATTCCCACCACCACCCATCTCAAAAGAATTCTCTCATCAAAACGCTATACCACAGAGCCCATGGCATTTCTGACCAACACCACCTGGCCGGTGAATTAAGACATGTACATCGGGCCCTCAGGATGGACGGATACTCTGACCGCACTATCCGCCAAGCTGTTTCTCCCACCATACAGAAACAGCCACATGAAACTCCGACCAAAACTATCACGTTGCCATACATAGCAGGCGTGACCAAAAATATCTCCAAAATTCTAAACAAACATAAGATCCAAGTCCGATTCAGTACAGTGCCTAAAATCCGTGATTTGATTCCATCTGTGAAGGATGTCGTTCCTGACTTACAGTATCCTGGAGTCTACAAATTGAGTTGTATTTGTGGTGATTGCTACATTGGAGAAACGAAACGTCATGTTTCTGATCGTGTCCGCGAGCACAAGTCAGATCTGAAACACGGCAGAACTGATTCTTCGGCCGTTGCCGATCATTGCTACAACTCGGTGGGCTCTCATGAAATTGTATTTTCCGAGACCAAGGTTCTCTGCAAACCTCCTGGCTACCATCAAAGGTTTGTACACGAAGCCATACAAATATACAAACACAGACATAATTTCAACCGTGATGACGGTTACAAACTGAGTAATCATTGGAAACATGTGATTAACCACGCAAAAAAGATTTAACTACACTTATTCGCCAATCTTATTTGACAGACAACCACTACTGTTTTACCATGTTTAGTGGTGGTCTCCCTCTCACAGGTTGAGTCATAAACCGCACCTCTCCATAACAAAGGCTCAGCCTTTGTTATGCAGTCTATTCTTAGTCTTAAGCCTCACCTTACCATATTAATAAAAAGTATGCGGCCCTTGCCCCACCACCTTCTCCAACCATTATATAAACGGAGTGGTAGCTCCTACAATCTCTCATTTACTTGATACAGCTGTCGTGGCTGTGACGGTACCACCTGAAGACGGAAGCTTGTGTTGCCTCCGAAACGTCGTGATTTTTTATTTTATTTAACTTTTTAATATTTTCACCTACGTGACTTTACCGAAAAAACCTAAGAATATGAATCATTGCAGTCACGAAAGCTTCAAATCTAGAATTGGAGATTCGTTCTCATCTCTGTTTTACAGTACTAACCTGGTGATTGAAATTGCACATTCCTATGGTAAGGACCAGTGTCTGGAAATAATAACCACTGTTCACCTTCTAAAAATGTGTATTTTATTGACGACATTAATGTTGGGCTAAGCTAACACCCAACCTCCCAATTGTGAGTCAAGCCACAATGCCACACAGCCATAAATTTGCGACGCCGATCATACCTAGTTCAGAGCGTGCCACGTTCATCTGGGCCATCTCCTGCCACGTGTCAAAGCTGGGGTCGTAACGCCACGTATCCCGGCTGGCAAGGCCATCCGGAAACTCCCCACCCGCCATGTACAATGTGTTTCCTATGGGCAGTGTCACAGGAGAAAATTGTATGTATCATTGTCATAACCACCATCAATGCTGAGCCATACATTAAGTACAATATCATCCAGTGGAAAATGCGACCCAAAGATATTTCAACATATTTCACATTAGATAATTATCAAAAAGCAATCATGAATATTTCATTTTAATAAACAAGACTTCAAATAAGTGATACAGTTGACTGTATCCAGTGATACAGTAATTTTGCTGTGACGGTTCCACCTGAAGACGGAAGCTTGTGTTGCCTCCAAAACGTCGTGATTTGATTTATCATTTTTTTTTACCTATGTGACTTTACCGAAAAAATTATGTTTAACACGTAGTATTTATTATCTTATTTATTTACCTTCGTGACTTTACTGAAAGAACCAGAGTGTGGGATTTACATTTATAAAAAAAAAAGTGTATTTATATGTAAACTTAATAGAATTGCAATGGGCTAAACTCTTTCATAGAAATGTACAGCCCTTCATCAATCCACTGCTGGATTAAGGCTTCCCCACGTCATGTTGGTCATGAGGCTTGTTTGACCATATTTCATCACGTTGGTGAACGTGGGTTGGTAAATGGGGTAGTGATGCCAGTTATCGCTTGTCAATAACGTTTAGTCATGGCCACTAATCTAATATAGATTACAACTATAAGATATCTTCTTTCAATTCAGACCAGAGGGAGATACTTAATAGTTACGGCCGTGGGTGCTGCCAAGCTCTACACAACTGTACTTTAACGGAACATGAAACCTGATGAGTAATTCGATCAATTGTATGGCCTGAAGCACGCCAGAAGCATGAAGTGCCTGGGGAAAGACAATGGCTAACAAAGGTGATGACGAGAACGTGCTCAATACCACGATTATTTAACAGTTGGCAGTGACTCACCTGAGACGACGAGACCATGCTTGCTGACTGCAAAGGGCAAGCAGGCAAGGGCCTTCCACTGTCCGCTCTGTGGCCCATAACATTCGACGCTACGGAGCACCACCTTATCGTCCTCGCCACCCACAGCGATGATCACCTCTGTGATTCCTACACGGCAGTTTCAGAAAAAGAAGTGAGCAATATATAGAGGTCCCTTTCCGGTTGAGATAATTTTCTTCATATGCTACAGTGGCTGTGAAACAAAACATTGGCGATAAGGTATTTCTTTGACAGTGTGGCCGCGAATCTGGGCCACGAATAAACTTGCCAAGTATGAACAGGAAATAAAAGCACGCGACCGAAGCTGAAGTAAACTAGCAACTATAATCACAATTATTAACATGATTTACATACCCCGGTGATCTCTTATCTTATTACCGGTTTTAGCAAACATCAAGATTTCTGTATATAACAAAATGGCTGCATTTTTTTACCATTTAGAAGTTATAACACATTACAGCTATAATTATAACACGTAGTAGTTATCGCAATACAATGGAACTCCATTAATCAAGTGGTGATTATCTCTGATGCTGAAAAGCCATGCCAGTTGCCCCCCATTTTTTATTCACTGAAAATAAAAGCAATCACATATGCATGGAAGCACTGTGCAAAGTAAGGTATGCCACAACACACACATCATGCAGTATGCGCGGGCAGAAATTTGGAGAACTGACAGCACGTGAAAAGAGGCATGTGTAGGGCTAATGCACAACCGTACCGTGCCAACACATTATTGAACTCTTCAACTGCTTCAATACCTATGGCACAAGGAGTGTGTGGGAGGGGGGGGGGTTGTGGACAGGACTAGAGAGCCAACCCACCGGAGGAGTAGCGGGGGCGTGTGCGGGGGCTCACGAGCTCCCCGCGACGGTCCTGCAGCAGCATGAAGTCCTTGGCCTCGGAGACGAGACGCTGGCAGATGGCAGACTCGGAGATCAAGCTCTGCTTCTCCACCACGTCGTGGATGTAGTACGGGCTCATGAGCGGGAAGCGCACGAGCTCAAACACCTGCGCACGCACGCCAAATCGGCAACCGCTCAGTCCATCAAGAGATTTGTATCCCACAAATACACCCTTCTCAAGAGACATCTCTGAACTGCATGAGCAGACGTACTGTGACCACTTGTAATTATGTGCTCCGAATAAACGGCTCATATAGTCACTAAATATAGGAGATCCCTATGTTATTACAAAGACAGGCTTCTTTTTCAAACGGTGGGGGGCACTCACACCTTACCCCAACACAGAGTCTGCAGTTGACTTAATGCAATGCATCCAATTTAACCTCTGCAATTGACCTATTGAAATGCAATAAAATAAAAACTAATATTGATGCGAGTTTTGAATCCATAATCATAGTAGCTCCTGTGATCTGAAATGGTTTGTATAAAAAGAGGTCAGTTTTCACACTTACAATATCGCATTCCCACTATATTTTGCAGTGCAACATATCAGTAACTTACTCTTCCAAAAACGGCATGCATTTATATCCCTTGATGATCTTATGCAAGGCAGATACGTAGCATAACATTACGTATGTACCTATTGTGGAAAATATAAGTTTGAGTCAATTGATATATTTCACAGTCACAATTGTACAAGGTCAACCGCAGTTCCATCTCCAAGATTCAGAAAAGTAGTGCAATACTCTGGCTCTGTTCTCACGAAGCCAGTTTTATAATCGCTGTAGATGTTGTTGCATTCAATATAGAGGCTGGCATGCTGATCATTTCGATGTTAAAATATTCATAGGCAGGTAGGCCTTTCCATCATAAAAGAAAAGCCTCAAAATAACAGCCACTGAAATATAACATAAAAATGTGATTAAAAATAAACAAAGGACAGCTCAACGGTATACTGTACAGCTAAGGATTGAGAAAGAATGTTAGGGTTTCGAGTATAACATTTTTTGGCCTTGATGTCTCCAGATTTGAATGTCCTGGTGCCTTTGATGATGTGGGCTTTAAACTATGTATTGACAAACTCTGGGGAAACACCAGGTCAATGTGAAAATCCGCTAGCGATTTGAAAGCTAAGCAGAGACTTAAATGTGCAAGTTACCAATGTCACTTTTTAAGTTAGCACATAACGTACATGTGGATGGACACAGATTCAGCATATAACAGGAAGCAGATGTACACATTTATTTTATCAAATTGAGTCAATTAAGCTTTATATATTTTATTACATTATTAAGGCACAGAGATTGCAGATTCAAATAAACCACATGGTGAGGTTGCTAAGTTGGTCAGGGGCTTGAGTACATAAAATACTCTTAAAATTTGTCACAAGACTGGTCGGCGGCGATTGTAGCAATATCTAAAATGGAACCAAATTCAAGAGACATAGAGGTGTTCGCGTAAGATTGTAACGCTGTGGGCGTGATAGCAGTTTCTAGAGATATTATCACTCCCATTGCACCTGCCAAACATCTTCCAGAAAGACAACTCCATGCAACATTACTAGCAGAGGTCTCCCATGCAAAATGATGTCATCACTCAGTGTGCTTCAGCCGGTTTGCGGCTGTATTTGTTATTCACGTTATTATTAATTTTGTTATTATGTAACTTATTAATGAACTTGAAAGTGGTCCGGACAAGCCCAAAGTTCTCTCCTACTATACCCCACTTAATTATCTTAACTCCCTTATAGAATTGCAATTCTTATCTTTAACCAGACTTCCACCATTTATATATTTGCATAAGTCGTTCTTTACTCAGGCCCCAGGAGCCTAATTCCTGCATTCGCAGCGAGTCATCGCTACTGCTAGACTGGGTTCAAAACCAACCAGAAAGCCAACCATGAATAAAACAAGATGTATTGGTGACACTGCATTGCCAGTGGCACACAAAACAAACTTACACTTTTCAAAAAGGAAAACAAATATTAAAGTGACATTTAGGGCAATGGCCTTTCTTCATAGCAGACAGAGGCCTGAGAGATTGAGTGAATAATATTTGTGAAAGTCAAAAGTGATTTCACTGGTCTACAATTGTTTAGACGTCGTCTGCTTCAGAGATTAAATGTGCTGTTAATTATGGATTTTGATGTGCTGAATTCAAATATGACAATGAAAACCGATTGGCTACCGTTCCCAAGATATTTAAGTTTTTACATTTTACGTCCATGTATATTGTGTAGGTAGAAGAGTTTTACTCATAAATTGTAAACCTAGGTCTTTTCACGTGTTTATGGTTGCTTTACATGATAACATGTCACCTGTCCTGTTGATGTAACACTTTAAATATCAGCAAAAGGGTTATATGAATACAATTTCTTATGATACAAAAGTTCGGTGGGAAAAAATCTTAATACGAGTGCAAAAAAGTGTATCTCTAGTGACATGTTTCCACTAAGGCTTTTGTATGCCTTGAGGAGATTTTCCACCAACTCCCTGGAGTTGTCTGCCTTGTTGTTTCCAAGAAAATGTGTTGCCACTAACTGGAAGGCTTTCCATGCCGTCTTTTCCTTGCCACACAGTGCACTGTCAAATGCATCATCTCGAAGAAGTTCACAAATCTGAGGACCAACAAAGACACCATCCTTCATCTTAGCTTCACTTAACCTTGGACATTTTCCACGGAGGAACTTGAAAGCTGCTTGTGTTTTGTCCCTGGCTTTGACAAAGTTCTTCATCAGACTCAGCTTGATGTGCAAGGGTGGTAACACAATCGTCCTTGATTCAATAATTGGTGGATGCTGAACACTTTTCCTCCCAGGCTCCAATGACTGTCTGAGTGGCCAATCTATCTTGATGTAGTGGGAATCTCCCGCGTGATTATCCCATTCGTATAAAAAAACAGCAGTACTTTGTGTATCCAGTCTGCAGACCAAGCAAGAGTGCAACAACCTTAAAATTGCCACAAAGCTGCCACTGCTATTGGTCATAGTTTATGCACCTCAAAAGTTGTTTCATGTTGTCATAGGTTTCCTTCATATGGACTGCATGACCAACTGGAATTGATGGCAAAACATTTCCATTCTGCAGCAAAACAGCTTTAAGACTCATCTTCGATGAATCAATGAACAGTCTCCACTCATCTAGATCAAGAACGATGTTGAGGGCTGCCATCACACCATCGATGTTGTTGCAGGCTAAAAGATCACCTTCCATGAAGAAGAATGGGACAAGATCCTTTTGACGGTTATGGAACATGGAAACCCTAACATCACCTGCCAGGAGATTCCACTGCTTCAGTCTGGAGCCCAACTCTTGGGTAGTTCCAAATCCCTGACAATGTCTTTCAGTTCACCTTGTGTTATTAGGTGTGGTTCAGAGGAGGAGGAGAAAATCCTCTTCCTCGTCTGACTCAAGTAAAAATGATTCTGGAGCATCAGGAACTGGCAGTCCTTTTCCGTGGGGTACGGGGCGTATAGCTGATGGAATGTTTGGATAATGCAGTCCACTTTTTATTCTTTGACACCTTTCTCAACTGGAGGCGCCATGCAGAAGTAACAATTTCTGATATGATCTGTTGGCTCTCTCCAAATCATTGGTACTGCAAAAGGCATAGATTCCTTTTCCTATTCAACCACTGGCCAAGATTTGTTGCACAAGTTATGCAGCATATGTGTGGGGCCCACATCTTGTCCTGGTCTCCAATTTTGCAGCCATAATAAAGGTGATAGGCTTTCTTAACCATAGTGGTTATACTGCACTTGTGATGCAAAAGTCACTTCACCAAAAACATAGCAGAAGTTATCTGTATTCTTGGTTCTTTCGGTAAAGTCACGTAGAAGGGAAATAATAAAATAATAAACATATTAAACAATAACATTCTCACGACGTTTCGACTGCAACACAAGCAATCATCATCAGGTGTGAAATCCACAGCAAGAAAATGTTCTTGCTGTGGATTCGTAACGTCGTGAGAATTGTATTGTTTAATATTTTTATTATTTTATTATTTCCCTTCTACGTGACTTTACCGAAAGAACCAAGAATATGAATCCCTGCAGTCACCAAAGCTTTAAATCAGAAGTTATCTGCTTTGCTCACACAAGTACGAGGCATCTCTACTCACTTTGGATAAACAGAAATGTGTCCCTTTGCAAAATCAAACACTAACAAATAAGAGAGCACGACACTGTATTATTTCTTGAGCTGATATAGAGCAATTTGTTCAGCAGAGGAATGTAAGCCTAGTTATGATTGCATCATCCATGACTTCAAGGAATAACATGACTAAATTCATATAATCTGATGCAATACCAGGTTCAGATTGCCATCATTCATTGTTTTGCTCAAAAAGCAAGTCCTGTCCAAACCCTGTCATAGATTTATTCATAGATCCAGTCAAATATGCATTTTAGTCATTTTGATTGAGATCCCTTCCCTTTATAACTCACTTATCCTCCGCCTATACCAAGTCAAGGGGCATATCTTGAAAACTAGAGCCAATCAACAATTTTAAGCATCAGTTCATTCTCAGTGACCCAGAATTAGTAAAGTTGGACTACATTTATTTTGTAAGCATTTTGGCTGTAGACCAGTGTTTCCTGCTCAAATAAGCATTAAGGCAGTGTTCATCTCCTGTTAACATCCATTAGCCATTGGTGGAAATTACACTTTTCTATGACAGGGGTGAGTCTATCTATAGAATATTAAATTAACTCATAACCTTCAAATGGTGAGCCGCTCGCTCTACCACTGAGCCACCTGGCCAGTTGTATTTATACACCATGGGACCCTTTATAATTGCATTGCAACAAAGCACCTTGTCGGCGTACTGCCGGCGGTCAGCGGTGCGGTTGAGCCAGGCGAGTGATGCCTGGAAGACGGTCTCCTCGCGAGGCGCGTTGAGCCGGTCACTGGCCAACAGTTCGAGTAGCTTGTCGGAGGTGAGCGCACCGAACTCCTCCTGCTGCCACACGGACGCAAAGTGCTGCAGTGCAAAGTCCAGGCTCGCCCTCTGCAGCTCCGGGCAGGCGTGCGCCTCCGCGAAGCAGTGCATGCCCAGGCAGTTGGACACGTCCAGCTGTGACTGCGGCCAAACGGTCAAAGACGCAAGCAGATACGAGCACACACAAAGCACAGACAGCACAAAAGCATGTCAAAAGTAAACCCGCGCTGTAAAGTCTTTTTTCCCCAATCACATTCAACCAACTGGTTATGAATAGTTTTGCTACGTAGGTTTTAGAAGTTGTGCTATATAGCTCTCTGAACGGCATGTTATTTGGTGCGATGTCTGACATTTTTATCCACGTGCTGGGAGTTTCTTCAGGAACTGAATGGAGCAATTAATTTTCTCCCTCCAATATAAAGAATTGCCAACGCCTTCTTGTATTGGTGTAAGCCAGCGGAAGTTGTTGTACCCTATGCAGATGGATGGCTGCATTTAATTTTGTGAGCGCTGGCAGATGTACCATATGGGATAAATTATGGCAACTGCACACTTAAAATAGAGATGCAATTAACTTACCATTTCAAGGCATGACGATTAAACAGATAAGATAACTTTAACATAAGGCTATACTTTAATGCTCCTAAAGTACTATTAGCAGTGAAAGTAGAATTATCAATAACTGTACAATATTTCTGATTCTCTCCAGCATGACTGTCATGAATATCATGACCAAAAATCTGAAATTAGAAAGTTACTCCACAAGGATTTATTAAAAAAACTGACACCTTTACTTGGTTTTCATGATTAAGAATCCTTTATCCTGAGGACTGGACATTACTGGTGGCCTAAAGTGCTACAGGAAGTGATTTATACAATGATTAAACAAATGTGTAGTTCTCCACACATCATGCATGTATATATGATATTCTTATACAGTTACCATGAAACAGGCATAATGTAATACTGTTTATTTCACTTAAAGGGAATCTAAACAATGTACAGACAGTGCGCATATTGATTTCATAGGCACAGGCAAAAAAGGTCCTGAGGCAAGTTGAACATGGGCAGGGAAGCAACCGCACGGTGGCGAGGGGAATGGAGTTCAAACAACTCAAGACGGATTCGAGCTAAAAAAAAAGTAAGCAGGAATGTATTAATGTACAACAATAAAAGAACCCCGTGCTTAGCCGAGCCGCTCATCCTAACCTGCAAGAAGCGGGCACAGGCCTGGCGCACGGGCGGCACGTCCAGCAGGTCAGCGGCCGCCAGCAGTGCCTGAACGTTGGCGCGGCAGATGCGCACCTCCCCAGTGTAGGCGTACGACAGCAGCAGGCCGAGTGAGGAGGCATCAACGCCGGCAAGCGTCACGCGCTCCTGCCGGCTCTCGGCTAGGCCTGCCGAGAACATGGCGCGGAAGTAGGGGCTGCACGCGGCCAGCAGCAGCCGGTGGCACGGGAACTCGGACGTGCCGCAGCACAGCGTCACGTCGCAGAGGGCGCCCGCCTCGCGCAGTGCGCGCACGCCCAGCAGGACAGCGCTCGGGTGCGACGGCTCCGAGAACACCACGCCGGGGTCGTCGTCCTCCTCGTCGGCTGCCACCGACACCGCCGCTGCCACCGTCGTCAAGGAGGCAGCGGCAGCGGCGGCGGCAGCACCGTCGTTGGCTCTGACCGGGTCGCCCGAGCCCGGGTCCACCGCCCCCGATGCCAGGCCCACTGCAACGCAGCTCGCGGTAAAGCGCCTTGCTCGATACCGGCGATACGGTTTGTCTTAAAAACATTCCCTTTGTTGTTGCCCTTCTTTTTGTTCGTCATTGTTTTTTTATTAATAAAAGGCTATAGTCCAATGGGTTCTATCAGTGACATGTCCTGAGGAGACACTCACGGCACGCTAACATCAGGTTACAACAATTATTCTGGATTAACTTACATTGGCCCATCCTTATATTTCCTGCCGTGTTTATTGCAAGAAAAATCTATGTTCTAGTAATCAAGGAAAAACTTTTATTTTTTCAATAACACTGCCTTAAAATAAAACAAAAATATGTAATAGGCAAATTTTATGGCAATGTTATTGAGGAATGTGTTGAGTTTTTGTTATTTATGTTTGTTCACCACTGCCAAAGCAGTATCATCAAGCGATGTATTCAGTTTACATGTTTAAGTGATTGGGGAACAGGTCTAGACCCTCAAACATTAGAGAATGTGTTTAATGTGCAATGATGGAAATTTGGGTTAAAATCTGGTATCTAAGCAGTGTCCTTTGACTGTTATTAACCCCACTGACTCACATTACCATATCCAACTACCTCTGTTTAATGTTAATATAATGCTGTAGTTTTTAAACCTGAAGATTGCTCAGAAACATTATTTTGTGCTCTGTACAAACTGCCTCACTGGCAAGGGAACTAATTACTAGCCTAAAAATAACAGAATCATAAAAGTTTTTGAAAATGCTTTTCTACTTCTACATGCACTCATGGTGAAATCCCTGTGCTTCGTAGTATACATGCTGAAAGCCACAGTGATAACTAGAGAACACTAGAAGCCACTTCCCAAAAACTGTAATTTAGTTTTCACAAAAATAATGCTGTGCACAGAATATAACCAATAACTAAAGTGAGGCACAATTGATGTCTTCAGAAATATTATATATCAATATTGCTGTTACAGTGGGTTCTGCTGACATGCACTCAATATATTAATTGCTGAGATACAGCAAAACTAAATATGAAGGTATATTCAACAGGGTACATTTTGCAACCGCTTAGCACTCTTATTCCCTCGCCAATCATAAAAGCTTTTGTTTCAGCTCTTGTAGTCCCAGCGCTGTTATAAGATAGCATAATGGGACATATATTGTACGTGGTGTGATTATTTTAAGTGAATCCAGGGGCCAAAGTCATGGAACATTTGTAGAATATTGATTATTACTGTATAGCTCATTCCTTCTGTGAATGAGTTTCTGATTTACTGGCAAGACCCTGAAAACACGAAACTTGTACAAACTAAGCGACTGAAATCACAATTTTTATATACCTTTAGTTAGGGCACATTATTCAGTCTTTTTTTTAATAAACCATCAAAAGCGCAACGAGTTTGAATCATCATTTGTTGTTAAGTACTGTTAACAGAAAAACAGCAACACCTTGATGCACATATAAATTTCACAGCAGCTCAAGAGTGGAAATGTGAATTTTAGTCCCGCAATAAAGTATGCGAATAAATGACAGAAAGAAGGAATCTTATGTTCGAATTAAGATCAGCTGAATAATGCAGAGGTGGCTTCACTCTTTAACTGGTGCTGAGAGTACAGTGGTAGAAAAACGAATTTATGCATTGTTATTTCAGCAAATGTTTAAAAACTTAAATTGTACAGTGAGGGAAAACAGTATTTGATCCCCTGCTGATTTTGTACGTTTGCCCACTGACAAAGAAATGACCAGTCTATAATTTTAATGGTAGGTTTATTTGAACAGTGAGAGACAGAATAACAACAACAAAATCCAGAATAACGCATGTCAAAAATGTTATAAATAGATTTTCATTTTAATGAGGGAAATAAGTATTTGACCCCTCTGCAAAACATGACTCAGTACTTGGTGACAAAACCCTTGCTGGCAATCACAGAGGTCAGACGTTTCTTGTAGGTGGCCACCAGGTTTGCACACATCTCAGGAGGGATTTTGTCCCACTCCTCTTTGCAGATCTTCTCCAAGTCATTAAGGTTTCGAGGCTGACGTTTGGCAACTCGAAACTTCAGCTCCCTCCACAGATATTCTATGGGATTAAGGTCTGGAGACTGGCTAGGCCATTCCAGGACCATAATGTGCTTCTTCTTGAGCCACTCCTTTCTTGCCTTGGCCGTGTGCTTTGGGTCATTGTCATGCTGGAATACCCATCCACGACCCATTTTCAATGCCCTGGCTGAGGGAAGGAGGTTCTCACCCAAGGTTTGACGGTACATGGCCCCGTCCATCGTCCCTTTGATGTGGTGAAGTTGTCCTGTCCCCTTAGCAGAAAAACACCCCCACAGCATAATGTTTCCACCTCCATGTTTGACGGTGGGGATGGTGTTCTTGGGGTCATAGGCAGCATTCCTCCTCCTCCAAACACGGCGAGTTGAGTTGATGCCAAAGGGCTCAATTTTGGTCTCATCTGACCACAACACTTTCACCCAGTTGTCCTCTGAATCATTTAGATGTTCATTGGCAAACTTCAGACGGGCATGTATATTTGCTTTCTTGAGCAGGGGGACCTTGCAGGCGCTGCAAGATTTCAGTCCTTCACGGCATAGTGTGTTACCAACTGTTTTCTTGGTGACTATGGTCCTAGCTGCCTTGAGATCATTGACAAGATCCTCCCGTGTAGTTCTGAGCTGATTCCTCACCGTTCTCATGATCATTGCAACTACACAAGGTGAGATCTTGCATGGAGCCCCAGGCCGAGGGAAATTGACAGTTATTTTGTGTTTCTTCCATTTGTGAATAATCGCACCAACTGTTGTCACCTTCTCACCAAGCTGCTTGGCGATGGTCTTGTAGCCCATTCCAGCCTTGTGTAGGTCTACAATCTTGTCGCTGACATCCTTGGAGAGCTCTTTGGTCTTGGCCATGGTGGAGAGTTTGGAATCTGATTTATTGATTGCTTCTGTGAACAGGTGTTTTTTATACAGGTAACAAGCTGAGATTAGGAGCACTCCCTTTAAGTGTGTGCTCCTAATCTCAGCTCGTTACCTGTATAAAAGACACCTGGGAGCCAGAAATCTTTCTGATTGAGAGGGGGTCAAATACTTATTTCCCTCATTAAAATGCAAATCAATTTATAACATTTTTGACATGCGTTTTTCTGGATTTTGTTGTTGTTATTCTGTCTCTCACTGTTCAAATAAATCTACCATTAAAATTATAGACTGATCATTTCTTTGTCAGTGGGCAAACGTACAAAATCAGCAGGGGATCAAATACTTTTTTCCCTCGCTGTATATCAATAAGGAAACAAGCAAATGCATAAACAGCAAAAGCACACAGACAAAAGATAAACAATTAAATCACATTACAATGAAATACGAATGAACCACAGAAACCAGAAACCCCTATTAACTGCTTCCTGACCTGTCGGCATATGGCGATGTAATCGCAGAACACGTCTTTCACCTCGGGAAGGGGCGTTAGCGGGATCGAGTGCGGCCGCGTTCCCTCCGGACATGCTGCCAGCGAGGCAGGCGTGGGGCACTGCGAGGGCTGGGTCCGCCACCGCGCGGCAGCACAGCCCTGCACAGCCATCACACACCTGCGATTAGCACGGTGGTGCAAAAAAGGTTCAACGTACATGCATACACACGGTGGTTAGCATTGTCGCTGCAGCTGGGTCAATGAAGAGGTTAGGTAAATACCTCCCCAAAGAATGAAAGTCTATGCTTGCTTGCATAAACATATGCAGCTTGATAATATCGGTCTGGAAAACAATTAGGGTGATGGGACTCAAAAACGTTTTTTATTTATGTATCAAGAAACAAAATGGAGTTCTGCTTTTATGGTTATAAAGAAGTCGGCGTTTTCCAATTTACAATTCTTACAAACCACCATAATCTGCATTTCCATGGTTATACACTGCTTATTGGTAAATACGACCTACGTGACAAGGCGTTGATTAAATGTAGGAGTGCTCTCATAGTCATACACCCACAAAATCATTATTTGATTTGAATCAGCACTCAGTCAAGCAAACACAGCATGTTGGGTAAACATTAAAAGGCCTACTCTGGTAGTTCAGGATGATTGGTGTTAAAAAGTAACTTATATTGTAGAAAGTAATTCGCAGTGTATATAGAGTTCAGATGAAATCTGCTAAAAGCAATACATATTACAAAAGACAGTGGCAGGCCATTTAAATAAATGCAATTATTTCACAATTTTCTGCCAAAATTACGTGTAGCAAGTAGCAAGAAGCTGTCTTGTCTGAGTAGAAGCACATACAATCAATGAATTGTGCTGTTCAATGTAAAACCACTATACTAACTAAATACTTCAAAGATCCACTAGTTTATCTTTTGAGTACCTATAAAAAGATATTCTATTTAAACATTTTATAATAAAATACTTAAATACCTGCGGTTATAGTGACAGACACTGTATGGCGAAGTTATTCTTGTATATTCTACATAACAATTGAGGCGGTAATAATTACTTGTTTAAGTAAATAGCTAAAACCATTGACATAAGGGATTACTCACTTGGATACCAATCACTCACTAGTGCTGTCAATTTATAACCCAGCCTTTTATTGTTCATTGACTGCCATGCTAGTGCAGTGCGGAAAATATAGTGACTTAATTTCTATCCATTTTCTTAATTTCTGAAACTCCGTGTTCATAATGAGCCAACTATATACATGAAAGTGATTGCATTGAAAAATATTGCCATGGAATCTGGTCCACAAATACATGTACAGCAAATGTGCCTTTCAGTATTTTACATACATATCTTGTCTTAATAAATCATATACAGTCTTAAATTACACATTTACTGTAATAAATACTTGTGTGAACAGTGAGTAAAACACATCGATACTTACTTATGCTATTATCAAGTTAATGAAAATGTAAGCTCAGTGCTGGGACATATGCCACTGTTGACCAATGTGCCAGTACTTTAATATAGTTTTGTAAATTAATGATAACAATAACATATAAATGTACAGCCCTTTGCCTATCCACTGATGAATGAAGACATCCCCGCACCATCCCACACTGTGCTATGAACCTGACTTCAGTATTATACCCGATCACAGCTAACAGAAGTGGAAATTTATATCTTCCCACTCCATCAACCCACAATGACCAACATGATGAAGTATGCTACATCATGGGACCTCCTTTGCCAGTACCAAAATATGAGAATAGGTTTTCCTCTTTTTTTCTGGCAACAAAACAGGGGTTAAGATGTGAAAACACCAAACTGAAACCTTATTACAAGGAATCATGTCTGCATTAACCACAATACTTGTGGTCAGAATGCAAACAAAAAACACACTGATAATATATGCATTGTCTTTGAAACTGATTGGTCCACACCAGAGACAGCTTTCTTTGGAGCCAAAAGGCATCTGGTCTAACACCATTTGAGACTAGGCTCTGGTGTGGACCAATGAGTTTCAAAGACAATGCATATATTATCAGTGTGTTTTTTATTTGCATTTTGACCACAAGTATTGTGGTTAATGCAGACATGATTCCTTGTAAAAGGTTTCAGTTTGGTGTTTTAACATCTTAACACCTGTTTTGTTGCCAGAAAACGGGGAAAATCTATTCTCATTATGAAGTATGGCCAAACAAACCCCATATCTGACATGGAAAAACCAAATAGGCTAAATATTTTTTTAACAATGCAGTAATGTAACTAAATAATATTAATTATAAAAAAATATTCCATAACATGGTTATATGCACTGAGCACAATATATATTTTAATACACTGCTTCTTACTACTTTTACTCTTAAACTTCGTATAAGAATCACTCTGTAATGCATGGGTTAACTTTGACTTGAGTGATCTCAAGCAGATAACCAATTAACATGTTTTTCATTTAATTACATTTGCATATCTAATCTGGTCCTTGACCTCCACCCAACCTGCACTGCTCAGCGTGAAGAGCGGATAAAAAAAAAACCACCATGCCCAATTTCGTACTGGGCAGCCTTCATCCAGTAGTGGATTGACAAAGAGCTTTAATGTCTAACTGTATTCCAGTTACATGCTAATTTCTCACATTAACACACATTAACATCATGGTAAACTCCCATATTAACATATCCACTTCCGTGCCCTCTTAATTTCTCACATTAATATTATGCTAATCTCTCACATTAACATAGCCACTTCCATGCCCTCACCAAAGAGGCCGCTTTCCTTCTTTTCCAGTTACATGCTAATTTCTCACATTAACATCACTACCCCGGCCACTTCTTTATGACCCTTGGGCTACACCCATTTAAAACCTTTTAAAACAGTCTGCCTCAGCAGCAGACCATGCTTTTCCACCTGATGACAGATGCTTGTTTTGCTTCCGAAACGTCGCGATTTATTTTATTTTATATCTACGTGACTTTACTGAAAGAACCAAAGAGTATGGATTCCTGCAGTCACGAAAGCTTCAATTCAAGATTGTATTATTTACATTGACATGAAACAAAAATGTAACTCATGTTGTTAAAATATTTATCTTCAGTATGTATTATTTACATTGACATAAAACAACATGTAACTTATGTTGTTAAAACATTGATCTTCAGTATACAGTGTTATTGGTACAACAAAGGTCAAATATTCCCCTGACAACCTAGTTTTGAGAACCACCTTTCTCTGAAATAATTCTACCTCGCATGAATAGCCAGACCGCCACTTTACCTTGGATTTCTCTGATTAGGAATTTCACACTTGCAGCCAGGTGGGATGCGTCAGGGAGAGGCAGGCGGGCTCTTCAGTCCGCTCCAAATCTGCCAATAATGACACAAAAGTTTGTATCTTAATCCCCAGTCTTAATTATGGACACCAAACAAGGTTGTCCATAGACTGAGTATTTGAACTGAGTATGAGAGTCTGACTGGACTGTCCCTGTTTGGCCTCTTATCCAAATACGAGTTAAGCATCTTATCCAAATATCTAGATGGGTTTAAACTGAGTAACTATGCAATGCTAGTCTTATAAAGAAAAAGGTTATTAGTCCATGAAATATTCTCCATTGGGTACGGTTTAATCAGCAAGTTTGCAATGTTGTATGATAATGTTATAGCGTGAAGCAAAACCTCCCTTCTTGTTCGGGCCCATTATTGGACATTAGTTTAAGTGGATTTGTTATTTAATTAGCCACAGCTAAAACAGATAAAGAATAATGTTATCACTTGCGAATGGCAGTTGGAATACAAAGCCAATAGCAATACATAAGTTTACTGAAAAAATAATCACGTGTGCTTTTAAAATAGTCTCCTAGTTTGGCAAATGTGTTAAACATTAGGAATGCAGGTTTAATCACTAAAATAAATACTGTAGGTAACATTTTATCCATCAGCCCAAAGCCTTTACATATGTTTGGTTATTCACATTTGCTTAAAAAGCCAAACTCAGCTATTATTAAGCTTTAATGGGTATCAGCAGAAAGGTGGGGTCTGGTTAACACATATCACTAGTCACCCTGATGTAACCAACTTGAGGCTTGGATCAGTATGATTTCAGAGTCCATTCAGCAAGGTAGGGCTGTTGTATACTAACCCTTCTTCCATAATTGAGATTAATAATATTTGATGATTTTTATATATTATCTTTTTACTTGTTTTTTTAATGAGTGAAACACACCAAGCGCAGCAAACTGCAAAACACCAGGTGTTGTTAAGTAATGAACCGGAGGAGGGCTAGGATGGCAGAATTTACAACGTTGCTTCAAGGGAAGATAAGGCCTGATGAACGGGCACATGTCACCCGTGCAGGCGGCAGAGACAGTGGGAGTGTCAGCCAGACATAGTTAAGGCAAAAGCCCAATCATCCTGCATGGTTTTAAAGTAACGTCAAAATTCGAAATTCAACAACAGAGTAGGCTAAATTATCGATCCTCGCGCTCGCTCAAATTGGAGACCAGGCTGCGAGCTACATCAATGAACCATTGCCCATTTGCTAATCCAATACTGAATGTTAATATTACTGAAGTCAAAACGAATTCTATGACCTCAGCACATAGGCAAATAATAGGGCAGTGTCGACTCAAAGGCAATGGAAGAAACAGAGGCGCCTTTGTCTAAATCACAACCACAGAAAGCCAGGAATCATCACTGATTGTGTGTTCAGGAATTCCGAGCTAGTTAGAACACGTGCACAGGGGGGGAGCTGATGTAAACAACCCTGCGCGTCTGGATGTGAGGGGGCCTTGGACCTGGAATCAAGAATAAACACTCCCAGAGCAGAAGGTGGACAGGGGGAGAGGTGATTTAAAAGAGGGTTGTATATCTCTCAAGGCACAAGACCCAGCTGAACAACACGGCTGCGGGGGTCACCAGAAGTTCGCATTCGCCTAGTTAAGACAAAAAGCTCAATTATTCTGTATTGCTATTAAAGTAACGTTAAAGTCGGAATTTAACAACAGAGTAGGCTAAAGTTATTGATATTCACACCCACTCCAATTAAACCAGGTCACAAGTTACGCCTACTGAACCATCACCATCATTAAGTCAATATGAAATGTTATTTCCATACTTCAATACTTTCTATACAATTCGACCCGAAGCATATGACAATCAGAACCTTCCTAAGTCAAAATTGAATCGCACCCAGACAGGAGCGAATAGTCAATATAAGGTTGAAGAGGGAAGGAAATCAAGAGCACGGCGAACTGCAAACGTAAGCAAAAAGCCGGGAACAACACCAGCCCAGCAACAGCGAGTGGGGCTTCGACAGGCCATAAAGTAGAATAATAACTCCCGGGGTCAGGGGACACAAGAAGAAGCAGGCAGACAAAAACCAGAACTGACTCCAAGGTTCAACCGCCCTCACCTACTCAGGGGTGACGGAAATTAATGAGGCCTTGAATTAACGGCAGGCAACAACAACGGCGAGCAGAGATAGGGTGGGGCAAAGACTGCGGGCTAGGAATGCAACTTCGTGTCAGTAAAGCCCTGACAAACAAGTTAAGTTAAAGACATCACAATACATAATATCGCACATAACATCAATGTTAACGCTATTCACCGTAAACTATATTCCGCTTATATAACCATCCAGGCACCAAGGAATACGAATTCCTAGGATCAAGAAACTTACCCCTTAACCTAAGATATCGGAAATAAATTAATAGTAATAAGTATATGCATGAAAGACAAAAGTAAAACTTATGGAAAAGCCAGGATAACGGGATGAATCACCACCAGGTCGAATATAAATACATAATAAAAAAAACGATGTTAAACCCAGGGTCGGAGAGAAAGGGAGATCCCGGCCGTCTTTGTATCCCCGCAGCGCGGGATAGGAGTGTGTGTACGCTCGGGGAAACACCTACACTTGGGTCGGGAACCACGATGGGAAACGACAGACCTTAGGTTACATACAGAATCATAACTGTGAAATAGTAAGGGACAAATGTTAACTTAAAACTTTTAACCATTTCTTTGTGCGCCGGGTCGGAGAGAGTGTTGCCCCCCTCCAGGTTGTGCAACACGAACAAAGACGCCTATGAGACGATTTGTAACGTCTGTGTTTTGGGTTCATGAAGAAGGCCAGACAAGAGATAAATTGCACCCAGACAGAGAGACGACTTCGAGACAATTTGTAACATCTGGTTGTTTGCTCGTGGGTTTTATGGAGGGAGTTGACAACGGAATATACCGTCAGTGATGCACACAAGGACATACGGACACACACATGGACACACCTGCCTACGGACAGATCCTGACACAGCAAAAATCGGAAGCCCCGCCTTGTGGGCGGGATCCAGGGGGATTTTTCAGCATAAAGGAACGGATCCTGAACATTGGAAACCAGTGCGACGGGAGGGTCCACTCAGAAGCTCGACCGGGAGGGTCGACTCAGCAGGAGTGCGACGGGAGGGTCCACTCAGAAGCTCGACCGGGAGGGTCGACTCAGCAGGAGTGCGACGGGAGGGTCCACTCAGAAGCTCGACCGGGAGGGTCGACTCAGGAACGAGTGCGACCAGAGCGGGTCCACTCAGGAGTGCGACCAGAGAGTCGACTCAGGAGCGAGGGCGACCAGCGGGTCGACCCAGGAGCGAGCTCGACCGGGAGGGTCGACTCAGGAGCGAGCTGCGACCAGCGGGTCGGCTCGACTCATCTTCAGCTCGTCAATCTCTGCTGCCGCCGGAGGTCTCCGCTGCCGCCGGTGGTGAGCGTCGCGACTTGGCGACGATCCAGCGCTGCACGCTACGAGCGAGTTGTGGGCGCCACCTACCGACCGGGTTCCGAACTGCGACAGCGTATCAACAGCCATCCGAGCCAATTCACCACGGTGACAGGAGAGCGCCTGATACGTATGACGCGCACCGCCCCCTCACCACACGACCACCAGGCGTCTGTTTGACATAAAGAATCGACTCCGAACACTGACTATTCAAGACAACTCTTACCACTCAAAACACTCGAACCCATAAGCCATCCGTGGCTGGAAAGCATCACAACGAGACCGAGGGATGGCCCTCCGTCGTTTATAAGAGTATTCTTAATTTTTATCTTTAATATTTAGTGGGCTGTACTCTTAATCGCATAAATTCCCAACAGATCCATCAATACGAACTGATTCTTGGCACCTCCTTCCGCCGAGCCACGCTCACGTGGGGAGTGGTGGCCCACCGGATCCTTATCAGGTGATCTGGTCCCCAATTAGTAAACTTGGTATAAGATAACGAGCTTCGGAAAAGGAGCACCGTCGCAGGCCCTTACTCCGGGCCGTTCTGTTGTCAGATAACCTGCCGATGTATCTGTTGAGATTGGTGCCTTTAAGAATAATAACTGTTTTGATTGTGTTTTTTTTATCGCCGTATAATCTTTCAAGTATCTTTCAGTCATAATCGCCGCACGTACTCGCATCCTCTACAGAATATTCAACTGTCCCGTGACCCAAGGTGTTAACAACGTGATAAGGGTTGCGTATGGTCAATAAGGAGTGTGGTACTGCGTGAACAATATTGAGTATAATCATTCATTAACGTTAAGGTTTTCTTAGCATAGTATTTGCATGTTAACGACTCTCTCTCTCACTAACAACCATCGCGTTATGCGGGATCCATGTGCCGTTGTCGAAGTGAAATCCGACAATCGTTGATGATACTGTATTGATGCCGTATTGACGTTCCAGGATTGAGAGTTCGCATACTATATCATAGTTAAGGTTGAATTAGTAATAAATTGATCAATACAGAAGTGGTTGTGTGATTCTTTCCTGAAATCTATGCATAAGATCTGCTTCTGCGTTGAGATTTGAACTTGGTGACCTTAATAAACACACTAATACATACTCAGTAAATGTTAAAGCGATAACGGGGTGAACCGGGGTCTGGTTATCATAACGACTTGCGTTGTCATAATTACACCCACTCGCATAATTAATACGATTACCTCTCGAATTGGCATAATTAAAATGTGCGTAATTACATAAATTAACATATTTCCGGATAATTACACATTTGGCCAAATTTCATTTAATTATTATTATTTCCACTGAATATCCATAACCCACATATACAACATAATAATTTCACCCACGCACGCATACAACATAACAAATTTTCATACCCAACATATACAACATAATGGGGGCTCGTCTTCCGGGATCTCTCGCAGACAGTTATGCATGAATTCAGGAACGAATCACTGATGTGTTAATCAAAGTGTTGTGAACTAACGTTGCCTTGTGATTGTAAACGGGGGTATACAAACAAAACGCGCTCTGAAGGGAGGTACCAGAGTAGCAGAGTATAAAAAAGACAGCTGGGCTGAGATTA